ACTCAGCAGTAAGTTCCACTGAGTTCAATGGGACTTACTCTCTGGTATGTGCCTAATCATTCTCACAGTTATTGTTACTATATTTATATGTATGTGCTGAGGAGAGCCCAGGAACATGCCTTCACCATATATTCCCCACCCCCAAGAAATAAATATTATATGCAAGGAAATAATAGCATTTCGCTCCAGAACAGATACCTAATTCAATAGTTGGTGTTTATGAGCATTTAGAAAAGGATGCTGCGATTACTATGACCCAGCATGGATTTCTCAAAAGTAAGTCATGCCAGACCAATTTGATTGCTCTGGATCAAGGAAATGCTGTGGCCAGAGTGTATCTTGATTTCAGTAAGGCTTTTTACAAAGTCCCCCATGATATTCTCATGAGGAAGCTGGTAAAATGTGGCTTGAACGAGGCAACTGTTAGGTGGATTTGTAGCTGGTTGACCGACCGAACCCAAAGAGGACTCATTAATGGTTGCTCATCTTTCTGGAAAAAAGTGACAAGTGGGGGGCCACAGAGTTCTCTCCTGGGCCCATTGTTGTTCAACATCTTTATAAACGACTTGGATGATGGAACTGACGGGATGCTCATCAAATTTGCAGATGACACCAAACTGGGAGGGGTGGCTAACGCTGCACAAATATATGTAGCTTAACATGAGTCAACAGTGTGACGCAGGGTCACAGCCACTGCTGCTGCAGCTGTTGAGAGAGAAAGGTGGGAGGGGTCTGGGAGAGGCAGGGAGGCAGCGTAGAAGCGCACGGCCCAGTCCAAACCCAGCAGGACGGCCGTTGTGTGGGCCATCCCCTGCCAGCAGAGGGGTGCTATAAAAGCCCAGACCAGACTGGCTTCATCCCTGGTTGCAGTATAACAGACCCTATCAGGAAACTACTGAATCTGATTGAACACAGCAAGGCAACTAAACTCCCACTGACAATTACCGTATTTTTTGCACCATAACACTCACTTTTTTCCTCCTAGAAAGTAAGGGGAAATGTCTGTGCGTGTTATGGAGGGAATGCCTACGGGTGACGGGGGGATCTGCTGCAGTCGTGAGCAGAGGATCCATGGTTTCCCTTCCTTCCCTCCTCCGTGGCTCGCTTTGAAACAGCAAAGCGGGAGAAGAGCCGCTGAGTGAGGAGGAGAGAGGGACAGAGAGCCTGCTTCTTTAAAGGAGCAAAGCGGGAGAGGAGAGGAGCCGCTTACAGGAGTGCGGTTGGTTCTTTAAAGCAAGCAGGCTCTCTGTCCCTCTCTCCTCCCTACTCAGCTCGCTACATAGCAGCAAAGTTTTTCAGCTCGCTAAGCCGGGGATGAGCGGGGAGGAGGGAGAAAAGCAGAGCCTGCTCGCTTTAAAGGAACAAAGCGGGAGAGGAGAGGAGCCTTCTCCCCTTATACCCCTCTTCTTCATTATTAGCAGCATCCTTCTCCACACACCCCACGCGTGCTCCTTGTCCCTTGAGTGCTTTTCCTTCCCTCCCCACTTAAAACGTGGTTACAAAGCACGGATCCACATGGATCCTCAGGATTTTTGCACTGGGTCACCCTAAATTCACCATCAGATCACATAGCATGTCCATGGCTACATCTTGCACCAAAAAAATCACGCACCCACTGTTGCCTGGGGCCACAGTGGTGCAAAAACGTGGTTACAAAGCATGGATCCACATGGATCCTCAGGATTTTTGCATTGGGCTACTCCAAACTCACTGTCAGATCACATGTCTGTGGCCACAGCATGAACCACAAAAATCATACATCCACTGTTTCGTTTAGAATATTTTTTTTCTTGTTTTCCTCCTCTAAAAACTACGTGCGTGTTATGGTCGGGTGCGTGTTATAGAGCGAAAAATATGGTATGTCCCTAGACATCCTAAAAGCTTCTGATTGCTTAGAGTGGAAATATCTATTAGCAGTAGTAACAAACATGAAATTTGGCCCAATGTCTTACAAACAAATATACTCCCGAGCCATATTGTTAGTATTGCAAGACTAACAATATGGACTCTAATACCATAGCAATCCGCTGACACAAAACCCTACACATACACTATGTGGAAGAATAGAAGCATTGCCACCTGACCCCACCCCACTCACCATTCCCTCTCCCCCTTCTTCCCCCCCGCTTTTCTTCCTAACCTAACACCGTATGCAACACTAACGTCTCACAACAAATGAAACTGATCTGTAGAAAGCACAACTTGAAAAAATAGATAATGCAAGTATTTTTGTAAACTAATAAATCTTTAATAAAAACATAAAACAACAACAATGTGATGTAGCAGCAAAAAAAGAAAAAAAGGAATCTAATGCTATTCTAGGCTGTATCACCAGAGGTCTAGTATCCAGACTAACGGAAGTCATAGTCCTGCTCTATTATGCCTTTGTCAGACCACACCTGGAATACTGGGTCCAGTTCTGGGCACCACAATTTAAGAAGGATGTTGATGAGATGGAACATGTGCAGAGGAGGGCAACCAAGATGATCAAGGGCCTGGAACCCAAGCCATATGAGGAATGGTTGAAGGAGTTGGGTATGTTTAACCTGAAAAACAGGCGACTGAGAGGCAATATGATAGGTAAAGGTAAAGGTAAAGGGATCCCTGACCATTAGGTCCAGTCGTGACCAACTCTGGGGTTGTGGCGCTCATCTCGCTTTACTGGCCGAGGGAGCCGGCGTACAGCTTCCGGGTCGTGTGGCCAGCATGACTAAGCCGCTTTTGGCGAACCAGAGCAGCACACGAAAACGCCATTTACCTTCCCGCCAGAGTACCTATTTATCTACTTTCACTTTGATGTGCTTTCAGACTGCTAGGTTGGCAGAAGCTGGGACCGAGCAACAGGAGCTCACCCCGTCACGGGGATTCGAATCGCCGACCTTCTGATTGGCAAACCCTAGGCACGATGGTTTAGACTACAGCACCACCTGTGTCAATGGTGATATGATAGCCATCTTCAAATACCTTAAGGGCTGTCACATGGAAGATGGAACAAGCTTGTTTTCTCCTGCTCTTGAGGGTAGGTCTTCAACCAATATCTTCAAGCTACAAGAAAGGAGATTCCAACTAAACATTAGGAAGAATGTTCTGATGGCAAGAGCTGTTTGACAGTGGAATGACTCCTTCAGGAGGTAGTGGACACTCCTTAACTGGAGATTTTTAAGCAGAGCTTGAATGGCCATCTGTCATGGATACTTTAGCTGAGTTTCCTGCATTGCAGTGGGTTGGACTAGATGACCTTCCAGCTCTACAGTTCTATGATCCTTCAGAACTTTGAATGTGTTTAAATAGCTAAGGCTGATTAACTTTACATGATCCATACACAGGAAAGCAAGGGGTGTGTGAGCATTTTTTCTGCCAGAGGCAGTTCCCTGGCAAGCTCTGGGAGCCCCGGGCATTAGGATTGTAACAAAAGGGCACTTTCTACTTTAGACTCACAAAAAGCATTTCTTCACCTTACATGGATCTAAAATGACTACAAAATTATCATTTCTTGAAATCAGTAATCAAACAAAAATAATATGGAAAGGAATCATCTTAAAAGGAAACCAGAGGGTCTTGACTGATCTTATGGAAATTCAGTCTTTTAATGATCCTGTAGCTAAATAAATCTAATTCAAAACCTGATTTCAGATAGACAATTGCTGCACATGAAAGTTCTGCTTTTGACAAACAATTTGCTTTTACTGTAAGGGATACCCATTTCCCCTTTGGTCATACGGCCATAATACGTCTTAGGATTCTTTTGTATTCAAATGATATATTGCCTACTTTTTATGCCCCTTACGAATAGATGATGTGTGTGTGTGTGTACGCAAACACACATTGGGTCTGTGTGTGTGTGCCAAACTGGGTCTTTGACCTGGGTGACAGAAAGTCTAGTTTTGGCCCTGGTATATCCTATGTAAACAAGACTCTGGAGCTCCTTTGGCCCTGGCTGGCTTGCTGCGCCAGGGGAGGGGAGGCGATGGGGTGGCAGGATTGAAGCCGAGGAGGAGGAGGAAGAGGCTGATGGGTCTGTCCCAGAGACTGGAGGACTTCTGGAATCGTTGTTCCAAGGCAGTAGCTTGCATCAGCAGTATCTAGCTGCCCTTGAACTTTACCAAGAGAACAGGATAATAACAAGTAGCCACCAATTTAAACAATGCATTCAATCATCATTACAAACCCTACATTTGCTTCTGGGTAAAAACCGACAGCAGAGCCCTGAAGGAAGAGGCATCCTTTTTATAAAAGAAATGATTTCCTGTGGTAAAGAAGTTAAGAGTTTCAAACAGGGGTCCATAAACACGCCATACATTTAGAGCCTGCCTCCCTCTGGCAAAGACTATTGGGGAGTGTAGTTTCTTAAGAGATGGGAGTTGTAGCTCTGTGTGGGGTAAAACTATACAGTTCTGAGGATTCTTTTTGTGTGTGTCTGTGAAAAGTGTTTTAAATTTTTGGTGTGTACATCTAGGCTGCAGGGAAACCCAAGTTCAAACTCCCATTGCATTCCTTTCGGATTTAAAATTGACATGGCACAACCCCTTTCTCCAAAGCCTTTTCCCTCTACCCATTCCAGGATGTGAGGGGAAGGAAAATAAAGTGTGGATAACTTCTTTTTTTGTTGGTTTTTTTGTTTATTATCCACCCTTCACCCTAAGACCCTAGGGCAAATTACAGCTTTAAAACACATCAAAAACAATTCAAAACAGCTTACAACCACAAACATAAGGTGGGTCCTGAAAACATACGCACCTCAAGTGTCAAAGGCCAGAGTGAGGAGGAGGTGAAGAGCACCATTGCTAATGTGGCAAGAAGATCTGAGTATTCTGTCCACCGTTGTGTTGGATCTGTAAGCTTCCACTGGAAATATATATATATAAATGCTGATTCACTTCCACCTGGAGCTGGATTGGGTGGCTCCTGCAGACCAATCAGACTGCTGCATTCTGGATCCTATTGTTCTAGGATTCAGCTCAGTACATAACACGCCTCCCCTCTAAGTTCCAGTCCAGCCTGGGAGGTTGCATTCATAGTCCTCAAGGTACGCCAGCCACCTACGTATGTGTTGCCCCTTTACAGGCCTTTCTACGGGCCTCCCTGCTCAGCTGTCCCCTTGGGACCCCTCTGTCCTGCCCTCCTCCCGGTTTTCTCCTGGGAATCATTGCCATAGCTGGTTGCAGTGGTGGCGCCAGCATTCCCCCCCCCCATTAGCACCTCATACGACATGGGAGCAGTCACCCTGGTGACTATGCCAGGCCTGCCCCAAAATTATTTGCATACACTTGGTCCTGGGCCACGAAGGTCTGGGGGGTCCTACCTTCCCCCACCACTACCTCATCCCGAGCTCTATTGGGGTGAAGGCGGTCCAGTCTGATTGCAAGGCGCCGGCCCATTAGTAGTTCCGCGGGGCTCCGGCCAGTCGTTGAGCTGGGGGTGCTGTGCTGTGCTAGGAGGAATGTGGCAAGGCGGTACTCCCAATCCCCTTGCGTCATGCGGCGAAGGGTGTCCTTGGTGGTCCGCACCATGCATTCTGCTTGGCCATTGGTGGCAGGGTGGAATGGCGCCGAACGGATGTGGCGGATGGCGTTCTGCGCTGTGAAGGTTTGGAATTCTCCTGACGTAAATGCGGTCCCATTGTCTGAGACGAGAGTGTCAGGGAGCCCGTGGGTTGCAAACAGCCTGCATAGTACCCGGATGGCTGCGGATGTAGAAGTGGACGGTACCAGTGCGACTTCCAGCCATTTGGTGTAGGAGTCCACCACTATGAAGAATGTTTTCCCCTGAAAGGGGCCAGCGAAGTCCACATGCAGGCGTGACCATGGTGCTCGGGCGGACTCCCAGGACTGGACTGGGGCCCTTCGGGGATCTGGGCGGGATTCTTGGCAGGCCTGGCCGTGTTTGACCCAGGCCTCTATCTCTCCGTCGATCCCCGGCCACCACACATAACTCCTGGCCAGGGCCTTCATTCTTACTACCCCTGGGTGTGTCTCGTGTAGGGCTGTGAGGACCCTTTTGTGGAGGGGCTGGGGAACAATGACCCTGCTTCCCCACCCCTTGTGGGCTGACAGTTCATGTTTGCGGGTTGTGTAGCCGGCAAATTCTGGCCCGGGGCTGCTGCTGGGCCATCCCCTCCACACCCAGTCCAGGACCCGAGAGATGACCCTATCTTTCTTGGAATGGTGTGCAACTTCTTGTGCCTGAATGGGGCGGTCGGGAAGCAGCTCCAGGCTCATAACCTCTTGTGCGGGCGCTGGGTCGGGGCCTGTTTCTGGTAGTGGTAGCCTGCTGAGGGTGTCCGCGTGGCCCATCGCCTTCCCAGGGCGGTGAATCAGTGCATACTGGTAGCTGGCAAGGAAAATTGACCACCTGAGGACGCGAGGAGACAGCACTTGGGGGGTCTGCTTCTCAGGGGCAAACAGGCCGAGCAACGGCTTGTGGTCAGTCACCATGGTGAAGGGCTGCCCATACAAGAAACCATGGAATTTTTTTACTCCCTTCACGATTGCCAGCCCCTCCTTGTCGATTTGCGAGTAATTCCGCTCGGCTGCGGTGAGCGTCTGGGAAAAGTATGCCACCGGTACCTCTCTTCCATCCGGGAGTTGGTGTCCCAGGACAGCGCCAATGCCATAGGGTGAGGCGTCGCATGCTAGCACCACCGGCAGCCTCTCATCGAAGTGTGCCAAGACTGAGTTCAAGACGAGCAAATCCTTGACTGCCTGGAATGCGGCCTCCTGGTGCTGGCCCCACACCCAAGGGGCCCGCTTGTCCAGGAGTCTGTGTAGGGGCTCCGCTACCGCCGCCTTATGGGAAAAGAAGGCATGGTAAAAGTTCAATAGTCCCAAGAAGGCCTGAAGTTCAGTCTTGCCCTTGGGCGCTGGGGCATCACAAACCTTGTCACCGGTTGGGTGGACCCCTTATCCGTCCACTGTAAATCCTGGGAAGTCCACCTGGGGCACTCCTAGTAGACACTATTCCCACTTCACCTTGAGACCCACCGTCTGGAAACGGTGCAGGACGGTGTGGAGGCGGTCCCCGAACTCCTCTGGCATGGGCCCGGCAATCAACACATCATCGAAGAAGGGGGTGACGCCAGGAATCCCTTTAAGGAGAGAGAGAGTCCATTAGATTCTGGAATATGCCTGGCATCACGCTGACACCAAATTGCAGCCGCTTTACCCTGAACGCTCCTCTGTGCGCCACAATCATAGAATCATAGACTCATAGAGTTGGAAGAGACCACAAGGGCCATCGAGTCCAACCCCCTGCCAAGCAGGAAACACCATCAGAGCACTCTTGACATATGGTTGTCAAGCCTCTGCTTAAAGACCTCCAAAGAAGGAGACTCCACCACACTCCTTGGCAGCAAATTCCACTGTCGAACAGCTCTTACTGTCAGGAAGTTCTTCCTAAGGTTTAGGTGGAATCTTCTTTCTTGTAGTTTGGATCGTCTGTGCCTCTGCTGTGGCCTTGTCCACCAGCAACTGCTAATAGGCTTGGGCCAAGTCCAACTTGCCAAAAAATTTTGACCCAGCCAGGGTGGCGAGGACATGGCTGACAACTGGCACTGGGTATGCGTGGGCCGTGAGGGCCTTGTTTATGGTACATTTGTAGTCTGCGCAGATGCAGACCGAACCATTAGACTTGACAGGTGTGACGATCGGGGTTTCCCAGGGGGCATTAGGCACTGGCTCCAGCGCTCTTTGCTCCATGAGCCAGTCCAATTCCTAGTCTATGAGGGGTTTCAGGGCGAATCAGACCCAGCGGGCCTTGAGCCTGATGGATCGTACGGCGGTGTCTAGCTGTAGGGCAATGGGGGGGGGCGTATATCGTCCCAATGCCCCACCGAAAACCCCTGGAAACTCTTTGCATATAGCATCCACGTCCACTTGTAAGCTAGTGCGGTTCACCCTAGTGACAGCTAGCCCCAGTGGTCCAAACCATGCCAATCCCAGCAAGATTATGTAGGGGCCCTTGACCACAAGCAAGTCCAATTGTCGCTTCTGCCCTCAATATTGCACCCTGAAGGTCCCCACCCCCATTGTGGGGACCTTACGTTTCTGGAAGTCCTGGAGGGTGAACGGGTCGGCCTGAGTTTGGGACCCCCATTAGGACACAGTTCCCTTAAGGTCCATGCCGAGATTATGGATAGAGTTGAACCCGTGTCAAGCTCCATGTGGCACAGGGCTTCCTCTATCTGTACCTCTACGTAAATTTTATCTGTGTTGGAATGGGGCAACTGGTATACCTGGCAGTCCGTGATCTCTGTCGCGTTGCCTTGGTGCGTCTGGAATGTTAGGTCCTTCTTGGCGTAGAAGCATCATTGCAGCTTCTGCAACGGTCCCTCAGGCCACCAACGAGGCGGTCACGAAGCATGTTCTCCAGCTCTGAGGAGTTGCAGAGCCAGGCAGCTTGGCGGAGGGAGGTAACAAACCGGTTTCCCCAGGGGCTTGTCGCTTTGCGTAGAAGGCATTTCAGCAAGCTACCACCAAGGGCTGCAGCGAGAAGTGCCCCTTCAGCCATTCCATTATTGTTTATAAATATATATGATATATAAAAATATATATAAATGCTGACCTGGAATATAAGTTTACCACCTCCCCTGCTTCCCTCTTTTCTTCTTCCCCAACCTTATTCTGTATACTGCACTAATGTCTCATATCAAATGTAAAAAGACTCCACAGCTTGCAAAAAGAGGCAATGTGCGTACTTTTGTAAACCAAGAATTTTAAAATAAAAATAAAACTAAGCAAATAAAAACAAATGATGGCCTTGCATTCGTAAGCATCTTGAAACAAGCAACTAACTGAATGTTCCTAGTGTTGGGTTGTTTCGTTTGTATCACAGCTACAAACAGCAGCAGACAGAAACCTACACAAGGCCTCACTCATGGCCCCACAGAAGAATATGCCAAGGTTGGATTATATCACTGTTTTTTGATGCTGCGTGAAGGGGAAAGGGTGCAAGGGGCAGCAGCCTGAATACTCCATGGCAGTGCCTCAGATAAAGAAAGAAGCTAAGGACAAAATGAGAACATCATCCCTCAGATAAATTGTGGTCTAAATGGAGAAGGTGGTACCGGAGGGAGATTAACAGAATTCCTATTTGAGAAACAAGGTGCTTAACACAATGAACTTCAACAGGGACAAATGTCAGGTTCTGAAGTTGTACATGTGAAAAGAATCTAGGGGTTTTGGTGGACCACAGGCTTAGCACAAGTCAACAGTGTGAAACAGCATCAAAAAAAGTGAATGGTTTTCTAGGCTGCATCAAGAGAAGTCTAGTGTCCAGATCAAGGGAAGTTGCAGGTTCACTCTCTTCTGCCTTAGTCAGACCCCACCCAGAGTCCTGGGCTCAGTCTGGGCTCAATCTGGGCACCACAATTTAAGAATATTGACAAACTTGAACATGTGCACAAAAGAGTGACCAAACTAAGGGGAGCACCCAAACCAACAGAAGCAAATAATAAGAAATGATATTCCAACCAAATATTAGGAAGAAATTTCTGAGAGGTTGGGTGGCCATCTGTCAGAGATTATGGAGCTGAACCATTGTTTAGGTGGTTTTGTTGGGAGGGAGTTGTTCCTTTTGTTGATGTTATTTTTTGTAGCTTTATTTTGGATGTTATGATTTATGTATGTGGAAAGTATTTGATTGGTTGCGTACTTTTTGATGTTTTGATGATTGTTTATGAGCATGATTTTAATTTTGTAAAGGCGGCATGCAAATAAAATGATTGAACGATTGATTGATTGATTGATTGATTGATTGCTGCATTGCAGGGGCTTGGACTAGCTGACCCTTGGTGTCCCTTCTCCATAGTTCGAATTCCTCCGATGGCTGCATGCAGTTGTTCCACCTGTTGGGCTTTGGGATCTACATCTTGGACTTTTCTAGAGGTTGTGGAAAGCTTGGTCTGCAGAGAGTCTCCGCGCTACTCATTTGGAAGTGGAGTTTAACTGCCATAGTCCTCATCATGTACAGAGCACATTTCAGAGCAGAAAGCACTCTGTATCCGCACATTTGGTCTCACACACCCCTGGCAGGATGAAGGACACAATTTAGACCAGAGACGGGGGGGGGGGTCACCCAAGTAGGCAATGTTGACCCGTGTTCCCTCTCCCCAGCCCCAGCCCAGTTCCCTGCATGCTGTTTGAGGTGTAAAACTACAGTTCCCGTGACTCTTTGGGGGGAAGTCATGCACTGTGATCGGGCTTTAAATGTAGGGGCGGGGGCGGCGGGGGAGGGAACCAGAGCAATAAAAAAAACCTTACTCAGACCCCTTCATGATATGGAGCAATAATACATAACTAGGCACTGCGCTATTTACAACAGAAACTTTTCACTGAGTTGGAAGGGTCGCCGAGGACCCCTGCAATTCAGGAACAGTTATATGTGGAATATCCCACAATCCGAAGCATTGCAGTCAGAAAGCGGATCCTTAAGTGCCTGCAGAAGCCGGGAGTACGCCGAAAGTTTTCCGCAGGTGTTTGAAATGTGATCCCCGAAGCTGCCTGTTGAATGCCTATTGGTGGAGCCATCCTCAGCTTGGGCCAATGACACGACAGGCTTTGCTTCTGCGGCTCAAAGGAGCGCCGATCAGGTCTGTCCCGCTGCTGAGCGCTACGATTGAAGCAGGTCCTGCGGAAGGTGATTCGGAGCGCAGAAAAAGGTGAGCGGTGGGCTCCGGGACCCTCCTCGGCGCTCGCGGGCTGACTCCCGTTCAAATCCTGCCCCGGGGCGTTCGAGAGGTGCATTTGGAGAGGGCAGGAAGGGGACCCCGCTGCTCTTCTGCTCCTAACGGGAAGCCTCCGAGGGGTTCAACACGTAGCTCGTCCCGGGCGGAGCATGTTGGGGGGTTTTCCCGCACCCGAACCCCGGTTTTGCAGCCCCCCGGGAGCCCTTGCAAAGACGCCGTGTCATCTACGGGTTTGTTCCGAGGTGTACTCGCGTGTGCGCGGGGAGCAACTGTGGTGCTCCATCCTTTGCCATTGCAAAGGTTTTTGCGTGTCAGAGCTGGAAAGGATACGCGTGCATGGGAACAAAACGCTGGAGTCGGGCTTGCAGGGCGGCTTGACAGAAGACTTCTGCTGTAGCCGCGAGTCCTTGGGTGGCCATACCTGGGAGGAAAGGGTTACCTGTCCGCACCTCGGCTGTCACCCTCCCCCCCGAAACTGCCCCTTGAAAACGCTGCTCTCAAGCCTCATTGCAGCAGGGAAGGGGGTTGCGGGGGGGCGGGTTGAGACTGGTGGAGAAATAACTCTTTCCCTCCCCCAAATGCTCCCTCCCTCAATTGAGTTTAGAAGAAGCCTTCCCAGCCCAGCACTCATGGCGCCGTTTCGGGCTTGTTCTCCCAATCTTTGGGAACCGGGGGGATGGTGGAAGTTGTTCTGCAAAGCCTCTGGAGCTTGGCCAAAAGTCTGGCTCTTGCGGACCAGTTCAGTTGGCTCCCTGGCAACGGTGCAGAAGTCGAGGCCATGGTGACATGCGAAGACCTTGAAAAAAGAGAGCGCCTGAGCCTGTTTTGCTTCTGGTAAACTCAGGCTGGTCCAGGCAGGATAAAAGTGAAGGACTATATTCATCACAGAATTGCAGGGCCGGGAGGGACCCCAAGCCTCATCTAGTCCAGCCCCTATTGATGGGACGTGTCCGTTGAAGTCGTGCAAGTCCTTCTGGAGCCAGATGCAGAGAATGGCAGCAGAGAAATGTTCAAGTAAAATGCATTAAATACAATTGCGGGAAGCCACCACACTCTATGACACTGCTCAAGAGTTATTTTGCTTTGGTAATTATGAGTGAACACAGTTAAAAACTACTATACAAACATTCAGAAAATTAAAATCAAGAATAAGCTAAAAACATTTCAGGATTGCGTAAACAAACATGCTTTTTCTAATGTTTTGTTTTGATCTTTTTCAAATCTTCAGCATATAATAGAAGAAAGAATAGGAAAACGAGACCAGATATACAATTATACAAAATACCGTAATGGCTGAAAACCGGTAAGTTAAGATCACTTTTTTAAAAAAATTGCTGAGGTTTTTTAATATTATTGCTCTTTTACTTTCTTTGTTACAGGGTTCAAAGATGTAATTGCCAGCCTGAAAATAAGTCTTTAAATATGAAACTATGCCAAAAAACTGAGGGGACTCCTATGTTATGTACCCCATTACCTGAACCTCATTAACTTTCTCTGTTTTAAATTACAGTTGTAAATTTTATAGTGATAGTTTTAAACTGCTTTGAGGTTTTTCTACAAACAAGTGGTATACATTTTATGAAATAAATAAATAAGCAGAAAGAAATAGTTATATCAAAAAGCATAGAAATTGCCATGTTTCCTTTGACCTCTTGCAACTTTCAGTTTGCATCATAATTCTTCTAACAGCACTGTTTGCCAAAGTATAGTGTACCATTGATCCAGATTTCAGTAGTTCAAAGTTTTCCAAGATGGCAGTGTGCCTTCAGTTAACAGATGTTATATAAGTCCTTACTTCCTAAATTCATCCTTCCTTGTGTAAACACATCAGGCAGAGCCAAATAAGGGCAGAGAGGGCTACTTTGTGCTGTGATCAGTGAAATACCTTTCCAAAAAGTTGCTACATTGGGGCAGTCCTCCCACCACATATTTTTGGGCATATACCTGCACAGCACCTGCAACATAGAGGAGAGCAAATTGGTTTTGTAAAGGACCATGGCCTGGAGGTCAAGCACCAACCATGGCTAACTTGAGAGGATGTTTCCTTGTCAAAGCCAATGAAGATTTGTATGGTCTCTTTGACCATAGATTCTGCCAGCTTTCATCCTCTATTTGGCTATGCCAGTGAGCCCCTCCATTACAGAGATTTGTTGAGTGAAGTGAATAAAATATTAATGCTTTATAAAATACAGAAATCAGTCCTTTTAGTAGAATGGTTTCTCATATTACTTTTTCAATGTTTTCCAACCGCTTTTTTAATATTCAAAAGGAAAGATTTTAACCAGCACCCTGGAACCATGAGAATTTACAAGGTGGGATTGTATGTCTTTTATAGAAAGTGGTTCACTCTCTATGGCTTAACCCTTAACATGATTTAGTGGACACAACTTCCACTCAGAGATATTAACATGTCCTGAATTATTTGTTCTGAAGCAGGAGGTGATATTGAAGAGGAAAAACTGATAACAGCCTGGTGATAAATATTTAGTCTACTTAGCTGATAAACATTCAAGATAAAGAACAGAACTTGTTTTTCCAAAAAGCTCATGCTCTTAAGAGAACATTATTCCCCTTCTTCTTCTTGTCCTTCTGCTGGCAGATTATTATTTTTTCTGTTGTGGGATAAATCAGTCTTATGCAACTAACCCACTTAACTTTTAATTCATGCATGAAGGGGTTAAAACCATAGCTTAATCTGTCCTATTAGGCTTAGTTGGTCACCACCATCCCACTTAGGAGGAAGGGGGTTACCAAACTCTTTGTTCTATCTTTTTTTCTTTCTTTTTTTTTTTTTGCTTCCACCCTGAGAATCTGACCAGTAGGATGTCTAAGCTGGATGCAAACTAAATTTCTGTTTCTATATGAATAATTTAGAAATATTTACCACTTTTTATACCTACGGTAAGTCAAACTACCTGCTTTTTCTTTCTGCTGTATGGTGGAAGCAAAAACAAAAAGAACAAACAGTTTAATATGTTTTATTTTATGCTGTTCTACTGTAATTGAGAGAATTAGTTTGTGTGCCTTCTACTTTTGCAGTTGCCTTATTGCCTATTCCTGCATTGTAGGGTGTTAGACTAGATGACCCCTGGGGCTCCCCTCCATCTCTACAATTCCATTCTCTTCTATCAGTGTTTAATTTCTTTTGAATCATTGTTTTATCTATGTTTTAGTGATGGCTGCTTTCTCTCTGTGGTGCCTTATCGCAATTACTTCTATTCCACAGTAAAGAGGAGGAAGAGAGGGCAAGAGCAGAAACTGGCCCGGAGCCTTCAGAGGGGGGGGAAGCTGCCCACAGTGCTGACCCTCCTGTTGTTGGGGCACAAGTCAAGGGGCATTCATCTCCGCAACACGCCATGACAGACTCTGCAGAGTCAGAAGACATGGAAGAATCATGTGACAATGAAGCAACGATAAAAGAAGCAGACAGGATCTTGGGACTATTGAAAGTCTTTTATAGAGAAGGCGGTGAGAGTCCCATAAACTTCTTTAAGTTTGTGACTGATCCAAATTCTTTTGCGCAAACCCTGGATAACATGTATCATGTTTTATACTTGGTAAGACATGGGCTTGCAAGAATAAAGGCAGATGAGGATGAGATTCCTGTTTTGGAACCTTTAGATCCAGGACAAGGCAGTTATGTTCCGCCACAAACCTCAGGCCTCATTCCATTGAGCATTGCATGCTGGGAGCAGATTGTGGAACTTTTTGCAATTTCACAGCCCATGATTCCACCTGCCCCAGAGGCATAGGCAGGATATGAGCCCATCTGAATGCATCCTTAAGATTTGTAAGTTTAAAAAAATGCTATGTAGTATGTTTCTTTCATAATATTTCATGAATGTAAAATAAATGATGTTATGAAACCCTGCTTTTAAGTCTATAAACTAAATAGAAGTAATTGTCACCATTACTGTAATTCACAGTCTTCTTCTTTCTTCTTCTTCTTTGGCGATTACTCGTAGCCGAGTAAGATTGTCTTCCATAAACATGGTTTTAACTATGAGTCCATAAGTGACTGTGGAGGACAATTCTGTGGATTCACAGTGTCCTTCCACAGTGGGGACATTGGTTTCTGGGCGGGAGTTGATCATAGTGTGGATTTGCCAAGCGTGCCTTCCTCTTAGCACGTTTCTCCCTTGTGTCCTGAGTTTGAGTGTCTTCAAAGCCCATGATACCTTTGGTAAAGGCTGTTCTCCAACTGGAGCGCTCACAGGCCAGTGTTTCCCAGTTTTCATACTACATTTTTTAAGATTTGCTTTGAGACAGTCTTTAAACCTCTTTGTGGACCACCAACATTATGCTTTCCATTTTTAAGTTCAGAATAGAGTAGTTGCTTTGGAAGACAATCGCAAAACATGACCAGTCCAATGAAGTTGATGTTGAAGAATCATTGCTTCCACAATGGTGATCTTTGCTTCTTCCAGTACATTGGCATTAGTTCGCCTGTTTTCCCAAGTGATGTGTAAAAAATTTTGGAGACACCATTGATGGAATCTTTTGAGGAGTTGGAGATGGCGTTGATAAGTGGTCCATGTTTCACAAGCACATAGTAAGGTTGGCAGTACAATAGCTTTATAAACAAGCATTTTGGTTCTTAACCCGAGGTACTATTTCTGGGTTAGTGGAATCTGTAACCTGAAGTGTATGTAACCTGAAGCGTATGTAACCCGAGCTACCACTGTACACAACTCTCCCAGATTTGGAGATACAGTGGTACCTCGGGTTACAGACACTTCAGGTTACAGACTCCGCTAACCCAGAAATAGTACCTCGGGTTAAGAGCTTTGCTTCAGGATGAGAACAGAAATCATGCTCTGGCGGCGCGGCACCAGCAGGAGGCCCCATTAGCTAAAGTGGTGCTTCAGGATAAGAACAGTTTCAGGTTAAGAACGGACCTCCAGAACGAATTAAGTACTTAACCAGAGGTACCACTGTACTGCAAGCTCATCTCTAACTTGTTTTTGCGGAATTTGTGAGAGGACCTCAGCAGCAAAAGGGGAGTTGCTGTTAAGGAGATGCTGGTAATGTTCTTTCCAGCACAGTGCAATAGCTTCTTTATCTTTTAGAAGTGTGGTACTGTCTATTAAACGTAGGGGGCATATGCCATGGTTTATTGGCCCATAGACGGTTTAACAAACAGTGTTAGAAACTGAGCTATGAAAGCTAGAAGCTAAATGGCACCATAAGCTTAGGTTATGGGCACAACAATGGAATGTCTAGGCGTGCTTTTTAAATAACAAGAATACAAAGCTGAAAATGAATGAACTGCAGCTAAAGTATTATGTTCATTTTTCACATGCTTTATTCTTTCCCCTGCCCACCCCCCTAACATTCTTAAGAGGGTCATTTCTCTATTCTTCAGAGAGTAACTGGGAGTGGGGAGGCAGAAAAAGGTCCTCCTTTCCTTCCACTCCGCAGTTTTAATCTGAAATCTGAGGCTCAATAGTATGCCCAAAGCTCAGAAACTGCTCACATTAATAAAATTCCCTGTTGCAAAATGCACCTAGAACAGTGGGAGTTTCGAACACTGTTCACAAATGGTACATGAACTCCAGAAAACTTTCTTCTGTAGACCACACACAATAAACTACAATGAGATAAAATGAATTCAGTTGGGAATCTGCAGTTTACAGCATTTGATTCAATCTTCTGTTTTCTTCTTCTGCATGAAGAAGTGTTAATAATAATAATAATTTTATTTATACCCCACCCATCTGGCTGGGTTTTCCTAGCCACTCAGGGCGGCTTACAGCATATATTGAAACATAATGAAACATCAAACATAAAAAACTTCCCAAAGCAGGCCTGCTTTTAGATGTCTTCTAAAACTTATGTAGTTCTTTATCTCCTTGACATCTGAAGGGAGGGTGGTCCACAGGACAGGTGCCACTACCAAGGAGGACATCTGCCTGGTTCCCTGTAACCTTTCTTCTTGCAGAGAGGGACCTGCCAGAAGGCCCTCGGCGCTGGACCTCAGTGTCCATTCTTGACAATGGGGATGGAGATGCTCCTTCAGGTCTACTGGGCCGAGGCCATTGAGGGCTTTCAAGGTCAGCACCAACACTTTGAATTGTGCTTGGAAACGTATTAGGAGCCAATGCAGATCTCTCAGGACTGGTGTTATGTGGTCCCGGCAGCCACTCCCAGTCCCCAGTCTGGCTGCTGCATTCTGGATTAATTGCAGTTTCTGTGTCCCCTTCAAAGGTAGCCCCACGTAGAGCGCGTTGCAGTAGTCCAAGCAAGAGATAACTAGAGCATGCACCACTCTGGTAAGACAGTCTGCGGGCAGGGAGGGTCTCAGCCTGCATACCAGATGGAGCTGGTAGACAGTTGCCCTCGACACAGAATTAACCGGTTCCTCCATGAACAGCTGTGAGTCCAAAATGATTCCCAGGCTCTGCACCTGGTCCTTCAAGGGCACAGTTACCCCATTCAGGACCAGGGAGTCCTCCACACCTGCCCGCCCCCTGTCCCCCCAAAACAGTACTTCTGTCTTGTCAGGATTCAACCTCAATCTGTTAGCTGCCACCCATCCTCCAACCGCTTCCAGGCACTTATACAGGACCTTCACTGGTTCTGATTTAAAAGAGAGGTAGAGCTGGGTATCATCCGCATACTGATGAACACCCAACCCAACCCCCTGATAATCTCTCCCAGCAGCTTCATGTAAACGTTAAAAAGCATGGGGGGGGGAGGACGGAACCCTGAGGCACCCCACAAGTGAGCACACTCATCCCCCAACACCACTTTCTGGACACAGCCCAGGAGAAAGGAGCGGAACCACTGCATAACAGGGTCCCCAGCAACATTTGGGGTGTTTTGGTGTAGAGAAAATATGAGCAGAATTTTATATAATGAAACCTAGCCTGGAGAAAGTGGGCAGAGTGAAGCTGTTATTCTCTCAAAATGCTAGAACTCAGGGACATCTGATGAAGCAAATGTTGGGAGATTCAGGATGGGCAAAAGACAGTCCTTCTACACACAGCACATAGTTAACTATGGCATTTGCTCCCACAACAGGCAAAGACGTCCATCAGCTTCAATGTCCCTGAAAGATAATTAGATAAATTCTTGGTGGATGAGACTACTGGTTGCTACCCACGATGGCTTTATTCTCCCTCCTCCGTCAGAGGCTCTTTACCTATGGATTCTCCTTACTGGTGGGGAGAGTGATGGTGCGCTCAAGTCCTCCTTGTGAGCCTCCCCCTCTGTGGACCACTGTGAAAACAGATGCTGGAGAAATGAGAGTCAGGTTTGATCCAGCAGGATTCTTCTTGTGCTCTTATAAGAGAGCAATTATCACAGCCATGTGACTGGTATATCAGTTAATAGAGTTCTCTCTCAAAATGTCTTCCTTGCTATGAGATGCATGTCACTGTGACATCAATTTCCAGTGGAACATTCTCCACATACCTAGTCACTGCTCTTCTGGAATGTTCTGAAAGCCAGGCGACAGTTTGAAAACCCAGGGACAAGGCAGGGCATGAGCTGACCCTTCCATGGCCTGACTGTATTGGATCCTACACACACTTGCCTGGGAGTAAGGCCCATGGAACACATTAGGGCTTATTCTCAAGTGCACATATGTATACATTGTGCTGTAACTCATAATCCAATATGCTAACCACCACATCATACTGGCTTAGAAAGTCAAGGTATCTTAACAGTAAATGCAAAATTACAAAATACATAGAACACAATCTTACGAGGGCTTACTAATCTTGCCACTATGTCATTTTATACACCCAATATACAATTTAAAATTCCCCAATATGGTGAGACAATTGCCTCCTCTGCCAATACTTCATTGGTAAGATTTACTGGAAAAAACAGTTTAAGGGAGCCCTATGCCACTTTTTTTTTAAAAAAATAAGATTTTATTAAAGCTTTTTCATAATACAATAAGTTAAAAGAAACTAATTTAAATAAAAGCAAGAACAGAGAGAAAAAGAGAAAACACCAAAGGAAAACAAAAATAGAAGACAAGAAGAAAAATAAAAGTTCTGATTTTCTGTTTGTCACTTACATGAAAGAAATCATTCAAAATATTCACTCTGGCTTGACATCCAACTGATCTATTTTCCCAGTCTTCCAACCCAAATGTCTCAGATTAATTTCTTTTCCTTTTCACACAAAAAGTCCAAAGGGGTTATCTAATTTTTGTTATTAATAAATGTCAGCAATTGTTTTTCTCCATTCAAACATATCAGCTTCATCACCAATAATGTCAACAAATAATTCCTCCATATTAAACCATAATAAGGCTTTCCATCTTTTCCTCACAAATCTCTCTGCTGTGATCATATATTAAAATAATAATCCATATTTCTTTTCTGATTATGTATTCATCAATTCACAACCAGTTATATATTTTCCATTCCCATTTCCTGCTGTATTTGCCATGGTTTCTTCACCTTGATTTTGAAAAAAAAAACCCTTCAATTTATGCTTCTTTTATTATATTTCCAAGAAAAGCTCCAGAGGTTTGATAGCTTTTTCCTGGAAAATCACTCCAAGCTGTACAGAGAGTCCTTACTCAGTTATCTCTGCTAGCTCATCATGTCTATTCCGCTCTCCCTCCATGGCTTCATTGCACTCCTCCAACATCTCAGCTTCACTATTTAACTCTTTCATTCTTCTAAAAATCTGTATGAAAGACTTTTCCGTTTCACTTTCCTGTTCTGGCAATCCTTTATCTATATTCTTCTCCGAAGTCTCTTTGTCCTCTTTGATTCCGCTTTCCATTTCATCCTCTGATCCTCTTTCATTAACCATTTCATCAATCCTAGCTTTAATGACATTTTCTGCTCATCAAACATTTGCTGAAGGATGCCAACAGTCGGTGGAATGTCCAGTGATATATTTGCCATACTGAATGTTTTTGGTCTTACTAATATTTCAGTCTTTTTATGTCTCCCATCTCCACCTTAAGATCTTCACAGTGTTTTCTCTAATGAAAACACCTTCCTTTCCCATGGAATAAATATGAAGTGGCAAAATTATTTTTGATTTCAAGAAAAAAAGAATTTTCATCAAGAAAAAAGAAAATTAAAAATTAAGAAAATAAAAATTCTTAGCACTCATAACTTCCTGTAATTATTTAAAAATTTATTGTCTAAAACAATTAGAGCGTGCTTTCTGTTCTGCCTTCAGCCTTTAATGATGGACTCTTCTTAAAGCCAGAAAGTAGCTCACACACCAGATGTAAATATCCACTGGCTGACAGAGAAACCTTTCTCGGTCATAAATTATAACCATCTCAGAGATAATTAAAGAAAGGGAGGCTTTTGCACACCTTATGCCCATCAGAGTTTTAACATATCTTTTGGAAAGATGATGATTCCTCCGCTCATAAGTCAATCACCCCCTCTAGTTTCCCCGGAGCTGACAGCTTCTCTGTCTCCTGATGTAGAAAATGTCTTTTTCAGAGCATTAGAGGTTAATTGCCTTTCACTCTTATCTCTAGAGCATTAGTGTGCATTGGCAGCACCCTGAGCAAGGCAAAGATTGTTCCCCCGAATCTCCTTGCAGGGATTGCATGGGAGGCAAGAGGGGGGCGGTGCTGCACCCCTTCAGCAGCTGCTCCTCATGGAGGTTGCCTGTTGGTTACCATGTTTGCCCTCTCAGCTTGGTGTGCTCCTGGTCTCCTTGGTGGGCTTGGCAGCGTCCCAGAAGCACCTGGGCTGCAGCTGCAGCAGGCCTAGTAGGAGGGCGGCAGGGAGCAAGCCAAGGCACTGTGCAAGGACAGGTGAAGGAAGGTCCTGTTGTGGGGCACGCACATCGCCCAAGGACACACAACGGAAAGGAGGCCCCAGGGAAGGACTGGCCTCCAGCCAGTGGGAATTCCACCTAGGAGTTGCTGTCCCTTCACTGACTGTGAGAAGAACACAGCAGACACACAGCCTTGGCACCCCCTCAGAATTCTGCACTGAGGGCCACAGCATCCCTTGCCCCTCACGCTATACCATTGCTCTAGAGTGAATTTGATAGCCAAGATTCATGCCTGGCTATCATCTATCACTGTAATTATCTCTGTTGGCAACCTGCCAACAAAAGATGTTCAGTTGATAGAGCTCCTCCCCCTGAAGTCCTATTCCACTTTTACAGCTTCCACCCAATCTCTGTTGCCCCTTGAAATATTTGGCCTGCCGGCTGCTCTCTTTCAGATCTGTGATCCTATAAATGCTGCTATAATCATACAAACATACACAGCTGCCTTCTCCAAGGCAAATAAACTGGTCCACGTAGTTCAGTATCAGCGGCTTCCCAAGGCCCAAGGCAGACACCTTGCTACTCAAGACCCTTTTCACTGAAGATGCCCAGAGGTAAGTCTTCTGCCTGTAAGACATGTACGCTCCCTACCAATGAGCTATGATCATGCCACGGTCTTCCAAAGCCGAAGCTTCTTATTCCTCCCACCATATGACTCTACAGTGGTACCTCGGGTTAAGTACTTAATTCATTCCAGAGGTCCGTTCTTAACCTGAAACCGTTCTTAACCTGAGGCACCACTTTAGCTAATGGGGCCTCCCACTGCTGCCAATGCATGATTTCTGTTCTCATCCTGAGGCAAGGTTCTGACTTAACCCAAGGTACTACTTCCGGGTTAGTGGAGTCTGTACCCAAAGTGTTTGTAAGCCGAGGTACCACTGTCCTGGCTCCCAGGTGCCTTCTGCATCTGGCATAGACTGCATCTGGTGCTTTGAAGAGCTGCCTCTCGCTTCTGCTCTTATTTCCAAATGCACCTTTACCTGTGACATCCCACCCAGCTGCCAGGTGGTCTCCTGCAACCCCTCTCCTTATTTCTGTCCCTCCTTATGCATGGGACTGTCTCCACACAAGTCCTGGAGGGTTGATACCTTCTTTTAAGAACTCCTTAGTTCCCCTTTCTTCTCCATGTATAAATGACTCAACAGCGAGGCCAAATAGCAGGGACTTTGGGGTCTGTCTTCATCCCACTTCCTGAGTTTAGTTACTGCCATTTGTCTGAGCAGCAGCAGTCTTTTTGCTTCCATTGCAGGCTGCACCTCCTCTCAAGAATTCGGAAGAAGCAGATCTGTGCCTGCTGCACTGAGAGAGAGAAAGGCCTGGCTGGAAAATGCATGCATCATTCTTGCATTTGACTTCCAAGAGAAAAATCCTGACATAGGCAAGCTGTGCCTCTTCCTTTCTGTGCTGCTGCAGTAGCTCCAGAGATTTAGGCTTTTAGCACCTTTCCCACTCTACAGAGGTAGCGGACCTGTTAGGACAGTGCACCCTCAGCGGCTGATGGATACAATGGGTTTCCAGGCGGTTCTGGGAGATTTCTGAGGCTGAAGCCCTGGCCAACCTCTAGTACTGGCATACGAAGGGGGGGCGGGGGAATGCGCTGCACCGGGTACCATTTGGGGAAAGGGTGCCATCACAGCTGCGCCCCTGGAACGCGCACCAGCCACGCCCCTACCTGTTCTCCGCTCCGGGGGCTGCAGCACGTTGAGACTACAATTCCCATCAGCCTTGACCACTGATCCCGCTCGCTAGGGATCATCGGAGCTGTAGGCCAAAAACATCTGGGGGGCTGAGGTTGAGGAAGCCTGATCTAGAACATCTGAATGGCTCAAGCCATTGACATGATTGCTCCTGCTTGAGAGCCTGCCTGGCTCCCTGGTATACTGCAGAGCTTAGGGCAAGGAAATGAGCCGGGAGACAGCTTCAATTATGAGCGTAGCCAGGATTTTTTTGGGAGGGGCCAGCAGTGGTATAGCTAGCCGTGAGGGCGGGGCAAGCCTCTCCAAAGCTTGGAGCCTCTCCGCCGCCCCCCCCCCAGCTGTAGGGCGGCTGAGGGAGAGGCAGATGCAAGTCCCACGCTGCTGTTTCAGGCAGGGCAGAACCTGCACGCGCCTAAGCCACCATGTCACTCCTAAAAAGTTTCGTGAGCCCTTTTAAAAAACAAAAACTCATTTTGTCACACACACCCCAGTGATAACACCCAGGGCGGGGGGCGCCCCCTTCCTCCGCCACTGGGGGGCAGAGCCTCAGTTAGCTATTTTTATTGATGGGGGGGGGGAGCTGGCCCTCCCTACCCACCCAAGGCTTCCATGCAAGTGGAGAAAAACTCCAGTTGAATGCAGTTGAGCACTGATGCAGGCTTATCATCAAGAAGGCCTACTTTGCTGCCTCCACTGCATCCCAGCTGGGCCACCCAGAAGAGCTTTTCCAGATGGTGCAGAACCTTTTAGCCTGGCCCAAAGGAGGTGGTGGGGCCCACAGTACCGCACTGTGACTTGTCTGCAAAGCTCTTTGAGGATAAAATTGCTTGCACCCACTGGGACCTTGACTGCTGTTACAGCAGATGAATCTCAAGGTGTCTAGCCCTGCTGTGTTGGATGAGTTATGGTTCATAAGGCTCAAGGACGTGGACAAGGTGCATGGATCAGTCAGGGTGAATACTTGTTGTTTTTTGTATTTTGGTTAAAAGATAAAATGCTACGTATAATAAAATGAAGAATTCCATAGATAGCAAGATCCAAGTTTGGGACAAGTACTCTTTCGTGATAAAACCCTAGGAAAGATTTAAAATCATCAAATATGCAAAATAAGTGTGGAATTATAAGTTGTTACAAGGAACACAAAGAGACACAAAATCCAAAGAAACAAACTTATTTTTTATAGGCCCATGATTCTTTTTTCCTTTCACAGTGCAGGGAACAATCAAAGATTTAGTCATCATAAACCAAAAAAGGTGCAATTATGCTTCAGAATATAATTACAAGAACACCACAACTATAGCAGTTAATAGTACCATGAAATTCCAACAGACAATTCCAATAGTAAGTAGAATAAACCAGAACTTGACATACAGTGTCATCTGATGCAGAAAAAGGTGTCCATTCTGTTCAGGGAAAAGACAGCTCCAAAGGAAGGGTTTCTTAATCCTTTTATCAAGGATTATGCTCCTTTGCCACCAGACCATGGCCTATCAGGGTCCATACCTGGACCTGGGAGGTAATAAGTTCCCACAGCTGTATTCGAGGTCATTAAGGATGGGGGAAGAGTGCAAAGACCCCCTGGAGATATTAAGCACAAATAATGTTCTACGTTAACATCAAATAAATTAGTCAATAGAAAATATTAGGAGTTATTTCTGGCAAATCATGGGTGAACCTTGGGCAATTTCAGTATATGTCTTTAATCAGTTCTGTTAAAAGGTTCTCTTTATTATTCACATGCAATAAAATCTGGGACCAAAACAATCACCCTGACGAAAACAGAATATTCATCTAATAAGCATCAGAAATCTGGAATTTACAGCAGCCTGTTGACATAAACATGCCAAGCAGCTAAATGTATGAAACAAAGATGGGGAGCTTACTACTACATAAGGAGAGAGATTGTTTTTTAAAAATGGTATTTCATTTTAGCAGAGATGCTCAGTCTGGGCAAAGGGAAATCGAGGGCAGGGGATCCTGGCCAGCACAGCAACCCACAAAATTTATGTGGATGACTACAAATCCTTAATTCATAACTAAGATACAGAAGCAATGCTGGCAGCTGATCCTCTCACTCATAAATTATGTACATTCAATTGCCACCATTTTGGAAAGTGAGACTGAAAGAGCCCCATATGTCTCCTCTGGAGCATGGCAGGGATAATATCTGTGCCTGCTGTTCATGCCCCACTTTGAGCATGAATACATCGCTTGTGCCAGGGAACCTAACTTGCAACTTTGATCCCACCTTACAGGGTTATGGGAACTTTCCATGACTGCTATTGACAACAAAGAGGGAACATTTTTCTACCCTTTTCTGCAAAAGGGAGGAAGACATTGGCTATTGAATGCACTTCATCCTTCTATTCCCAGCGGGACAGTAAAGAATGACGGGACGCTATATTGGAAAGAGGGTGTGTGGGCCCTAACCTCCAAAGCAAGACACAGAACAGTGAACTGGGTAAGATCAAAAGAATAAAACTTGCTACTCCAGAAATGTTAGAAAGAAGTATGCAAGCTTTAATACCACGAGAGATAAAATGTATTTAAATAAAATAAAGGGATTAATAAATATACTGCTATATCCAATCGATGCCTGATCAACCAACTCTTGTGACAAACAATTGTGCCAAGACCAAAATGTGTTCCAACCATGTGGGACTTCCTCAGTGATCCAAAACATTTCTCCATATGATGTGTCACAGTAAATCTAGTTTGTCTGGATGATCTGCATTTGATCTTATGCATCATTTGTTGCTTCTCATATCTGGATCTATCATTTTATTTATTATTTATTATTGTATTTAAACATCTATATTAATCAACAACAACAATTGTATTGTTTACACCCTGCCTATCTGGCTGGGTTTACTTATTGAATGGGTTTATTTATCGTGGCACTGATAAACATTTTAGTGTTTCACTTTACTGGATTCAGCTGCATCAAGATCTCACTGAATCTGCTACTGGCAGCCCCTCTCCGGCTCTCCTGTATTGAGAGGGGACTGGCACAGCCACAGCATTGCAACGCTGTGACATGGGCTACTTTCTGCAATGGGAAGACAGAAAAGGGAGGCGGCCAATGCGAGCCTAAGAATTATTTCCCTCTGGTATTACCTACAAAAAAAGTTCATCAGAACAAGGTCCAAGGGGCACCAAGGGGCACAGGCACTCTCCCTGTTCAGGTGAGGAGTGCAGTGACACCCTGTGGACTAGAAGCGGATTTGTCAAGGAAGTTTGTTTCACAACATTCCACAGTATCAGACGCGGATATTTTTGTCAATATGATAACTGGTTATATCAGTTTACAAAATATTTAATAAGAGGGGGATAAAGAGGTCATTGACTCTTGTTTGGAAAAGCCTTAAACAAAGGAAATCATTAATGTGCAGGTGATGTAAAAATCTCAACTCATGAGCATTTTCCCTATTACTGTTTTAACATCAAACTTTTAAGATACAGACATCATATAAAAATACACACACATACTTCATGGAATTCCTGCATAGCGGGGGGGGGGGGGGATGTATCAGTACTCAACAACGAATTCCTATGATAACAATGGAAACCAGCATTTATTAATTTTTTAGGTGCAGTGGAGGTCCTACTTCTCTTGTGCAAGCTGGAGGAGAAGAAGAAAAACATGAATCAGGGTTGTTCTTGAAAAATTTCCCTTCGTTTCAATAGAGCTTGCATGAACAACCTCTATGGCTGGCTGCAGCCAGAATGTTCAATCTTAAAAGAAAGGACATAAATAACAAGGAACTGCATGGAAGCATACTTAAGGCATGACATTCAGACCTGAGAACATAAAAAAAAAAGTTTGAAAAGAAAGAGAAAGTTGTTATCTTGGTTTCTTGGCTGTATTGTAAGACCTCCACCTCCTGCTACTTCTGCACTTAAGTGCTTCCTGCTTAGTGCGGGAAAAGAACCATCACCCACTGATGAAAGTCAAAGGCCCCCAGTTCTTATAAATACAAAAAGTCTGGCTGGCACCCCTAAGAAGCCAAGCTCTCTTGCAGGTGTGAACATGTGCCACACTCTCCCTCCTGGAGGATAATCCAGGCTGCTTCTCCCTCTCCTGCTGCAGCTGCCTTTCTTCCATAAACCTTGTGCTATGGGGCACATCCACCACATAGGGGTCTGACTCCCCACACCTTTCCCAACATCCTGCTGCAACCGAGTTAGGGAATCTACTGCCTTTAGAGGGTGGCTTTGCTTCTCTCGAGCTTCTTGCTCTCTCTTTTCTTTGTACTGTTGTTAAATGGAATGATGTTCAAACAAATCAAAACCGGATTCTCTTCTTTTTTCAGGGTCATCACACTTTTGTGTTAGCAGCGCAAAGTGTTAAGTTTGTACAGCCCTATAGCGCTTTGAGAAAAGGGGCAGAAATAAGAGCTGTACATTGAAAAGTTTTCTATGGCAACTGTTTTCTCTGAAGAAAACATGGCATTCAGAAATCCTGGCTTCCCAAAAACACCCACTGCACCAAGTAAAAAAAATAAATCAAAAGGCTTAATAAAAAAATATCATGGCAGGATGAGGCTGAATACACCAAGTGCAATATCAGCGAGTTGTTCAGGGCTCTTCCTTAGGCAAAACAAAACAAAACAAAACAAAAACATGTAAATAATCTATGGCAGCTCACAAATATATTTCTCATTTAACATGAAAGAGACACAAGAACAAAAACCAAAGGTTGTAGTTTTTTTATAGTCACATAAGCATGCGAAGAAGTGACCAAACCAAAGTGCAACTATACAGGATGGATGGACGGACAACTCCCTTTCGGTACTACCTAAACTGCCACTTTTGAAAACCCACACCTAAGAGTCTTAAACCTCTGCATGTCCTGTTCACACAGCTGAACTCCATGATATGGTGTGGAACTGGTCTTCTTGGCAGCTATGCAGCAAGAAGAAAATTTTGACATAGCTGAAAGGCACAGCCACTCAATTGCAAGTTTAGAAAGGGAGCCAGCAATGGCTTCGCATGGCTGTTAATTGATCTAGAAACACTCCTTAATTCTCTATGTGAAAAACCAAACTTTGCCCACTTTGACTGTTTCATAACTCAGAACCTGCCCCTGGTCCTATGGAATAAGGCATGAGAGAAATTTAAACACAAAAAGAAAACAAACACCCACCTTCAATCCAAGCACAAATCTTAAAGAACTTGCTTTTATGAATCACCTGGAGCCTTATTATGAGAAGCACCTGTTGCAACTGGAAGACAGATGCAAGCGGCTCCTGTCAACAAGCCACTGACCATTTGCTCCTTGACCGTTTCATCCAAGCACTCTATTACCATCACAGCTTCTTATCGGCTGGTGACAGGTTTAGCATGCAGGCCATCATAATATCAAGGTCTGTTCTAACAAATCCTATAGCAGTGCTACAGAGAGGAAATTTCAAGTCTCCAGAGCTGCCATCCACTAAAGGAAGGCAGCCAAAACCACCTGCTCACCACCTGAGATGGACGTGGCAAAACGCAACCCAAGATGCCACCACCACCACTACCTCCTTCCTACTCTCAGGTAAGTGATGGGAAATTGCAAAAGAAAAGCAGACTATTTGACACAAGTTGGGAGGGAAGATCTTGGCAGCAGTCCCCCCCTTCCCCCTTCATAAAGGATATTTGTTCTAAAACAGTTCCACTGCTACACAGTATAGTCCATGAGTTTAACTTATGAAAATTAAGAGTCGCTCTTCACAAGTTGTCTCATATGGGTAGTTATATTCTCCTAACACCATATAAATAAGTAATATTTATACAGCTTAGACATTCTGAGACATGCAGTAGTTTTTTTGTTGTAGGTAGTACATTTTTCTTCATGGTCGTATGTGGGGGGGGTTTACTGATCACCTTGTTACCAGCAGATCTCATGCCGGCCCATGTCTGGCATTGTCTACTACATTTGAGGGTGGCTCTGAATCATCCATGGGGAGAACGAGGCGTGTGCCCCTTATGACAAGTTCGTGGTCCCCAAACCCAAGCTCCTGGTCCAGGGTGTCCTCAGAACCATTTCCCGCCGCCCTTCGAGATGCGCCAGATGTCAAAGAATCTGTGTTCACGGTGGAATCCCCGTAGGTCAAACTGATGTCTCCGTCATTCAAAATAAGGTCTGAATCATCGTCTTTCAGCTGCTCTTGATTCTGAGTAAAAGAAAAGAGCTATTTTACCAAGCAGCTAATATGCTGAATTAATATCTATTCCTGCTGCCCAAGATGTCTGACTGGCATAATAAAATTTGAAAGTTTTTATTTTATGACTGCAATTTTCTACAAGGTACCCATGTCCCAAGCAGAATATGAAGGTTTCACAACCTAGGCATGTTCCACGAGATTCAGATCCAGGACAATTGGGTCCTAACCCCACCGGAGTAGTCATCATTTCTCCCCTGCCTCACTTATACCTGTAAAATGGGGCTAAATACCTGCTCCACAAGAATATTGCTTAAAAATTAAGTCCATCTGCATTCATAAAACACTACAGAATTTATCTTCTTTGACTCCCATAGTATTTAACAATTTTACAGAGGCAAACAGGTCTCCCAAAGGCCATTACCAAAATCAAACTGCCAAGTTCAGAAGTATCAGATGCTTAGGAATGCCAATAAAGGGTGGTCTATTGGGAACATGATGAAGGTATGGATGGACTTTGACTGACCAAGCAACATTTACCGTATTTTTCCATGTATAACACCCCCCATGTATAAGACACCCCCTATTTGGGGGGACAAAAAATTAAGAAACTGGGGGGGGGGATTGCCCAGAGTTGTTGAACTTTTTTTGGGGGGGGTGGCCCAGATTTTTTTGGGAATGACAAAAATCACTCACCCACCAGACCGACAGTGCTGCTCACACGCATCAACAAAGCAAACTATCCTCTGTCCCCTCACTGTCAAAAGCAGTGAATTGCCTGCCCAACTGCTGCTGCGACAGCAAATCAACACCAGCCCTTCCCGCAGCCACCAATAGCAATCTCCGACTCGCGGCAGCAACCAATCCCATGTCCCCACAATGCACTACCCATGTATAAGATGACCCCAAATTTTGAACAAGATTTTTGAATAAAAAACCATAGTCTTATACATGGAAAAGTATGGTATGTGGCTTTCTGCTGCATTATGTTAGCAGTGGATTATCTTGAAATGTTGCTATATATGTTTATTGCACTTTTCTGATGCTGTTTGGAGCTGCTCTAAGCACGATTTTGAGCAAGAAAGTGGCATATGATAAATAGATAAAGACAGAAGCCAGTCTGATTTGGAAACTGAAAAGCAATCACAGCACTTGGTGGAAAAAGCTGCTCCAAGAATACAGTAACTGTTTTGCACAGCCAAACCTCAGCAGCTGTGGAAACACAACATACACCGAAAGTATTCCATGGTCATTCTGGGAGGTTCTGCACGTACCTCATAAGCCTGAGGGCTGGTCAGGCACCTGGCAATGGGGCCGCAGCAGCTTGGGAGCGTTGTTGTTAGAGGAGGACCACTGTGCGTCAGGAGGGGCTTCAGGTAACTGAAGGGGGGGCGTTATTAAGGCACAAAACACTTCAATGAGAGCACTTCATGGGTTTTTTATATAGCAACAACAACAAAAACAATTTATTATTTATGCCCTGCCCATCTGGCTGTGTTTCCCCAGCCACTCTGGGTGGCTTCCAACAAAAGATTAAAAACAGATTAAAACATCAGTTATTAAAAGCTTCCCTAAACAGATGTCTTCCTTCAGATGTCTTCTAAATTTCTGATAGTTGTTTATTTCCTTGATATCTGATGGGAGGGCGTTCCACAGGGCAGGCACCACCACCGAGAAGGCCCTCTGCCTGGTTCCCTGTATAACTTGGCTTCTAGCAGTGAGGGAACCGCCAGAAGGCCCTCGGAGCTGGACCTCAGTGTCTGGGCTGAAGGATGGGGGTGGAGACGCTCCTTCAGATATACTGGACCGAGGCTGTTTAGGGCTTTAAAGGTCAGCACCAACACTTTGAATTGTGCTCGGAAACGTACTGGGAGCCAATGAAGATCTCTCAGGACCAGTGTTATGTGATCTTGGCGGCCACTCCCAGTCACCAGTCTGGCTGCCGCATTCTGGATTAGTTGTAGTTTCTGGGTCACCTTCAAAGGTAGCCCCACATAGAGTGCATTGCAGTAGTCCAAGCGAGGGATACCCAGAGCATGCACCATCCTGGCCAGACAGTCTGCGGGCAGGGAGGGTCTCATCCTGCGTCCCAGATGGAGCTGCCCTGGACACAGAATGGACCAGAATGGGCCTCCATGGGTCCAAAATGACCTCCAGGCTGCGCAGCTAGTTCTTCAGGGGCACAGCTGCCCGATTCAGGAGCAGGGAGTCTACCACACCCACCTGCCCGCCCACAACAGGACTTAGTCTTGTCAGGATTCAACCTCAATCTGTTAGCCGCCATCCATCCCCCAACCGTCTCCAGGCACTCACACAGGACCTTCGCTGAAGCCAAGGATATTAACGAAAACCTATTAAATCCCACTGCATGCATTCACCAAGAGATGCATACAACATAATCATGAAAATATACAGTAAAATCATTTTAAAATGATTGTTTTTAAAAAGTAGTAAAATATAATGCAAGTGACTGTAAAAAAAAAAAAAAAAGGTTAACAACAGCGAGGCTCAAAAATATGATATATGATAAGTGGCGGCAATTGAATGTGGTATTGTACATAAAAAGCCCCGTGTAAAAATGCCTTGTGTTTTTCCAACAGGGAAGACACAGAGAGGGAGCCGGGTGAGTTTCAAGTAGGAATGCGTTCCAGAGTTGCCCTTATTTCGTGTTCAGCTCATGCCCACAGATGGCACTAAGGTCTTACTTTCCAGGCCAACTTCTTCACAAAAGCAACACACAAGCAAGTGGTTCTGATGGGCAACGACTGGCTAACTGGCTACCCAGGATCAGAGCAAAGTAATTTTATCAAGCCTTTAGTAGTCCTACCTAATTGTTCACTAAGTGGTGGTAAAAAGTTTCATCCAGTTTCACTTTCTGAAAACTGGTTTTCCAACGTCCCAAGAAAGTGCGCGGGGGGGAGGGGGGCTCTCTGCTCCTGTCGGGGCACTTCAGTAATAGGTTGTTTTTGTTCCGCTGCTGAGTGGTATGAGTTTTATACTAGAGCCACTGGGATCCATGGCACATATCTGTCAACTATCCAGGACATCCTTTGTTGGGGGGCCGTGCTCTCCTGTGAGCTTGAGATTGCAGGGCCCAAAAGTGCATGTTTTGTGGGCACCATGCTCTCGAGCAGGTCATGTGACTAGTCTGGCATGGATGGTTTGGCACTAGGACAAGCTGGAAGGTACGGTGGCTCCATTCACATAACAAAAACTGCTACAGAGATACCAGCATTTTCAAAAGCAGGGGGTCCATGGCTTGGCTTTAGAAAAACTGCGGGTCTGCAGTACCTAGCAAATTGGGAACCACATTTCTAGGGGGCAGCCTGTGTGACAAACTATATCTTTGGAAAACATCCACACCTCCAGAGGCTAAAATAGCTGGCTGACTCTTTAAGTAACTGAAAATATGACAGATTTATCACTCTGGCTCTTGACTGCCAGGCAATTGGCTTTATGAAAGACGAGGATCCACAGCTGAGCAGAAGAGACTTCTCAGAGAGGAGAAGCTCTCTTCCCCCATCATGGACAGAGGCAGATATTGGCCTCCTAGTACAAAGGCCAAGACGTAAGAGGAGGAGGAGAAAGAAGGAGAACCGTTTTTTGTTTCTCTTAAGGATACTTATGGTCGAAGTTGTACCACAGCCGGAATAACCAAGCGCTCTCTGCTTTGGTACTTCTCCTTTCATTTTCCGGCACTCCCTGAAACAAATCAATGAGGCACAATTACAGTACTTTGGTTGACAAGAATCACACTCCAAACAAGGCATTTGGCAAGGAAAAGAAACTCTTCTGCCTGTGATAGCCTGGCAAAGCATTGGTGTCAGAGGCTTGCAAGCATTTTCAGTGACGTGAACCACAAACAGAAGCTTCCCTTTTCCTGCCATCCCCTCTTTCACTGGAAGGCCATGCTGAATTCTGTCCTAATTTCTGGCAGATTGACATGTCCTGGGTTCCAGCAAGTTGAGGCACTGAAATGGTGCTTTCATGCAGTGTTAGAAACTGAGGTATGAAAGCTAGGAGCTCAATGGCACCTTAAACCTAGGTTATGGGCGCTGCAACTTATTGTCTAGGCATGCTTTTTTATAACAAGAATACAAAGCTGAAAATGAATGAACTGCACCTAAAATCTTATGTTCATTTTTCACATGGTCCAGTCCTTCCCCTGCCCACCCTCCTAATATTCTTAAGACAGACTCTTCTCTATTCTTCAGAGAGTAGCTGGAAATGGGGAGGCAGAAAAAGGTCCTCCTTTCCTTCCATTCTGCAGTTTTAATCTGAAATCTCAGGTGCAAAGCTCAGAAACTGCTCACGCTAATGAAATTCCCTGTCACAAAATGCGCCTGGAACAGTGGGAGTTTCAAAAACTGCTTTCACATACTCTTTCATGTGACTGGGGGCAGGCAAGGAAAGGCAGGGCCTACAGAGCAAGGAGAGTTGGCTTTGCTCTTCCTCTTCTTCATGTTGGCCCTTGGTCCCGAAACGGCACCAATCCTTCCCAGAAGCTTCTGGCTCAAATTCTGCACAGCTAGTCTCTAGTCTTGGGTTTGCATGCCGGTGCTTGTAATCTGCATGGGAGAACCAACAGACCCTCCCCATCTGCTTGGGACTGGTTTTCTCTGCCCATAATTATTCCCCTGGTGTGTTATTTCAGAAGATACGCTTGCAACAGAGTTCAAGTATCTACTCAGCTTCGAGGTGCCTTGAAGGCAGTCACTATTCTGCAAGGCTGCTGCAGAAACAGAACAGTAAACCGTTTTGCATACATAAATAAAAAATTGTTTACGTGAGGAAATTAACCAACATGCCACCACAACAAATGTGAGGATATCCACCATGGAAACCCCTGTGTTAGAGGCAGAGAAAAAGAGCACAGCCACCTACCACGTTCTCCTGATCTGCATCCACACCAACCCTGCAGAGAAGAGGAAACAATTACTCAAGTTCTCCTGTGGGCTTCATCTACAAGGCCTCTCACTGCCCAGATGTGGGCTTAAAAGCTAAAAACACAAGCCCACAGCACTTGCCCTTGGCAGGAAGGGTGCATGGTAGAAAGAAAGAAAGAAAGAAAGAAAGAAAGAAAGAAAGAAAGAAAGAAACCACCTTTTTTTCCTCACACAAAAATCAAACTACAGTGGTGCCCTGCAAGACGAATGCCTCGCAAGACGAAAAACTCGCTAGACGAAAGGGTTTTGCGTTTTTTGAGTTGTTCCGCAAGACGAATTTTCCTATGGGCTTGCTTCGCAAGATGAAACGTCTTGCGAGTTCTTGCGAGTTTGTTTCCTTTTTCTTAAAGCCGCTAAGCCGTTAATAGCTGCTAAGCCGCTAAGAGCCGCTAAGCCGCTAATAGCCGTGCTTTGCAAGACGAAAAAGCCGCAAGACGAAGAGACTCGCGGAACAGATTAATTTCGTCTTGCGAGGCACCACTGTACTGTTTTAAAAAATTAAATTAAATTATGAAATGTCCATAACAAATTACACCTGCCTGCTCCAGAGTCCTTTTAAAGGTTTTCAAGTTGCTGTGGGCCACCCTAACGTTTTGCAGGAGGGAGGCATGGAATAACTTAGTAAATGAAGCCCCACTAAGTTCAACAGGACTTACTCCCTGCTAGGCTATGTACGTCAAGCCCTGCAGTCTTGGATTTTTAAGCTAATCCAACTGTATCTGGCCACTGATTTTATCCTTCTCATTAAGTCATGTGACCAAGGAGACCCCCAGCGACCAAGAGGAGACATTGCACAAGCACACTTTCCCCATCATTCAGTTCCTGCTTAACACTCTTTCTCACTTCAGAAATACGGACCCTCAGATTCCATTGTTATGAAGTGGGGAAATGTGGAGCAAAGGGTTTCTCTTCCTTCACTGGCTTCCTGGTTTTCACCCCCACAAATGATTACAGGCTGTAGAGACACAGTTGCTTCTCAAGGACAAACATGCACACCTGAACTATGTTTACTGAGATGAAAAGTCTCTGATAGGATTTGAAAATAAAGGCTAATAATTATGTGGTCCATTCAGTAAGAACCATTTTATCTGTTCTAGATTTCTCGTTCTATGTGACCCACCTGGCTATAAACACTGTTACAAGTGTCTGAAAAAAGTTCTTCATCTGGAATCTCAGCACCATTTTAATAAACTGCAACTATTTGTTATGCCACTTATTAATGAATTGTGGCATTTATTATTTCTTCCAAAATGAAACGTGAGCACCCAGCTCTTGGGCAGCAAAATGGGGCCACCTACAGACAAGATAAGGGTTTCTCCACACATGAGATCTCACCAGGTATCCCCCCAAAAAGGGAAGGAAAAAGCTGTAAATGAAATAATTGAAAAGCAACATAAGAACTCATGCTTAGAGGCCTCAGGGACCCATGGAAATCTGAGGGCAGTAGAGGTTTGATGGGTGGGAGGCAGGGAAAGTGAGCGGGGCAGAGTGGGCATTTACCTGCTCAAGCCTGTGATAACTGAACCAGCTGGATGACAAGCTGCACAGCAGGTTTCCCTTTTTCCCCTTTTCCCTTTTTTAATTTATTTCTTACAGTATTACATTCAACAAAAAGAACATCTTTTAACATTTCTTACATTCTGTTTCTTACATACATATACAGTCAAACCTCGTTCTGCGTCTGCCTCCGCTTGCATCTGCTTCAGCAAACATCCGCAGCAAACCCGGAAGTACTGGAACGGGGTACTTCTGGGTTCGCCACTCGTGTATGCGCAGAAGCGCTAAATCGTGCATGCGCAGACGCGGAGCTTTGATGTGCGTCATTTTCAGGTTGTGGCGGGGCCTCTGGAATGGATTCCTGCCGTAACCCCAGGTTCCACTGCATCAATGTACGTTTTCCCCCTTTATATCCCTGTGGCTTCCCTCCCCCCATGCTTAGCATTATTTAGTTAATTTTATATTATTTTAATATTGTGTTAAAGCAATATACTTTATATAAAAACCCGTATAATCTTTTCCAAATTTTATCCTAACTTTGCGAACATCAGTCTAAGCATATCAGTAAGTTTCTTTTGGAACAATGTTTTGCCTTATACTCCTCTACACATTCCCATTCTTTCCTCAATTTTTGATTAAATTGTAATCTGATTGCTGCCATCATTTTGCCCAATTCAATAAATTCACAAAATTTATTTGCCAATCTGCTACTGATGGGACTATATCTCCCTTCAGGTTTTTTGCCAGTAAAACCCTAGCGTCAGCCGTTGGGTATAGGAATATTTTTTTCTTATCATTGGGGATGTCTTTTGTCACTATACCTAGAAGGAACGCTTCTGGCCTTTTCTCAAATGTTATTTTAAACGTATTTTTTAATTCTTCATAAATATTACTCCAGAACTTTTTGATTTTATCACATCCCCACCATACATGATACATTGTACAGATCACAGCAAGATTCCTTAGCTAAGGCAACAGCACAAGACTCGAACCGACACTCACCTGATGTGAAGGCACGACAGCATGGGAGTGGTGCCACCTCCAAACACCCAGACGGTAAAGAAGACGATGAGAAGTGTTGTGCTGAACATCATCTGCCGCGCATAGGTGGCTGTGTCCCGAATGGCCAACGCAAAAGCCATGGCTCCACGGAGGCCTGGGAAGAAAGGCTCATCAAACCATGTGTGGCCTATGGCCGGGCTCCTAAGAGCCTATTCCATTTCTGTCCCGGAGTCTGAATGCAGTATGTACATGCAAGAACGTGTGGGCACGCGTGAGTGTATGCGCGCGCGCGCGCGCACACACACACACACACACACACACGCTTTTCTACTTTTCACCTTTCGAGTGCAAACCCCAACCCACTTCCCCCAGAAAACTCTCTTCCATTTCACGTGGTGTTGCAGGAGGGGAGTGCTACTGTTCCAAGCTGCAACTTCCAGCAAAAAAGAATCTTGTAGTGACTTCAAGATGAACACAGTCATTACGGCATAAGCTTTCGTGGACCAGAATTTACAGTATGATCACAAGGCAGCTGTCTCCCAGCTCCAGCTGGTACACAGGTGGAGACCCTCCCTGCCCGCCGACTGTCTGATCAGACTGGTGCATGCTCTGGTTATCTCCCGCTTAGACTACTGCCATGCGCTCTACGTGGGGCTCCCTTTGAAGGTGACCCAGAAACTACAACTAATCCAGAATATGGCAGCCAGACTGGTGACTGGGACCGCTGAGATCACATAACACTGGTCTTGAAAGACCTACATTGGCTCTCAGGACGTTTCCGGGCACAATTCAAAGTGTTGGTGCTGACCTTGAAAGCCCTAAATAGCCTTGGCCCAGTAGACCTGAAGGAGCGTCTCCATCCCAGATGCCGGGGTTCCTTTCCCAAGGGCTTTCTCCCTGTGAGAAGTGAGGTTACAGGGATCCAGGCTGAGGGCTTTCTTGGTGGTGCCGCCCGCCCTGTGGAACGCCCTCCCATCAGATGTCAAAGAAATAAACAACTATCTGACATTTAGAAGACATCTGAAGGAAGCCCTGTTTAGGGAAGCTTTTAAAGTTTGATGGACTATTGTATTTTAAAATTTTGTTGGAAGCCGCCCAGAGTGCCTGGGGAAGAAATAAATTATTATTATTATTATTATTATTATTATTATTATTATTGGCAAGGGCTCTCTTCCAGAGGCAGTGCCCATACACCACATTGCTCAAAGCCAAAGGCTGCTGGCTGGCAAGAGGGAAAGCCTGCATGGAGGACCTCCCTGTGCCATCGCTGCCAGAGAAAGAAGAAAGCACAACTTCCTCAGATGCGGGAGGGAGCAGAGGCAGACAGGGAGAGAGGCAGGTAGAAGCAGCAGACAGGTGGGGTTTCTTCTCGCTCTGCCTGCCTGCCCTCCTCCCCTAAGTTGGGAAGGCTGCTGCTGCAAGAGCAAAGTGTGTGTAGTTGCATTTGCACAAGTAACATGTGTGTGAAGAGATTACGCTGTACTTCTGCAGAGGCACGAGAGAAAGACGTCCAGAGCAAGCTGCACAAGGGCCTAGATCCTGGTCCATGCTAGGACTCTTAATGTGTTAATTAACACCTTCTCCTTCATGCATCATATTCCACCCTGCCTTAAGGCCAATCCTTAAGAGATGCTTAGATCATCTTTTAAGCCTCTGCCACTGGAATGATGCCACCTTCATGTTTAGTGCAGTGACACCAATCAAATGGCAGGAGCTCGTATTTTTGCACTTTCATCGATTCTCGGCCTTTTGGCTAAGATCAAGTGTCGTATTTTTGCACTTTCAAAAACACAACAAGTACAAAGATAAATACAGATAAATACAAAGATAAATATAAATATAGGGGACAGGGCAAAATCCTCTCTCTCCATTTCATCTGCATCAGGAACAGCTGTACAATTACTGTTTGGGTGCCTGAAAGCAGGGATGGAGGATGGCTAATAAAACTGAAGCTGAACCCAGATAAGATGCTTTGCCTGTGGAAATGGAGAGTTGCCTGAAAATATCTAGGTGTCTGGTCGACGGTGAGGAATCTTGACTTATTTCAACATTAAACTATGGAAAGAGATTTAAAAAGAGTAGAGATTTGGGGAAGGATTAAACTTTCCCTACTAGGGAGAATTTCAGCTATCAAAATGAATGTGCTCCCCAAAATGCTGCTTTTATTTCAACCGATCCCGATTATTGACGAACCAAGTTGCCTCAAGGAATGGAAAAGGGGTATTTCTAAATTTGTCGGGGTGGGGGAGCCACGAATTAAACACAAAATTTTGATTGACACAAAAGAAAGAGAATTGGCAACTGAAGATGACTGAATATGCAGAATTAGCAGGTCTAACAAGCAGAATAACAGAACAAGAAGAACAGGTATTTAAAGAGGAGTGGTATCTTTTTGTTGAGTATAATGAAAATAATTGTGCACAGTTAAAAACGCTGGCAGTATTAAAGTAACTCAACAATATAACATATTCTGAACTGATGTAAGATAGGAAAATTAAATTAGATAGATATATTAGAATATGTAGGAATGTTGGATAAGATAAATGAATCCTGGAAGGGGAGGGAGGGAAGGAAGTCAGTGAATGTATGGTATAATAAAAGATGTTTAATTTGAAATGTACAATTTGAAAATTTAATAAAAATTATTAATTTGAAAAAGGTGCATTATCTGTGGGCTGGTGCTTCTCAGGTCCAAAAATTAGGTAAGACAGCTTGTTCTGGCAATCTTCTAGAAGGGAGATGCCTGGAGTTGGGGGGGGGGACTTCCTAGATTCCAAGCTGCCATTGCATGTCTGAGTACAATTCAAAGTATTGGTGCTGACCTTGAAAGCCCTCAACGGCCTTGGCCCAGTAGACCTGAAGGAGCATCTCCACCCCAGACGCCGGGGTCCCTCTCCTGCAAGAAGCGAGGTTACAGGGAAGCAGGCAGGGGGCCTTCTCGGTGGTGGTGCCCACCCTGTGGAACACCCTCCCACCAGATGTTGATAAGCAACTATCCTACTTTCAAAAGACATCTGAAGGCAGCCCTGTTTAGGGAAGTTTTTCATGTTTCTTGCTGTATTGTGTTTTTAATATTCAATTGGGAGCCGCCCAGAGTGGCTGGGGAAACCCAGTCAGATGGCCGGGGTATAAATAATAAATTATTATTATGTATTATTATTGCAGGCCCATGTGACAAGGATGCAACCTATGTGGAGCTACAGCTGTTTCTCCAGCCATGGCCATTCTAGGAACAACCCCTACAACTACTCTTGTAGTGTTTGGCTTCCCTTGAAGATGATCCAGTATTTGCAGCTAGCGCATAATGCTGCTCTCTTGCAGTGAGATGGGATCATTTTACACTGAATTTGAAATCACTGCAGGAGAGCAACCAGGCCCAGTTCAAAGTATAGGTACCAACAAACCAATTCCAAACAGCTTAGGACCCAAGTGTTTGAAGGAGTGCCTTCTGCAGTACTACCCAAGCCAGGTTTTGACATCTGCAAGAAAGGCCCTGCTGAAGGTTCCCTCGTTGAGCATAGCCCAGTAGGGCTACTATACACAGCAGGGCCTTCTCAGTGGCACCACCACCTTTGCTATGAAACGCCCTTCCTGTGGAGATCTGGCTCTCTCTCACTTGGTCTGCATTCAGTCAGCAATTAAAAGCTCATTTGTTCCAGCAGGCCTTCATTATGTAGCAATAATAATAATAATAATAATAATAATTTATTATTTGTACCCCGTCCATCTGGCTGGGTTTCCCCAGCCACTCTGGGCAGCTTCCACAAAGACCAAAAATACACTAAGATGTCACACATTGAAAACTTCCCTGAACAGGGCTGCCTTAAGATGTCTTCTGAATGTCAGGTAGTTGTTTATCTCTTTGACATCTGGTGGGAGGGAGTTCCACAGGGCGGGCGCCATTACCGAGAAGGCCCTCTGCCTGGTTCCCTGTAGATTTGCTTATCGCAATGAGGGAACCGCCAGAGGGCTCTTGGCGCTGGATCTCAGCGTCCGGGCAGAATGATGGGGGTGGAGACGCTCCTTCAGGTATACTGGACTGAGGCCGTTTAGGGCTTTAAAGGTCAGCACCAACACTTTGAATTGTGCTTGGAAACGTACTGGGAGCCAATGCAGATCTCTCAGAACCAGTGTTATGTGGTCCCGGTGGCCGCTCCAAGTCCCCAGTCTAGCTGCCGCATTCTGGATTACTTGTAGTTTCCTGGTCACCTTCAAAGATAGCCCCACGTAGAGTGCATTGCAGTAGTCCAAGTGGGAGATAACTAGAGCATGCACCACTCTGGCGAGACAGTCCGCGGGCAGGGAGGGTCTCAGCCTGCGTACCAGGTGGAGTTGGTAGACAGCTGCCCTGGACACAGATTTGACCTGTGCCTCCATGGACAGCTTTGAGTCCAAAATGACTCCCAGGCTGTGCACCTGGTCCTTAAGGGGCACAGTTACCCCATTCAGGACCAGGGAGTCCTCCACACCAGCCCGCCCCCTGTCTCCCAAAAACAGTACTTCTGTCTTGTCAGGATTCAACTTCACTCCATTAGCCGCCATCCATCCTCCAACTGCCTCCAGGCACTCACACAGGACCTTCACTGCCTTCACTGGTTCTGATTTGAAAGAGAGGTAGAGCTGGGTATCATCTTCATACTGATGGACACCCAGTTCAAACCCCCTGATGATCTCTCCCAGCGGTTTCATATAGATGTTTCATATAGATGTTAAAAAGCATGGGGGAGAGGACGGAACCCTGAGGCACCCCACAAGTGAGGGCCAGGGGTCTGAACACTCATCCCCCCCCCACCACTTTCTGAACATGGCCCAGGAGGAAGGAGCGAAACCACTGTATAACACTGCCCCCAGCTCCCAGCCCCTGTAGATGGTCCAGAAAGATGTTATGGTCAATTGTATCAAAGGCCGCTGAGAGATCCAGCAGAACTAGGAAACAGCTCTCACCTTTGTTCCTAGCCCGCTGGTCAACCAGCGCGACCAAGGCAATTTCAGTCCCATGATGAGGAAGGGATCCAAATGGTCCGCATCCTCCAGGCGTGCCTGGAGTTGTTCAGCAACCACCTGCTCAATCACCCTGCCCAAGAATGGAAGATTTGAGACTGGGCGATAGTTGGCTATACTGACCGCATCTAAAGATGTTTTTTAAAGAGGCGGTTTAATGACCGCCTCTTTCAGCGGATCTGGGAATGTTCCCTCACAGAGGGAAGCATTCACCACCCCGCAGAGCCCATCGCCCAGCCCTTCCCGGCTAGCTTTTATTAGCCAGGATGGGCAAGGATCAAAGAGACAGGTGGTTGGTTTCACGCATCCAAGCAGCCTGTCCACATCCTCAGAGGTACCAGATTGAAACTGATTCCATGCAACTTGACCAGACAGGGTTCTAGCACTCTCCCGCCCCAGCCCTGCTCCCACGGTGGTGTCTACCTCCTTCCGAATATGAGTGACTTTATCTGCAAAAAACTTTGCAAAATCGTTGCAGGAGATCTTGGGGTCTTTACAAGGCCCCGGTGGTAAAGGTGGTTCCGTTAAATTGTGGACCACCTGAAAGAGTCTCCTGCTACTATTTTCTGCAGATGCAATAGAGGCAGTGAAGAAAGTCTTCTTCGCCGTCGCTATCGCCACTTGGTAGGCTCGACATTGAGCTTTAACCCGCGTCCAGTCAGATTCAGAATGAGTTATCCGCCGCCGGCACTCTAGCTGTCTCAGTGATTGTTTCATTGCCCTCAGATCCATGGAAAACCATGGGGCTGTCGGGCTCCATGCAATCGGAGAGGGCGCTTTGGAGCCAGAGAGTCAATAGTCCTGTTTAACTGCACATTCCAGCGGGCCACCAGGGAATCAGCTGAAAGGCCATCAACATGGGATAAAGTATCCCCTACCACTCTCTGGAAACCATTTGGATCCATTAAGTGGCGGAGGCGGACCATCCGAATTGGTCCCACCTCCCTGCAGAGGGGAAGGGTTGTGGAGAAGTTCAGTTGCACCAGGAAGTGATCTGACCATGGCACTTCTTTTGTTTCACTTTTACTTAGTGTCAGATCACCAACATCCATAGAAGTGAACACCAGGTCTAAGGCATGTCCATGACTATGAGTTGGGCCAAACTTATTCAGGGACAGCCCCATGGAGGCCATGCTTTCCATGAAGTCCTGAGCGGCCCCTTGTAAGGCCGTGTCAGCATGGATGTTAAAATCCCCCAGGACAACCAAACTAGGTGTCTCTAGGAGAACATCCGCCACAACCTGAAGCAGCTTGGGCAGGGAATCCTTGGTGCAGCGGGGAGGTCGGTACACCAAAAGGAATCCTGTACTGCCCCCATTGCCCAACTTCCAGAACATGCACTCAGAGAAGTGGGTCTTCCCAATAGGACGCCTGGTGCAAACTAGTGACTTCCTGAAAATCACTGCAACCCCCCCTCCCCGCCCACAAGGCCTGGATTGCTGTGTGTAAGAGAAACCTGGTGGACAAGCAGCGGCAAGGACAGGCCCATCTGCTTCATCCAACCAAGTCTCTGTCACGCATGCCAGGTCAAGTCTTCCATCCACGATCAAGCCATGGATGGCAGTGGTCTTATGAATCATTGACCTAGCACTACACAGCAACACCTTCAGGTCATGTGGGTTTCCCTTGTTGATTCCAGTATCCATCCGGTCAAGACCAGACAGACCGGACGGAGGCAGGGATAGCCCTCAAACAATGACTAAACCTGCCTCCTCGGTAATGACATGGTCTGGTCTTAGCGTAACTCCTCCTCCTGCCCATGATCACCGAGATCAGATGTCCCAGTGCCTCCCCCCTTGTGGAACTTGCCCCAGCCATCGTGTTGGCTGGGGCCCCACTCCCAGGCAGCCCTGATCCCGCCCCTTAAAAACAAAACACAAACTATACAGCAACCAATAAAACAACAAAAAACAAAAACAGAACAGTTATAATAAAATTAATCCCCAGCTAGATATCCATCCCACCCACCCCACCCCCAACAAAGGAAAAAAGGAAAAAAAGAAAGAAAAATTTAAAATGCCACCGACTGCTTGAGGACATTTTAAAACACATTAACCACTTGGAACAGGGAAGCAATAGCAGAACAACTTCCCACACTTCCCCAAAAGTTTGTTCCAAATGAGGGCCTGGCCCAGCTGGAAAAGGCCCTGGAAGGGAGCAGGCCCTGCAGTCCTCACCACAGACCATTGGCGAGGCCGATGTAACATAACAGGCCATATATTTGTACTTTAACTGTAAATTTGTCAATCAGGGTGGCTAAAAATCAATGGTTTATTTTTTTTAAAAAAAGATTTTAAAATTTTTTAATAGGATTTTTTTTTAATCGGAATTTTTATTGATTTATATCGGAATTTTTAAATAAAATGCTTTTGGAGAAAAAGCCTTTCTAAAGATTTTCTCTTTAAGTTACATTCTAGTCCAAAGGCTATTCAACAGGAAATAAGGATTTATTTTAAGTTGTTCATGTGTGCTAAAACTCAGTTTTTTTAAAAAAACCATTTAACCACATCAGTTAACAAACATGGATACATTTGCTATCATGTTATTGTTTTAGTTAAATAAATTGTTTAAATTGCTACTACGGAAATGATTATTTTTCTCCTTCCAATCAAGTACAGCAGAAAGGTTGTCCAAATATAAACAGTTAACTTATTAAACCTCATAATAATTTCATAATTATCTGTCTATGTATTTCTAATAGTATAACCAAACCAGTAATTTTTGATATAACTGCAAAAACTACTCTGAAAATTTATTATTCCAAAAATGAAACCTTCATCTGGTTGTCATTATTAAGATTATACCAGCAAGAATGAGTCTTTCTGTAAAAAAAATGATTTAAATCAAGTCTTACTGACTGGTGATTTAAATCATGATTTACCATATTTCTCGCTCTATAGGACGCACCGGACCATAGGAGGGGGAGAACAGGGAATTTTTTTTTTCTTGTTCTCCCCCTCTAAAACAAGGTGCGTTCAAGGTGCATTCACCCAAAGCCTCCGGAGCGCAGCAGGAGTTCCCACTGCGCTCCAGAGGCTTCAGACGGCTACCTTGGAAGCCTGGAGAACGAGAGGGGTCGGTGCGCACTGACCCCTCTCGCTCTCCAGGCTTCAGTGAAGGCAACCCGAAGCCTCTAGAGCGCGGGGTGGGGAGATCCCGCTGGGCTCCGGAGGCTTCAGGTTCCTTTCAACCTGCTCTTTGGGGCTGGCGGTGGGGGGAAGCGCTGCTTTCCCCCACCACCAGCCTCAAAGATCCCTGAAGCCTTTGGAGCGCAGCGCGAGGTCCCGCTGTGCTCCAAAGGCACCCCGCTGCCCTGCAGAGGCTTTGCGCACAGCCATCCCCAAGCTAGAACAGCGAGACGGAGCGCTCCGCAGCGCTCCATCTCCGTTCTGGCTTTGGGCTTAGCCGCGCAGCCTGCATTCGCTCTATAGGACGCACACACATTTCCCCTTAATTTTTGGAGGTGAAAAAGTGCGTCCCATAGAGCGAAAAATATGGTAAATCAATTTGATTTAAATCAAATCCACCCTGTTGTCAATTGTACTTTGCTTTCACATGTTGCTGTTTTTTGTATTATTTTTATTTTTGGTTGAAAGCAAGCCTGGGCAGGGAAGAGAAAGAGCAAGTATAAACAAAATAAGCAAAAATGGCTGAATCACTGCAAGAAGCAAAAATGGTTGCTATTAATACTAAGCATGTATTCAAAACATTTTCATGCGCATTCTCCCAATCTTGGTTCTGATGACAGCCAGTAATTGTCTTCTTTGCAGACATTTCCCGCTTGCAGCTTCCTGGAGGCATCTGGCTGGCCTGGGGGACCAGAGGCTGACCTTTGATCAGGCAGGGCAATCACTGCCCTAAGATAAAATCTAAGGCATCTCTAAAGGTTCCATCCTTTGTCTCTTTCTACAAGCAGACTTTGTACTTATGAAAATAATCTATGAAGGGATGGATTTGAAACACCCCAAGAGGTGATTACTCACCAGCAAACATCATCATATGTTGGAAATTTGTCCCGATCTTGTTTCTTCTCCCCAAATTAAGCAGGAAAGAGAGAGGGTAAATGTTTGCAGCTCTCCCCAGGAATACAGCCAGCTAGATTTGGGCACATATTAAGGATTTCCCCCCCTTGTTGACAGGTTTGCAAAATTAGAATGCATCATGCGATAGCTGACACTAAAGTTTACGTTTAACCCTAAAAATGGTGGGTTACCAATGTTCCTACTGCACAAGAAAGAAGAATTTTTATTCCAACAGTGACAAATAACAAATAATCATGTCAAGAAGGAGAATCAGTGGCCTTCAGAGAGCATGAGTACCTCCTGCAATCCCAAACTAGCAATTTCAAAACTGCAAAAAAAACTGACTGCTGAGAAGCAATCTGTTCAGAGATCTCAGCCATACCACCTAACATTGATTGGACCACTTCTGAGTACGGGAACATAGGAAACTGCCTTTTATCAGGCCACTAGGTTATGTTGCCTACCAGCAGCTGCCCTCCAGGAATTCAGGCACTGGATTTCTCCCAGCCCTACCTGGGGACGCAAGGAATTGAACCGGGGACCCTTCCGCATGCCGAGCAGGTGTTGCACCACTGAGCCATGGCTTTTCCCAGAAAGCTTTAAGCATGCTGAATTCTTGACACAATGCCCAGATCTTCCATCAACCGCTCTGTGCCACAGGCAAACCACTCTTATTACAGCTCAAGCTGCTTTTAAAAGTCTGGGTATTAAAAGCACCCATGTCTGGCACAAGGGTACATGGAAGGCCTTTTGAGAAATGAGCATCTAAGACTCATACTCACTAGGCAGACGGTTCCAGTGAACAAAACACAGCTTACGTCTGAGGAAAGGATTGGACTTAAATATTCCTATTAGTGCACAGAGCTAACCATGTTTTTTTGGATTCTAGCCATGGTATCTAAAGGCTACCACAGTCAGCCCAGCCATTAGGAAGTGTGAGGCTGCTGTTTCAGGTGGCAGAAGCCCCCCCACCCCAGAGGCAGGTCTATGGGGCCCCCACTGCTGATTCTGGGCATTCCTGTCCCACCTCAAGTGGCAAAATGGGAGAGCCACCCCTGGGCTACCATATCTTACATTCCCCCTAAATGGAGGTCATCTCTACAAAGGACAGACATGTGTGCACCAGAAATCAGAAGTATGTTATGCATTGATGAGAAGTTTCTCATGAATGCATTTACCATATGCCAAGCACACACAGCACCTGTCCTAACCACAGATTCAAAGAGGACCAAAACAAGCCCAATAGGTTCCTCTACAGCAGGAGTAGGAACATCTGCGACCCTCCAGATGTTACTGGATGCCCGTCAGCCCCAGTCAGCATGGTCAGTGGCCGGGAAGGGTGGGGGTTAGCGCCCAGCCATGACTGGAGTGCCACAGGTCACACATCCCTGCATTACACTGTACACATGAATTCCTACACAGAGACTATCCCTGTATATGATTATCCCCATCCTTGAGCCAACAAGGCTCCAGCTGTTCAAAATCAGGGCCAGTTCAAGGCTTCTAGGGGAGACCTTGGGCACAGGGTACCAATGGGAGCCTTTCCCCTTCCCTCCTCAACCCACACTCATTCCCCACCTTTTCCTCTCTGCTGCTTTATCCTCTCAAATATTTCCTTCCTTCCTTCCTTCCTTCCTTCCTTCCTTCCTTCCTTCCCTTGTACCTTCCTCTCCTTCCTCTTGCCCACTCTCCCTAGGGCCCTGGCTCTGTTCTCAATCTGCTCTGACCATTAACAAGTTTTTCCTCGTGTTCATCCAAAATCTGCTCTCCAGCAACTTAAGGTCACTGGGTACAGCTTGGCTGGAGCTCAGACGCTTTTGCCCCTTTCTCCAGGGCAGGCCACACTGTGCCCCCTCACTCGTCTCTTTCCCACTGCCTCCAAACCTTCTTCACAAGCTTTGCCTCTGGAATCTAAAGGTTCGGTTGAAAGTGCTAGAGTTTGTGACATACACCTATGAAATGACCTCTAACAACTGCTGCAAAAATTTGCAACACTCAACAGCCGTAAACACTGATCATTTCTTGCTTAAGGTGGAATGATATGCTCCCAGGCTGCGGGCCTCTGTCCCCACCATCTCTTTCCCCTTTTTTCCCCATTCTGTTATCCTATGCAACGTATGTTGTTGTTATTTATATCTGAGGTTTCTCCCCATTTCATATCTGTTGATTGGGGAGGTGGCAAAAGGCAACTTCTACTCTTTTGGAATAAAAGGATACAAAAGCTCCCACTACAAACGTTGGATTAAACACATGATTCTGGAAGGTGAACAGCGTAAGGCCCATGTAGGAGAAGATGAAGTTTTCAGCCAAGAAATTGAGGAGCTCAAACAACTAAAGCAAAACACACACACACAAGGGAGAGAGAAGGAATATCAATCATAGCTGTGACACATGTCAAGATAGTATAGAAAACACCAAGTATGTCCATAAGTGAAATCTCTGGGCAGCGAATTTCTTTGGGCACACATTGCAAAAAGAGGATGAGTTTATGATTACTGGCACAATAGTTTGTGATTACTGTAAGCCAGGGGTCAGCAAACTTTTTCAGCGGGGGGCCGGTCCACTGTCCCTCAGACCTTGTGGGGGGGAGAAATGAACAAATTCCTATGCCCCACAAATAACCCAGAGGTGCATTTTAAATAAAAGGACACATTCTACTCATGTAAAAACACGCTGATTTCTGGACCGTCCAGGGGTTGGATTTAGAAGGTGATTGGGCTGGATCCGGCCCCCAGGCCTTTGTTTGCCTACCCATGCTTTAAACCATCCCATGCCCAATACACAGTCAGCACAACCAAAAAACTAAAAAGAATTGCAGTGATGCATGTTATAACAGAATAGAAGTTTTCAAGTATAATTTAAAAAAGAAAAACCTGAAAAGGCAACCATAAGCCCCTCCCCAAACTACTGGATGCCTGGTGTTTTGATGGGTTATGAAAATGGCTGGTGCGGAGGAGAGAACATTTACAACATATTAAGGAGAATGAAATTGGATGATGAAGGGGCAGCGGGACCCACAGGTCACCACTGGGACAGAGGACTCACCTGTTTAGTTCTGTGCTGGGACTCAGTGGACAAGTTGTTATAAGTATAATGGGCCTGAGTGATGCCACAAAACAGCACAGCTACAACACCTGGAGGCAGAGAATTACATTAAAACTGTCACAAAGTACATGGAACGGAGATGTGTTTCAATCAGTGCTGCAAACATGGGCTGTTCTGTTGGACAGAGCTTCTTTCCCATAAAGAATGGCACAGAAACAGATGACTGGGCAGGTCTGGGTTCGCAGAACCACAGGAACTCAAGAAGCTGTCTTACTTCGAGTCTGATTGCTGGTTTAAGGGGGTGGGGGAGGATACACCTGTTTCACTGCAGGCTTCTGTGCCACACCAAATATGTTAGAAAAAGGAGATATATAATAGTAATTGGAGACTTGAGCTCCCTCAATATCTGATAGAACTCAAACTCTGCCGGGAATATAAGGTCCAACAAATTCCTCAGTTGCCTCACTGACAACAAGGGGATCATCTATCTGACTATTTAAGAAGAATATTGACAAGCCGGTGTGCAGAGGAGGGCGACCAAGATGATACAGGGTCTGGAAACTGAGCCTTATGAGGAATGGTTGAAGGAGTTGGGTATGTTTAGCCTGGAGGAGACTCAGAAGAGATATGACAGCCATCTTCAAATATATTGAGGGCTGTCCCATGGAAGAGGGAGCAAGCTTGTTTTCTCCTGTTCCAGAAGGTAGGACTCAAACCAATGGCTTCAAGTTACAAGAAAGGAGATTCTGACTAAACATCAGGAAGACACTTCTGACAGTACGATCTGTTCAACAGTGGAACAGTCTTCCTTGGGAGGTGGTGGGCTCTCCTTCCTTGGATGTTTTAAAGCAGAGGGATGGCCATCTGTCAGGGATGATCTAGCTGAGATTTCTGCATTGCAGGGGGTTGGACTAGATGATCCTTGGGGTCCCTTCCAACTCTACACAGTTCCAGTTCTAAGACTCTGTAACTGTTATCCATCCCATCAAGCAATCCAACACACCCAGACAAGCAGACAGGCCATAGCTTACCTGTAAAGCCACAAGCTTCAGCCAATAGAAAGGTGCTCCAAGACATCAGGAAAAACAAGCCTGTTTCCAGCAGCTGGAACTCACGGAGTTTGGTGAATTTGGTGACGTGACAGAGGGGTTAAGGAAAAGACACAGGTGGGCTCCTCTGCGGATGAAAATATTCAGCAGGGGAAAATAGAGCAAGAAGCAAGTAATCTCCCAGTTTGATTATTCAGGCCCCAAAGGACAGTCATATATGCATATTGATTATTTGCACTGTTACCCTGCTGATTCATTCTTTGCTAGCAGGAAGTATCCGTATCTTTTAGAAATAACAAAAAAATAAAATCCCCCCCCCCCAGCGGCGCGCGCAGTTTGATCCATCTTTTTTAGGGGAGCTAGTCTCAAACGTTTGTTGGGGGAGACCTAGGTTTTTTGTGGGGGGAGTTATTTTTCCTGTCTTCACGCTTTTTATGATGGAGGACCACTGTAGCCACCCCCAAGACACGTTCTCAAGATGGAGGGGGAGGGAACAGCTGCAGTCGCCTGCGGTTCCTGCGCAATGTTTGCCATCTTGGCAAAGGTTGCAGGCAGCTTTACCTGCAGCAATTGCATGTTGATTGCCCTCTTAAAAGACAAAGTCCAGCAACTGGAGGAACGTGTAGCTACGCTCCAAAGAATTAGAGAGCTGGAGCTCTTCTTGGAAGCAACAGAGCACACCGTCTCCACCAAGGAGGAGACAGGGGACTCCCCTGAGAAGGAGGCTAGTTCACCAACACAGGAGCCAGATATATGGAGAAACGTGACTCAAAGAAGTAGGAGGCCCAGGGTTCACTCTGACTGTTTAGAAATACACAATCGCTTTGAGGTCCTCTCCCCTAGCATGGAAGCCGATGAGCAGACTCCATTTGAGGATCTCTCCCTCATTACAGTCGATCGGGTATATGAAGACGAGCAGCAAAGTCAGTCCTCAGGGAATGTGCAGGCGACCTTGGAACGGGCAGCTCACGGAAGAACCCCGACCAAACCTAAGAGGAGGCGTGTAGTGGTGATAGGGGATTCCCTACTGAGGGGAACAGAAGCAGTGATCTGTGGGCCTGACAAGATGTCTCGGGAAGTGTGCTGTCTCCCGGGGCTAAGATCCAAGATGTAACTGAACGACTGCAAGGAATCATAAAACCCACTGACAAATACCCCTTCCTCTTGGTTCATGTGGGAACCAATGACACTGCAAGCAATAGCCTCCAGAAGATCAAAAGAGACTACGAGGCTCTGGGCAGGAAATTGAAGCAATTAAATGCACAAATTGTCATCTCATCTGTCCTCCCAGTTGAACGATGTGGCCCAGGGAGAGAGGGAAAATAGTGGAAGTGAACAGCTGGCTTCGCAAATGGTGTAAACAGGAACGGTTTGGATTCTTAGATCACGGACTGCAGTTTCTTGAAGATGGACTTCTGGCAAGCGATGGGCTGCACCTCACAACGGTTGGGAGAAATGTTTTTGCCAAAAATCTCAGAAACCTCATCAAGAGGGCTTTAAACTGACTAATGTGGGGGAGGGAGATAGTGCTCCTGAAGGTAGGAGTCTATCAATTGATGAAGATGATCATCCAAATGTCATAGACCAAATGGAGCAAACAGCACACAGACCTAGTGGTGGGAGGAAAAAATCCTTAAATAAGAGACATGGGGGAATGATTAATGGACTTCAATGTCTGTACACTAATGCACAAAGCATGGGAAATAAACAAGATGAGCTTGAGCTCTTGGTACAGCAAACTAAATATGACATAATAGGCATCACTGAAACCTGGTGGGATAAGTCCCACGATTGGAATGTAATAATGGAGGGATACAATCTATTTCAGAGAAACAGACCAGACAAGAAAGGAGGAGGAGTGGCGTTATATGTCAGGGATGTGTATACCTGTGAAGAGATCCAAGATTTAGAACCTCAAAGCCAAAGTGAGAGCATTTGGGTCAAAATTAAGGGAGAGAAGAATAACAGTGACCTCATTGTGGGAGTTTACTATAGATCCCCAAGCCAAACGGAGGACATAGATGATGCCTTCCTAGAACATATGGCCAAGCATGCAAAAGGAAGGGAGATAGTAGTAATGGGGGACTTCAATTACCCGGATATTTGTTGGATGTCAAACTCAGCCAAGAGCATAAGGTCAAACAGATTCCTCACTGGCCTTGCAGACAACTTCATTGTCCAGAAAGTGGGAGAAGCAACAAGAGGAACAGCCATTTTAGATCTGGTCCTAACCAATGTTGATGACCTGGTTAGTGGGGTAGAAGTGGAAGGATCATTAGGCGCGAGTGATCATGCTCTTCTGAAGTTTACTATACAGCGGAAAGGAGCAGCCAAGCATACTAGGACTCAATTTCTTGACTTTAAGAAAGCCGACTTCATAAAACTTAGGGAAGTGCTGGGTGAGATCCCATGGACAGTAATACTAAAAGGAAAGGGAGTTCATGATGGCTGGGAGTTTGTTAAGAGGGAGATAGTAAAAGCACAACGTCAGGCAATACCAATGAGACGGAAACATGGAAGGTGCCTAAAGAAGCCAGGGTGGCTATCTAAAGAACTTTTAACTGAGTTAAGATTAAAAAGGATGTGTACAAAAAATGGAAAAGGGGGGAAACCACCAAAGAGGAATTCAAACAAATAGCCAGCACGAGTAGACACAAAGTCAGAAAAGCTAAAGCACAGAATGAACTCAGGCTTGCTAGAGAGGTTAAAAGCAACAAAAAAGGCTTTTATGGGTATGTTCGTAGCAAAAGTAAGAACAAAGAAACAGTGGGGTCACTCAGAGGAGAAGATGGTGAAATGCAAACAGGGGACACAGAAAGGGCTGAACTCCTCAATGCCTTCTTTGCCTCAGTCTTCTCCGATAAAGAAAGCAATGCCCGACCTGAAGAATTTGGAGCAAATGATTCAGCAAAGGAAACACAGCCCAGAATAACTAAGGAGATAGTACAAGAATACTTGGCTAGTTTAGATGTATTCAAGTCTCCAGGGCCAGATGAACTGCATCCAAGAGTATTAAAAGAACTGGCAGATGTGATCTCAGAACCACTGGCAGTCATCTTTGAGAATTCCTGGAGAACAGGTGAAGTCCCGGCAGACTGGAGGAGGGCAAATGTTGTCCCTATTTTCAAAAAGGGAAAAAAGAGAAGACCCAAATAATTACCGCCCAGTCAGTCTGACATCAATACCAGGGAAGATTCTGGAGCAGATCATTAAGCAAACAGTCTGTGAGCACCTAGAAAGGAATGCTGTGATCACCAATAGTCAGCATGGATTTCTGAAAAATAAGTCATGTCAGACTAACCTGATCTCGTTTTTTGACAGAATTACAAGCCTGGTAGATGAAGGGAACGCAGTGGATGTAGCCTACCTTTATTTCAGCAAGGCATTTGACAAGGTGCCTCACGATATCCTTGTAAAGAAGCTGGTAAAATGTGGTCTTGACTATGCTACCACTCAGTGGATTTGTAACTGGCTGACTGACCGAACCCAAAGGGTGCTCATCAATGGTTCCTCTTCATCCTGGAGAAGAGTGACTAGTGGGGTGCCACAGGGTTCTGTCTTGGGCCCGGTCTTATTTAACATCTTTATCAACGACTTGGATGATGGACTCAAGGGCATCCTGATCAAATTTGCAGATGACACCAAATTGGGAGGGGTGGCTAACACCCCAGAGGACAGGATCACACTTTAAAACGACCTTGACAGATTAGAGAACTGGGCCAAAACAAACAAGATGAATTTTAACAGGGAGAAATGTAAAGTATTGCACTTGGGCAAAAAAATGAGAGGCACAAATACAAGATGGGGACACCTGGCTTGAGAGCAGTACATGTGAAAAGGATCTAGGAGTCTTGGTTGACCACAAACTTGACATGAGCCAACAGTGTGACGCGGCAGCTAAAAAAGCCAATGCAATTCTGGGCTGCATTAATAGGAGTATAGCATCTAGATCAAGGGAAGTAATAGTGCCACTGTATTCTGCTCTGGTCAGACCTCACCTGGAGTACTGTGTCCAGTTCTGGGCACCACAGTTCAAGAAGGACATTGACAAACTGGAACGTGTCCAGAGGAGGGCAACCAAAATGGTCAAAGGCCTGGAAACGATGCCTTATGAGGAACGGCTAAGAGAGCTGGGCATGTTTAGCCTGGAGAAGAGGAGGTTAAGGGGTGATATGATAGCCATGTTCAAATATATAAAAGGATGTCACATAGAGGAGGGAGAAAGGTTGTTTTCTGCTGCTCCAGAGAAGCGGACACGGAGCAATGGATCCAAACTACAAGAAAGAAGATTCCACCTAAACATTAGGAAGAACTTCCTGACAGTAAGAGCTGTTCGACAGTGGAATTTGCTGCCAAGGAGTGTGGTGGAGTCTCCTTCTTTGGAGGTCTTTAAGCAGAGGCTTGACAACCATATGTCAGGAGTGCTCTGATGGTGTTTCCTGCTTGGCAGGGGGTTGGACTCGATGGCCCTTGTGGTCTCTTCCAACTCTATGATTCTGTGATTCTATGATTCTATGATTCTAAGTGGTTACACCTAAGTCCCATTTCAATAAACCAGCTTCATTCAAAATGGCTCCTGGAGTCCAAATATTGACAAAGACCACCACCACCTCCTCAAGAACCCTTGTGCTGAGTTTGGTGATGATATCTTAAGAGGAAGCCAAACATATGTCAAGAAATGTGCCAAGTGATGTTCTGGTCTGCCATCTTGATTCATAATGGTGTCCAGGATCCTAATGGTGACAAAGTCTGCCATCCCCTTGTCAGGAACCCTTGTACGAGGTTTGGCGCTGAGTTTTATCTCAAGAGCCAGCCAAGCCTATGCCAAAAAAATGGGAAGTGTCACACCAAAACCAAGTTTGTTTGCCATCTTGATCCAAAATGGTGCCTGGCACCTGAACTTCAACATAGACCCCCATCCCCACCTCAGAAAGCCTTGTGTCAAGTTTGGTGACAACATCACAGAAGATGGCTGGATCTATGACAAAACGCGGGCAAAGTCACATTTCAGTCTGCCATCTTGATTCAAAATGGCACCAAAATTCAAGTTACACAAAAAAGGATACAAACGTGTGTTTGCTTATGTACTACCTCCCCCCACAGTGGTACCTCGGGTTAAGTACTTAATTCGTTCTGGAGGTCCGTTCTTAACCTGAAACTGTTCTTAACCTGAGGTACCACTTTAGCTAATGGGGCCTCCTGTTGCCGCTGCTGTGCAATTTCTGTTCTCAACCTGAAGCAAAGTTCTTAACCCGAGGTACTATTTCTGGGTTAGCGGAGTCTGTAACCTGAAGCGTATGTAACCTGAGGTACCACTGTAATGGAAACAGAGCTCTTAGTATATAATCTTATCTTCCATTCCAGGATTAGAGGAAGCAAGCCCATTCCTTTCTAAGCAGAATGCCATTTTGTGCCGCCTGTTTCACCTGCAGGACCCAGGCTAGTTTATTTAAGGCATTATTATTATTATTTTATTATTATTATTATTATTATTTCTATACCGCCCTATACCCGAAGGTCTCAGGGTGGTTCACATAAAATATCCCAGAGTTTCACATACCATTCTCCGCATTTAGTTATCTGTGGAGTTGTTCTTTTTGCATCTTTCAGCCAAGCTGTTAACAAGCATTTAGAACTACACCTGCCTCTCCCAAAGTTACACACCCTTGTATTATGCTGAAGAAAAATGGTTCGAATTTGCAGAGACATTGTAATGGTTGTAGGGGTTGCTCGTGCGTAAGCCGATGCTTATCTCCCCGGCTGGGTGCAAACATCTGGCTGGGTTGCCAAAGTGAACCTTTTCTGTCCAGACAGCCACTCACCCGTGGCTGACTCAATCGCTGGCAGTTTCCGTCAGTGGGCGTTTCTTAAACTTCTTCCAGCAAAGAAGCTCTTTGACGCCTAGTCTCCTCCTACTTTCTCTGCGCGAAAGCCTTCTGCGCAAGGAGGGCGTGGGCAACGGAGGACCCCTACTCTCCCGGCTGGTCCCAGGCAAGGAGTCATGGGACCGCCTCGCCGCTTCCCCCATCTGCCCCCCTTCTCCACTGGTGCTACGCTGATTCTCTTCCCCAGAAGATGGGCTGCTTCTCCCGATCCCTGGACGCTCTCTGGAATCCCTATGGCTTTTGCTCTCTCCCTCCGGCACTGATGGCAGTTCCCTGACAGGCATGAAGCAGTTAGAAAGCCAAGTAACACTCATTGAACTTAAAGGATATCAAAGCAGTGACGACTCCAGTAGCTGCTCCCATGGCAAATGATCCGCTGAAGATCCCCAGGAAAATCCCAATGGACTTGAACATTGCCGTTAAATCAAAAGTGTGGCTGTTGTCCCCTGCTGGTTGGTAGGCGACAATTGAGCTGGATGCAAACAAACACAAAGGTTTCTTATTAGCATACCTTGCTGGATATCAGATGCATTGCAGGGCAGCTGTGTGCATGCAACAGGAAAGTCCTGTTCAACATCAGGGCAACTGAAGCAGTCCACAGCAGAGAACAGCATCTTAAATATTATGAGCAAGGAAAGTCATTAACCTAAGCACAGGTGCATGAGAATGCTTGGCTGCCTTTCAGATCAAAGGGGTGCAGGTGAGAATGGGGAATTTGGGTGTCTAGTTTTGACAGGAATATAGAACCCCGAGGTCATAAGAACACAAGAAGCACCTGCTGGATCAGGCCCATCTAGTTTCACAGTGGCCAGCCATATGCCCGTAGGAAGCGCGCAGGCTGGGTTTGAACAGAAGAGCCCCCTCCCTCCTGTGGTTTCTGGCAACTGCCATTCAGAAGCACCGCTGCCTCCAACTGTGTCCAGAAGCAGCACACCTCTGAATGCCATTTACTGGGGAGCCACAGCATGTTAACCACACACTCTGACCGTGGGCATCCTGGCGCTATCTGGTCAACCACAATAGGGATCAGGTTGCTGGACTAGATGGACTTTGGTCTGATCCAGCAAGGCTCACCTTATAATGGACACAAACAATGGGTTGTTCCTTTGAAAACAAGCAATGCCTTGGTTTGGAGGTAGCTTCCCTTTTTACACCGCTTACAGTTCCTCCCAATTACAGCTTCCTTGCCAGTACTCTGTGTTCCTAGAGGCACCTACTGCTGGCATGGAGGCTTCCCAGATGACATCCGTAGTGCCTCATGTGAAATGTCGCTTACTTAAATCTTGAGAAAGACAACAGAGAACTTACGAAGACAGGACAATGGCAACGGCATCATTGAGCACACTTTCGCCAAACAGAAGGGCATACAGTTCAACATCCACCTGAAGCTCGTGGAAAATGGCAAGTACGGTCACTGTCCAAGAAAACAATAAAGGAAAGTTGAAAAATGAAATTCAGACCAACGGGCTCTTGCAAGAATTCTGTATTGTTACCAGCACCCTGAGACAATCATTCTAAATTTATTTCATAAGGGTTTCTTCTGGGCCTTTTTCATTTCCTGTGTTTATCATAATCATTCATCTAAGTAAACTACTCATAGCTCTTTGTATTAATTATCGCAGACATATTGACAGCAACCCTTCAATGTAGAGATGCCAGTATTGTTTTGCCCATGTTGTAGATGTGGAGGCTTATTTCATCACATTTATATCCCAATAGCTCAGGAGTACATTGTTCTAGTTTTTCTCCCATTTTACCCTCACAACAAGGTGGTGATATAGATCAGACAAACAGAGGGGTAATGCTCCCAGGTCAATCACTGAATTTTATGGCTGTGTTGGAATTTGAACCCAGATCTCTCCAGTTCTAGCCTTGACGCCGCCACACCATACTGCCTCCTGGCATTCCAGTAATTTGAACTGGGGGCTTCTAACTCATGCCAGTTCCTAACTCATATACTAGGTTGGCTGTTCTCTATACGGTCTTTCTTTCTCATGAAAAAAGCCAGATCTTCCCTCAAAGATGACTGACTCCCAACATTATAAATCCACTGCTAAGATATTTGTTATGTTAGGATTACTTCAGAAGTACAGTTACTTTATGTATGTATGTATGTATGTATTTTCTAAAGTTCTCCCCATTATTTGTACAGCCAGTTGTCTGAAACACTTCTTCCTAAGCACATGCTCAAGTACATTTTCTTTAGTGATGAAGTACGTATAAGACTATATTTCTCCCAAAATTTTTAAAGTTTAAAATTGGGGGTTGTCTTATACACAGACTGTTGCAATTAATTATTTCTTGATTTTGGGCTCAAAAAACAGGGGTCGTCTTATACATGGGAGTGTCTTATACATGGAAAAATACAGACTTAGGCATCTCAACTTGGTTTATATCACCTAGCAAAGCCAGTATGTGCACCCAAATATGTTTAAGGGATTCAATTTCACTAAAGAGAGCTCACACAGACTGAGGCAAATCTCACATATTTTTTTCTCTATAGGATGCACTTTTTCCCCTCCAAAAATTGGGGGGAAATGTGTGTGCATCCTATGGAGCGAATGCGGGCTCCTTGGCTTCAATGATAGCAACGCTAAGCCTCCGAAGCTCCGGAGGCTTCGCATTGCTTTCGCTGAAGCCTGGAGAGTGAGAGGCGTCGGTGCGCACCGACCCCTCTTGCTCTCCAGGCTTCAGGGATAGCCGCCTGAAGGCCTTGGGAGCGCAGCGCGAGTTCCCGCTGCATTACGGAGGCTTCAGGTTCCTTTTGCTGAAGATTCTCCTGGCTTCAGCAAAAGGAACCCGAAGCCTCCAGAATGCAGCGGGAACTCGCGCTGCGCTCCGAAGGCTTCAGAGATAGCCGCGTGCAGCCCCTCCGGCAGGAGAGGTTGTGCGCGGCTAAAGAGGAAGCCAAGACAGCCAGCAGGATGGATCCCGCTCAATGTCTTGGCTTCTTTGTTCTTTGGGGCTGGGGAGCGGGGAATAAGATTTTTTCCCTTGATTTCCCCCTCTAAAAACTAGATGCGCCTTATGGTCCGGTGCGCCCTATGGAGCGAAAAATACGGTAAAACTTTTCATACAATCTGAGAGAGCTCAAGTGCTATTTGTTACCAATAAAAGCCCTCCAAATCCCATTTGTTATCAATCAATATAAAAAAGCAGGGGGCAGGGAAGAAAACCGAATCCTTTGGACTGCCTGGCTTACGTGTAGCACCTGCCCCAAGCCCAGCTCAAGTCTCTAAGTACACAGACATTCCATTCAATGTCATGGAGGTGGAAATGAAAGTCTTGTGTTTACGTAATAAACAGAAAATTCTGGTTTCCTTGGTTCCCCCTTTTTAATGTTGGTAACAGGAAAAGCATGGGAGACCACAGAAATTCCCTTCCTCATGACAATGCAGATCATCAGGAAAGGTTCTGCAAATAGGAGCTCTGTTATTGTAACACCATTATACAAATCTACGTTGCGGAACACTGTGTGCGGTTCTGGTGAAGGAGAAGGCAGAGCTGGAAAAGTTTCTGAGAAGGGCAACTGAAATGATCAGGGGATGGCAGCCATTTTCCCTATGAGGAAAATGGACCTTTCTCACTTAGACATGATAAAGGACTATGCAATTCTGTGTGGGAAAAGTGGGTGATTTTTTCTTCCCCCTCTCCTATAGGGCTAGAATCCAAGGTCATCCAATGAAGTGGAATGGTGGGCTATTCAAGGCAATACAAAAAAGCAAATACTCCTTTCAAAAGGTTTGACAATAGAATTTGTTGCCACATTATGTGCTGGTGGCCAGGAACTTTAAAAGGAGATTAGACAAATTTATGGATGTCAGGTATACTAAGCATTGCCTCTAGGAGCAGAACACAACTGGAACTGCCAGTTGCCATGAAAACACACGCAGGAGGGGACTATGGCCATGATGCCCTGGTGGGCTTGCTAGAGGAAACATCTGGCCAGCCACTGCGAGAAAGAGGGTGCTGCAGTACATGGGCTGCCTTTGTGTCTGAGCAGCTGCGCTTTTCTTGTGTTCTTATGCCTGCCCATTCTCAACTTTAAAAAACTATCTCCACTCTTAGGTAATAAGAAAGGATTTGGATACACTATATCTAGATTTCAAAGAGAAATTGTAGGTGATAATAATAAACTCTTAAAGAAAATGTACAATTTATTGTTAGAATGTGGGATTAAAGATAAAGAGGTCAAATCTGTAGTGATTAAATGGGCACAAGATATAGGACACAATATACAAATGGAAGATTGGGAAAAATTATGGAAAGCCAATTTAAAATTTACTGACTGTACTGTATATTGTTAAAAGAGAATTATATGAAAATGATGTATCGATGGTATATCACACCTGTGAAAATGGCAAAAATGTATAGAACAGGCTCCAATAAGTGCTGGAAATGTAAAGGAAAGGAAGGTATGTTTTTTCATATGTGGTGGAATTGTAAAATAATTTAAAATTACTGGGAAATGATTTATAATGAAATAAAAAAATGTTTAAGTTAACTTTTGTTGGGAGGCCAGAAGCTTTTTATGGAACTGGCAGAAATGACTGGCAGAATCCGAGACCAGGGAGAAGAGTCGGTGGAAGAAGATTGGAAGAAATTCAAAGATTATCTACAGAAATATTGTAAAATTAATGAATGTTAGAATGATGTTGGATAGTAATTAAGTGGTTTCCAGCTGTAATGCTTTAAGGGAATATGAAAAAAGGGTTATAAATAGGTAAAAGTTTAATATTATTACTTTTAAAGGATTTGCTGAACCAACAGATTGAAGTGGAATACAAAAAAGGGAGGTATAAGGAGGTCCGGGAAATAAGTCAAAGGAAAATAAGTAATGGAAAATCTGTGTGTTTTTAACTATTTTTATTTTGTATTTTTGTCATTTTTATTTTTTTGTTTTTTTGTAATATTTTAAGAAAACCTTAATAAATATCTTATAAAAAAAAAACCCAGAAGCTTTTTTATTACGCATTTCAGGCAAAGATCTGCCAAAAAATAAGAAGAATTTATTTATGTCTGCTACAACAGCGACTAGGATTTTGCTAGCCGAAAGATGGGAAAATGATGAAATACTTGCGAAAGAACAATGGCAAGAAAAACAGATGGTGTATGCTGAAATGGTGAAGTTAACTGAAAGATTAAAAGATAAGGACAATAGAGACTTTTAAAAAGACTGGGAACCTTTTATCTACAGAAACAATGTAAGGAAATGAATTCACTTGCAGTGTTTGATTGTTGTTGTTGTTTAGTCGTTTAGTCGTGTCCGACTCTTCGTGACCCCATGGACCAGAGCACGCCAGTGTCTGATTAAACACTTACAATTAGCAAAACAAAAAGCAAAAATATAAAAATGAGGTTAAGAACAAAATAAATAATAAGCAGGAGAAATGAATGTGTAAGAAACCAGGAAGGGAAGTTGGGGGAAGGGGGTAATCAAGAATTTATTTTGTGTTTATATTGTTAGTTGTGATTATGTTAAAAAAGATGCAAAATTCAATAAAAATCATTTTAAAAAACCAAAAACTATCTCCACTCTTGTAGCAGACAGAAAAACCCAAGAACAAAAAGTGAGCTGGGATCCAAGGAATATCTTCCGTGGAACATCTGGCCCAAGTCTGCAACACACCTGGGTCAGTAGCAGAGGCAATGGCACCGAACAAGAGGCAGTCAGTAAAGTAGAAATCTCCTCCAAGCTGTCCCATCACCTTCATCAGAGAAACACAGCCATACATGATGGACCTGGTGATTCAACAGGAACATGGACAGGTAACATTTTCTCATTTCTCATTTAATTTGTATACTGCCTTCCAACATTGCTATAGACAAGGCAGTATAAAGGCCACACAACCTACATCAATCCGGTCCAATACAAATAAGTCGTAACCAAAAAATATGACTAGTAAAATAAACTTAAATAAAGTAAGGTAATATTCAATATTTTGCTTCTGATATTACATGATAAAATCAACTCTCAAAATCAGCAAAATGTAATTGTACAGAAAATTATTCCCAACAATTGCAATTCATTACTAGACTATGATTAATGAAAACAACAGTAAAGTCACAATACAAAAAATACCACAGCCCATGTAAAAATAGATAACTGAGTAGCAAAGTCAGATAGCTTGTAACATTACAAAATGCACTAACACAGCATTTTGTTAAATGCTGGTCCAGGGCAGGATAAATGAATATTAATGTGATAATCTTCTCAAGTACAATAACAACACTGATTTTAAACTGCACATTTAGCACCTTCAGATTCCTAAGCTTAATAACAAAAAAACCACAGAGAAATAAGAATGCTTTCTACATCTGGTGTATACTAAACAGCTGCTCAAAGGGGACCATACACACCCTTCAGAATTCCTACACCCATCATGATCCATTCTCCTTCCATTTTCAAGAAGTCTAGAGGAACAAAGCAAACACTCACCCTATCACAAAGCAGGAAATGGCCGTTCCGAGGAAAGCGTATGCCAAGATGGATCCCAGGTTTCGAAAGAAATGCCGCTAAGAGGCAAGCAAGAGAGTCTTCCATTAAATTAAACTGCTTCAGAGCCGAGGGTCAAATACTTGTTCAAGTGGATTCTTGATTACTTGTTCCAAAATGCGCAATCTCTCCATTAGCTCAGGCCATGCACCCCCAAGCAGAGAAATAAAATAAAGAGGGTGGCACATGCTTGGGAGATGCAGTGGGTCCCCAGCACTTACAGAGTCCGGCTATAATCTTTATTTTTACAACCTACTTGGTTATAGTTTAGAGGCACTACCGTTGCTTCTGGCTTTCCCCCAATACAGTGCTTAGGGCAAAGAATAAATGAGTACTGGCGAGGAGAGAAGACTGGGGGTGGACTCCACAGGCTTATAGGCTTGCACACTGCTTGGTCAGAAGTAGGTGATTTTACAATTCATCCTGTCTAGAAAAGTCATAATCCCCGTGGCTCCTTCAAGTAAATTATACTCCTATGACAGTCACTACCACACTGAGAATCAGGGTAGAAGGGGACATATGTGAAGCCTTGGATTACAAAGGATAGCCTTTGATAATGTTCAGATGGAAATCATTTTTCTTGACACGCAGGCACTGGCCTGGTTGGAAGTGAAACAGGCACCCACTAGGGGAATTTCCCCTCCTTCTCTCAGAGTACTGGAAGTTGAGGCCACCCAATCAAACTGGCATGAAGTCCAGAAACAGAGGGAGAAATAAATAAAACACTTATTCACACCATGCATAACTAATTTATGCAACTCATTACCAAAGATGTGTTGGAGGCCATTAGTTTAGATGGTCTTTTAACAAGGGTTAGAAAGCTTGGTGGAGGATGGGTATATTGAAAGCTAATAGCTTATAACAGCTGAACCTCCAGTGGCAAAACCCTCTGCATAGCTGAGAGCAAACAAGGGAAAGCCACGGCCTCCAGCTCTGCCCAAGAGCATCTCAGAGGCACCTGGCTGCCACCGTCAGGAACAGAACGCTGGAGCCCTGGTCACAAGCAGCAAAGCAAGCCTTCCGTTCTAAGACAACTGCAGTGATTTTCACTGACAGAAGAAAGGTTCATAGCTCAGTGGGAGAGCACCCGCTTTACATGCAGAAGGACCCAGCATCTCCAGCTATGGGGCCAGGAAGATGCAAAAGCTTCTGAATTCTTTGTCGTGGCCAATGCCAGAAGAGAGCAGCAGAAGGGAGAGGGCACAAGGCTCACCCGGGCCAATTCCTGCCACAATAAATCCAAACAGGCAGATGCCAACTGTGTGCACATGTCTATAATGTAAGTATTACTACAAAGAACAAACAGCCACAACTAATGATCAAACAGTTATTCATTTATATAATCTTAAAGGTTTCACATGACCACAGTTTATCATCTGATTTGGGGACAGGGGGGGGGGGGGCAGACTCCTAAGGAAGCTGGAACTTTCAGCCAAGCATTTCAGAGTGAAAGTATGCCCAACCTCTGCTTTTTCTAAAATGTTTCATTAAGAGCAGGTTCTCCATAGATTGTTGTTGGCTAGATATGAGAGGCAAAAGAGCCTTGCAATGAATTCAGAATTTGGAAGCTTCCAAAGGTTCCAAAATATTGTTCTGAGTTCAATAGCTGTCTGAACAATTGCTTAAAACAGAGTTCAAAAGATGCACAAGATTGCTCCACTGGACTCCCACGTCAACCAAGTTGGAATGATTATCACCCATATAAACAACAAAAAACCTGCCCCTGAGGAGGGGAACCTGTGGCCCCCCCAAACATTGCTGGATTTCAGCATCCATCAACCCCAGCCAGCAAGGCCCTGATTGGGGCGGAGGAGTTGTGATTCAGATGGAGGTTCACTGCCCACAACGTAACACATTCTAAACAGCATAGGAAGCCTATACAAATACAAAAACTCCTTGCAGCAGAAATTATCCCACATGAGTACCATGGCTCATATAGCTAAAGCAGCATCAATCATGCGCAGACTCACAGGAACCCTGTGGTTGCCAGAAGTTTAAAAATATAAGGAGAAGAAAGATGAGGAGGAGAAACCCACTCAGTAACTGTGTGCACCCATTGGCCATGAAATGCTAAAAAGGTGGTACACAGGGTGGGGGAGTTGAAAATGGGGTGTGAGGGGGGAATGAAGAGTGTGTTGTGGAGGACAGCATGGCTGGTTGACTGGAACAAGAACGTTCCATTTTGCTGCAGGTCCCATTCATTACAAACAATACCTGGATGTGCAAGAAAGCCTGTTTTCAGTCACAGGACAGGTTGCACAAGTTGGCATGGGTGGCATAAGAAGACAGGGTGTTGTGTTGCTGCTCCTCTCCTTCTCCCCTTCACTTTTTAAATTCTTCTGAAGCATCACTTAAAAGTTTAAAATAACTTTGAAAGTTAAATAGGGTTGCCATATTTCAAAAAGTCAAAATCTGGACACAAAGATTGTTGAGCTTTTTTAGTTTTGAACAAAGTGGTTGAGCTTTTTAGCAAAATCTCAAAGATAACTGATAAGTTTTTGAGCTATTTTGGGGGGAAATTGCAAAAATATAGACTTCTAAAATACTGTATAGACTTCCAAATTCTGGACATGTGGCAACATTTCTGCCATTCCAGAAAAGTGATGGCAGCACAGGCTGCATCCTCCTGGGCCAGTTCTCCTGCAACCCCTTACTCTGAGGAAGGGCCAAGGAGGGGGAGGGGCCCAGACATTAAAAGTAAGGCAAGGGGGAGAGGCAGCAGGTGGGGGCAGGAGGTGTGCTAATTTGTTGTTTTGCTCAATCAGTGGGCTAGGCCTGCAAACAGTTATAATAGCTCTACAGCTTTTTAAAAAGAAGCTTTGTGTCCTCCCATTGCTGGGTCCCTGCTCCTGCCAACCTAGCAGTTCGAAAGCACGTCAAAGTGCAAGTAGATAAATAGGTACCGCTCTGGAGGGAAGGTAAACGGCGTTTCTGTGCGCTGCTCTGGTTTGCCAGAAGCGGCTTAGTCATGCTGGCCACATGACCCGGAAGCTGTACGCCGGCTCCCTCGGCCAGTAAAGCGAGATGAGCGCCGCAATCCCAGAGTCGGCCATGACTGAACCTAATGGTCAGGGGTCCCTTCACCTTTAACACATTAATGCTGAGATGGACAGCATCATTACCTGAGCCTACAGGATAGAGCAGAATTCACATCTGACAAAGGTGTAAAAGCACCAGAATTTCTTTCAACATATTAAAGCATCGGTTTAAACGAGGAAGGACATACCCTTTTCAAGCTGTATCCTGCATAAAATATAATTGGAGGGAGCAAGATGTTGAAGAATACTTCTGGATCGAATGTCACCTGTAGAAGTTTTTTTTAAAAAAAGAACGAATAAAAATCCAGGTAAGGAAAGTTTTACATAAGACTGTATATAAAGCTTAATTAAGTTCACTTTAAATCAAGAATAAAAACGTCAGCAAACACAACTGCTTCAGGGAGCCAAATGTTTGGCTTTTACAACCTGGGAACAATGGATAATTTCACAAGAAAAAGCTCCCATTACTCTAAACAGGAACACCCTTCACCATACCTGGAACTGGAAAGTTTTAGGTAATACAGAAATGTGATTTGTGTGTACAGGGAGAAAAAAAGGAGAAGGCTACACACAGGAAACTTCCATTCTGGAGGCTCTACCTAAGGAATTTAAGATGAAATAGATAGTGCTATTAGCTAATTACATTGGAGTGCATGAGGGTGGGCAGACAAGGATGAGAAAGGAATTCAGGGCACATGAACAGGTTTCCATAACAGAACACAGAAGGACCAGTGGGATGATGATGGTGGAGGAGGAGGAGGAGGAGGAGGAGGAGGAGATACATGAGAAAGCCTACCAAACCAGGTTTCTTGCTTGGTTGCTTCAGGGCCCACTGGCCCTGGTCAGCCCAGCCCAACCAGACTGGTTTGGAAAGCCAGAGGTGGAACTGAGAAACCCTTTCTAGGGTGGAGGGGCAAAGAAGAGAAGGGAGAAAACCAGCTTACCTTTCTGAGCATCTCATTATCCTGAACGTTATTAGGTTCGTGGGAACTGATTTCCCCTTTCAGGGTATACTCGTAGAACTTCCCACTGAGGTTTACCAACAGAGTTGCAGGGCTGGTCTGCACTGGGCAGCTTAAAGTCACGTTGTTGATATCACTAGGAATGTGGATGCCATAGCGAAGGACAACACCCACCAGGACACCTGTGAATAGTAAATTCAGTGCTCTTTCAGTGTCTGCACGGTTGTCTTCTGCCAACGGTTTTACTCTGCTGCTGTGGTTGTATTTTGTTTTGATCAAACCACACCTGCCAGGCACCCTTCAGATATTTTGGACGACCGCTGCCATCAGCCCCAGAAAGCAAGATCATGCTGGCCAGGGCTGGTGAGTATTGTTTTGGACTGATGGGAGAAGTTTTGATCAGGAGGGTGCTAGGCTCACAAAGGCCGTTTTAGATTTTGTGTTTCATGTTCTATTTTTATAGTTTAGCGTCTTCCTTTTTAACCTGCAAGCTACTGGGAGAATTCCTGTTAGTGGGCAGTATATAAATACTGTAAATAAATAAAGTGAAAGGGAGCGCTGAATGAGAAGAACTGCAGCCACAGCCAAGAGATTTTAAGGCTTGGGGCTACAAGATCTCAGGATGTAACTCTCAAAGAACCGCTTTGTTTGCCACATTTGTAAAGTGCACAAGTGAAACTGTGATGTATGCACAAAGTAAACACATTTTTAAAAATGTGCAAGTACAGACTACAAGGAACTTGAACTGTCTGTAGTTCCAAGGCACTTAATTACTATCAGGAATCATAAAAATAGCGAGAGAAACACTTGGACAAACCCTCCATGCTCACATGACACATGCTCATGATGCTATTAGGAACTATCTTGCATAACAGATTGACTAAAGGGAGCAAGAGGGGAGAGGAGAGAGGAAGGCTGAGCAACAGCGGAGTAGCCTGGGAGCAAGGAAGTGGCTAATGTCCCCTGACAGAGAAGGGGCGGCGTTTCTGGGGTTGGTGCTACAAGAAGCATCCTAAGGCATTGGTCGGGCTGGGCCAGCTTGCTAAAAGAAGGCTGCACTCAGTTAGCCTGCCTGCCTCCCAGGAAGGAAGGAAGAAGGAAGGAAGAGCCATAGCTCAGAAGCAAAAGCGTACACATTGCATGCAAAAGGTCCTTGGTTCAATCCTCAGCATCTCCACATCCCTGCCTGAACCCATGCTGCCCACCAGCAGGCATAGAAAATACTGAACTAGGTGGCTCTTCCTACAACCTTTTCATTGCGCAGGTCTGGCACCTCCTTCCAGGAGATCAGCCTCTTCACTGCTTCTCAGGTGTTAATGTTCCCTACAAAGCAGAATTCCATTTGATAATGCTGATCTTCTGGAAAGCCCCCCGCAATCTGAATTGATGGTTTGGAACTCAGAGGCTTCTTAAAAGCTCAGGGAAGGAAATTTCCATGACACTGTCACCTACCTCTTTGCTTTACAGTGGTACCTAGGTTCTCAAATGCCTTGATACTCAAACAACTTGGAACCCAAACACTGCAAGCTCGGAAGGAAGTGTTCTGGTTTGCGAACTTTTTTCAGAAGCCAAACATGATCTGTTTTGAGTGCCACACTTCTGTTTTGAGTGTTACACTGAGGTCTGTCTGTTTTTGCTATTCATTTGCGTTTTCATGGCTCTTTTTTGTTTTTGTTACTGTGTAGTACCCAGTTCAGCTACTGATTGATTGACTGACTGTGTGACTGCAGTGCATCATTTATTGCTTTCATTTTATGGATCCATGGTCTCGTTAGATAGTAAAATTCATATTCAATTGCTGTTTTAGGGTTGTTTTTAAAAGTCTGGAACAGATTAATCCGTTTTGCATTACTTTCTATGGGAAAATGCACCTTGCTTTTAGAAAGCTTTGGTTTTGGAACAGACTTCCGGAACGGATTAAGTTTGAGAATCAAGGTACCACTGTACTCTGTACCCTGAGCACATGGGTAAAGTCCTTGCCTATATGAGAGAGAATGGAACAGGACTTGAGAAACAGCACTTGCTTCACTTCTCAGAAAGATCTGGTAACCAACATGAGGGGAAAGCAACCAATACATCTAAGTACGATATTATTTGTTGAATCTCTTTAGCCATCTTTCTCAATAACGACGCAAGACAGTTTTACAGAAATATAAAAACATATAAAACGAATATAAAAGATACACAACAAAGGATATAAGTTACTGGTGGTTAGTCCCTAGTCTGGAGGTCTGGTTTAGCCATCTATGCAAATGTTTCTAGTTGTCTAAGAACAAATCAATTTTGGCAGTGGTGATGTAAAAATTGTTTGTTTGAAAAAAAGAGATGCAGCTCCTGACAGTAATGCCAACCGTCCCCTTCTTCATCTCAGACTGATCATTTGATGAGAGGGGGGAGATGAGCTATGTGGATCAGCTGGAGGGGTGCCTCTGGGTAAGGGGGGGCAACCACCCCTTGTGTGTGTTCCCCAAACAGCTGGCTAAGGGTCAGTATGGTTCTCAGTGGGTGGTTACTTTAGGAAGATATTACAAACATAACCATTTAAAGTTTATGTAAGAAAGAGTTATCCACAGAAATATGTCCATGGTGAGACTCATGAACTGGACCTAAGAGAAACCTAGGATGCTGATCCTGGATACATCTTGGAAACAAGGCAGAACCTACATGCACCCCATGAGAAAGTGACTGAGGTTGTCCTGATGATATCGTCTACATGCCCCACAGAGGGGAGTTTGTGGCAGCCATACCACCACAGAGGACTTCTTCTGGGAGCCAACTGAAGTCACAGCAGATGCTGAAAGTAATACTAAAACAATCTTAGAATGACACTCATTTCACCTTTATCCTTTTACAGCCCTCATATGGGGTCAGGAATAAAAATCCGATTTCACTTTTTGTGTGTTTATATACACAGAAACTGAGGTTCATTCATTCAACTGGCATTTGAAGTTCAAGTTAAGATTTGAAAAAGGATTTAATCTCACTCCCAGGGGAAGTCTGAAACAAGTCACAGGTCACAGATCTTGGAATTTTAGAGTTGGAAGGGACCCCAGGGGCCATCTAGTCCAACCCTCTCAATGCAGGAATCTCAGCTAGATCATACATGACAAGTGGCCACCCAAGCTCTGCTTAAAAACCTCCAAGGAAGAAGAGCCCACTACCTCCTAAGGGAGTCTGTTCCGCTGTCAAACAGTTCTTACTGTCAGAAAGTTATTCCTGATGCTTAGTTGGAACCTCCTTTCTTGTAACTTGAAGCCATGGGTTCAGGTCCTGGCCTCCAGAGCAGGACACATCTGTGCATGCGTGTGACAGTAAATCTCTACCCATCCTGACTATCTAAAGGTGACACCAACAGGCTCTTCACACAAGGACCTCAGGACTCTAATCAATAACAAAAGATATCACAAGAACCACCCTTATATATATGCATATATGTGGTTATATGCTCAACTACCACAGTGATCCCTCCAAATCTTTTCCCACTATTACAAATGGCTTTACAGTTCTTAAGAATCAATTTATAAGTGTTTTTCTTTCAGCTTCATAACAACTCTGTGATAAAGACCGTGTGTCTCAGGACACCCTGAAAACTACCAGATTTGTAGTGGCATTACTGTTCACAGTGCCACAAAATTCTTGCTTTTGTGGACTACCCAAAAACCTCTGCAGCTGGCTGGACTTTGGGGGGTCTCCCATGTCCATGCTCAAGTCACTGGGCCCCATGGTAAGCACTGGAATTACAAAGAAAGTACAATAATCTATTGCAAACTTTTAAAATAGGAACATAGGTATGCATTGGCACCAATTCTTAAAAATATGTAGCACACAACCATTCCAAATGTTTGCAGACCATTCTCTATATATAACTCAGGTGTTATGTTTGCTTCCTTGCTCAGTTAGCAACTTCGTAATAAGCAAGCTCAGATATATCTAGCCTGATCACTTGGGAATCTAAGACAAAGTAATTTAAACTTCTTGCAGTTTTTAGTTTGTTTCTGTTGAGCAATCAGCTTTCTCTCCGAAGAGTTTAAGGTCTCAAATTTTCCAGCACCATTCTTGTGACTACCCTAGTAAAATAACCAAGTGTCACAAGTCGTGCACTGGAGAGGTAGCAAAGGAAATGCTGTCAATTTCCCAACAGCTCTCTAAAAAATGTTTAAAGCAGCACTGGAAGGAAGAACAGATTAATGGTATATGTGTACAAGCATTACTGGCCCTGCCAAAGTTAAGGGATTCCTATGTTCAAAAGAGAAAGCTTGTTACCAGTCAGGATCTAGAATACAGTGGTACTTAATTCGTTCTGGAGGTCTGTTCTTGACCTGAAACTGTTCTTAACCAGAGGTACCACTTTAGCTAATGGGGCCTCCTGCTGCCTCCGCGCCGCCAGAGCACAATTTCTGTTCTCCTCCTGAAGCAAAGTTCTTAACCCAAGGTACTATTTCTGGGTTAGCAGAGTCTGTAACCTGAAGCGTCTGTAACCCGAGGTACCACTGTACAATACTGGATTTGGGGAACTCTCAGTTCAAATGCCTGTTTGGCCACAAACTCACTAGGTAGCCTTCAGAAGGTCAAAATCTCTCACCCTCACCTGTAAACAAGGTGGATAAAAATCAATGATTTAAAAATAAAAATAAAAAAAATTGGATCCACTTCATTGGATGACCTTGGATTCTAGCCCTATAGGAGAGGGGGAAGAAAAAAATCACCCACTTTCCCCACACAGAATTGCAGTCCTTTATCATGTCTAAGTGAGAAAGGTCCATTTTCCTCATAGCGAAAATGGCTGCCATCCCCTGATCACTTCAGTTGCCCTTCTCAGAAACTTTTCCAGCTCTGCCTTCTCCTTCACCAGAACCGCACACAGTATTCCACAATGTAGATTTGTATAAAGCAGGGTGGGAGAAATCAATGATTTTTTGAAATAAAAAATAGGATTTTGTTGATATAATCAGATTTTTTTTTATTTAAATAGGAATCTTTTGATTTAAATTGGATTTTTAAAATAAAATATTTTTGGAGGAAAAATCTTCCTAAAGATAATATTCTATCTACGTTACATTATAGTTCAGAGACTATTCATCAGGAAATAAGGATTTGTTTTAAGTTTTTCATGTGTGCTAAAACTCAGTCTAAGGTGTGTGTTGTTTTTTAAAAAAATGTTTAATTACATCAGTTCACAAACATGGATACATATGCTATAATGTTATTGTTTTAGTTAAATAAATTGTTTAAATTGTCATTAAGGAAATGATTATTTTTCTCCTTCCAATCAAGTACAGCTGAAAAGTTGTCCAAATATAAACTGTTAACTTATTAAACCTCACCATAATTACATAATTATCTTTCTATGCATTTCTAACAGTATAACTAAATCAGTAATTTTTTATAGAACTGTCAAAATGACTCTGAAAATTTAATGTTCTAAAAAGGAAACCTTCGTCTGGTTGTAAATATTAAGAATATACCAGCAAGAATGAGTATTTCTACTGACTAGTGATTTAAATTGATTTGATTTAAATCAAACCCACCCTGCCTGTAAAAAGCAGGATTAAAAGAGAGCTACCTCCAAGATGGCTGGTGAGAATAATAACACACCTGGCATACTAATCCTGAAGAGGGTTAGGCAAATTAATGGAGCAGAAGGCTATCTGCAGTAGGTGCTCCCTTGCTCTCAGAGGCAGAATGCCTGTCTGCTGGGAACCCCAACTGGGGAGGGCGCTGCTGCAGTCCTGTCCTGCTTGAGCCTCCTCCAGGCATCAGGTTGGTCACTGAGAACAGGATGATGGCTAGATGGGCCTTTGCTCTGATCCAGGAGGCTCTTATGGTTCTGAGCTGTGATCCTGTGCATGAGAACTAGGGAGCAACACTTTGTGATCCCGGCTGGACTTCCCCCCATGTCAGCTCTAACAGGAGCCGATTGTAAAACACTTTGTGACTATTAATCCCACTATAAGATGCGGTCAGAGTGAGGAAACCAAATCACCATCTCACAGCTATAGTGGGGTCCTCAGGAGTCCCAAACTAATGGATTTGTTTCCTAACCTCGCAGCAGCACTGTCCAAAGGTCATAAACTGCCCACAGGGTGGCAGGTCCGGGGCAAGAGTGTGGCAGTTTCAGGGATTCTGCACTGTGAGCAGAATGGCAACTACGTAGTAAGGCAGGCGTTTCTTTTTATTTTTGTGTGAAAGGGAGTGCAAGGCAGAAAAAAAGCTCTGTTGTCTCAATCCCGGCACCTTTCGGCCAGCCATTCTGTCACAAAGCCTCACCTTGTGTGGGAAGCTCCAGAAAGAGCAGCAATACAACCATCTTACCTGTTGCTTATGCTCACGGAGCGCCTCTGAACATGGAAAAACAAATGGTTTCACGATACCCGGAGGGCTAATAAACATGACCTTTATTTCGGAGGCAGCAGCTCGCTTCATCATATGCATGAAGGAAACCGCGCAGGTCCTGAATCTAAAGGTGTGCGCACAGGTAGGCAGTGGACTCGCTGCCGGGCACGTTGATAACGGCCCCAGCGATTCCCCCTGCCCCTCTCCTAGGCGTGGGCTCCACACACAGATGTGGGCAGGCGGTGGGAGCAAGGGAGAAAGGGGGGGAGGTGCAGCACTGCGCCGCCACAGTGGAGCAGCGCTGCATCCAGGGCTGGATTGAGGTTTGACGAAGCCCTCAGCTCCTGAAGTTAATGGGGCCCTTTCTATGTCCAGCTGTCCTTTGTCCACAACAAATTGCCAGTTTTTTGTGTTGAATATATGATATGGTAATTTACGGACCTAATAGGTACCTGAAGAAATTTGCACATAACAAATAGGAGCCTACACAACACAACACACTGTTGCTGTATGTAGGTTTTATTTTATTTGTTTTTTTTATCTTATATTTTGGAAATGTACATCCAGGATTTTTTCCCTTTCATTTTTTTGGGGGCCCCCAGGAGAGGGGGGCCCTAACTTATAGCTTATTTAGCTCATACGTACATCCGGCACGCCTGCATCCCTGCTCCTAAATGGCCGACGGGCCCCCTTGGAAAGTGGCCCGGGTGCCCGCCAGGGGGTCTCTGCCAGCCTCCCTCCCTGCACCCAGCGCGATGCGCTGCACCCACCGTAGATCATGGCCAGGCCCGTCTCGTGCAGGAAGCGCGCGCGGCGGTGCTTGAAGAGCCAGATGGTGAGGATGGTGAGGGTGAGCAGGAGGATGAAGATGAGCAGGTTGGCGCTGTCCTGGCGGTGGCTGGCTTCGGCCGCCTTCTCGGACACAATCTCCTCCTCCAGCGCCACGGGCCGCGCTCCGGAGGCCAGCAGCGGCTCTGCCCGGGCGCCCAGCCCCGCCGCCGCCGCCAGCAGCAGCCCCAGGAGCAGCCGCTGCTGCCGCCGGCCAGGGTCCCCCAGGTGTCCCGCCGGCCCGGCTCTCCAGCCGCCCCGCGGCAGCTGTGCCAGGGCAGCCATGGCTCCTCAGGGTCCCCCTCCGCTTCTTCCCTCCCCGCAGCCGGGACTGGAGAGGGAGGAGGAAGCGCCGATCCCAGGCCGAGCAGGCGCGGCGGCCAGCGGGGGCGCGCGAGGAGAAGGCGCCGTGGGGAGAGCAGCGCCGGGCGCGCGGCGGAGCGCAGGGTGGGCTCCGGAGCGGGTCCCCCTGGGAAGCGCAGCGGTCGCGCCCAGGGCGCAGGCCCGCCCAGGAGGCGAGGCGGCAGCAGGGGCCGCAGGATGATCTCGGTGTGGAAGAAGCTCTATTCCTCCTTGTTACAACAAACGTGACATCATGCCGGGCCGTCTGGGGTGCAAAGAACCGCCCAGCACCCCCAAATTTAGTTGCGTCTGCCAAGCGCCGCCGTTGTTCTAATCCAGCCCCGCTGCTTCGCCTTCCAAAAGGAAGAGGCTGCTGCAGAAACCTCGCCCCTTCCATGCGAAAGGGCAGCCCCGCCTCGTTCCTGCTCCCAGCCTGGTCCGCGGGGCAGGCGGGACTACAACCGGTGCAGCTGACCCGCCCTCCGCGCGTGGCGGGGAAAGGCTCCCCCTCCCCCAGCAAGGGACGCACCTGCTTCCCCCAGGACGGGGTGAGGATGGAGAGCAGGGCGTTGCTATAGGCCAGCAGGCACTGCCAGGCTGCTTGGGTGCCGCAGCCCAACTTCTCGCCGGGAGGCCTCCCCTGGCCAGGGAGCATCAGTAATACCTAGGTATATATGTATTTTGTTTTTCTAGCTTGATCCAAATTATTTATTATTTCATAACAGGTAGATAGTTAAGACCTTGGGTGGCTTCAGCGGCAGGCACCTGGCACCCCGCAGAAATCAGTGCCCGGGTGCCCCACCCCCCCTTGCACCCCTGGGTAAAGATGGCCCCATTCCGGAGTGGGTCCCCTTGGAAGAGAGTGATTGCGCCCAGGGCAGGCTCACCCAGGAGCCACAGGATCAGCAGATCCAGGTGTGGAAGCTCTATTCCTCCTTATTACAACAAACATGATATCATCATCATCATTTATTTATACCCCACCCATCCGGCTGGGTTTCCCAGCCACTCTGGGCGGCTTACAACAAAGATTAAAAATACATTAAAACATCCGTCATTCAAAACTTCCCTAAACAGGGCTGCCTTCAGATGTCGTTTAAAAGTCAGGTAGTTGCTTATTGCCTTGACATCTGCTGGGAGGGCGTTCCACAGGGTGGGCACCACCACCAAGAAGGCCCTCTGCCTGGTTCCCTGTAACTTCGCTTCTTGCCGGAGAGGGACCCTGGCGTCCGGGGTGGAGGTACTCCTTCAGGTCTACTGGGCCAAGGCCATTGAGGGCTTTCAAGGTCAGCACCGACCCTTTGAATTTGTGCTCGGAAACGTACTGGGAGCCAACTTAGGTCTTTCAAGACCGGTGTCATGTGGTCCTGGCAGCCACTCCCAGTCCCCAGTCTGGCTGCCGCATTCTGGATTAATTGCAGTTTCCGTGTCACCTTCAAAGGCAGCCCCACGTAGAGCACGTTGCAGTAGTCCAAGCGCGAGATAACTAAAGCATGCACCACTCTGGCCAGACAGTCTGCGGGCAGGGAGGGTCTCAGCCTGCGTCCCAGATGGAGCTGCCCTGGACACAGAATTGACCTACGCCTCCATGGACAGAGGTAAGTCCAAAATGACTCCCAGGCTGTGCACCTGGTCCTTCAAGAACAGTTACCCCGTTCAGGACCAGGGAGTCCTCCACACCAGCCTCTCCCCTGTCCCCCAATAACAGTACTTCTGTCTTGTCAGGATTCAACCTCAATCTGTTAGCCGCCATCCAACCGCCTCCAGACACTCACACAGGATCTTCACTGGTTCTGCTTTGAAAGACCGCGCCATGTGGGAATCCTTTGCAGATGACTGCCAGTGCCTGGAGACAGATGGTCAGGTGGTGCATCCACAGCAGTGACCAGAGGAGGAATGACAGCTGGGAGGAGCGCAGAGAGAGGCACTGCCATAGTGCACCTGCAGCAGCCAAAGCGGACACTTTCCTCTGCCCCAGCTGCAGCAAAACATGTCCATCCAGTATCAGTCTGTACACAGACACAGCAGGCGCTGTAACTTTGACATCACTCATGAAGGTGAAGGTGTTAAAGCTGTCTGTGGTTCTCCAAAAAAATAATAGGTGCTCAAACTTTTTTCCGTGGACCGACACTTTCAGAATAAAATAAAATAAAAATACTTACTGTATTTTTCCGTGTATAAGATTCCCCCTATTTTGGGGGACTCAGAATTAAGAAAATGGGGGGACATTGCCCCTGTGTATAAGACTATCCCCCTTTTAACGTTTTTAGTAAAAAAATCCTAGTCTTATACACGGAAAAGTATAGTAATTTTTTTACTGATAACGGAAACATTGGAAAACAGCTAGGATCGTCCTCATTGTCACTTGATGGTCTTGCTCTCATTTTGAAAATACGTTTATCCATATTCTACAATCAATCAATCAATTGATAGCATACTATACTGCACTGAAATGTTTAAATGCTTCTTTGACACATGCCATTCTCTCCTGCCGCCACACCATTTGAGAGCCACGGTTGGAGACCACACGGGGGGGGGGGAGGCCCCTTGCTAGTATTTTGGTCAGGGGTGAAAAGAAGGTGGTGGGGCGAAATACAAGGGTTCCCTTTGGGTGGGGGCTGGGGGGTATCCTTTTGGCTGCCCTAGTTATGCCCACCCCCCAGGTGAGATCAGGGAAAGGGAGGGGTGTTGTGATGGTTGTTGAGAAGCCAGACTGAAGGAGGTGACTGAAACCACCTGTTGCCAACACAGAATGACTTTGTGCAAGGATTAATTAGTGCACGTTTATAGTATGTGACCCAGCTAATACAAACTGTGTGCACTTCTGTTTTTAGCCTCTGTGGAAAAAAGTGTTATGCACTTTATTTGTTACTACTGCCACATACTGGCTGCTGGTTATTTAACTGTTTATATTTGATGGTACTGGAAATGTTTATCATTATGTTCCCACAGACCAAGGCTCCTTTGGGATCAAGGTCAGGAACTAATTTTAACAAGCAAATATCCAATTCTGATTTATATGGTCCATGGGGTCACGAAGAGTCGGAAACAACAACAACAACAACAACAACAACAACAACAGACATCAATTGATATGTTTTCATGATTGAAAGTTTATTTTATCATGAATTAAAATATAACATCCATATTATCAAAATGAATTATTTATTTGGATTGCCATATTATGTTTTGAAATAAATTAGCATTTAAACTGTTATTGTTAATGATGTATTGATTTGTATTTTTTATTGTTATGTCGTGAGTGGAATAGCAGCATGGAAACTGAAATAATAAAAGCAGTTTATTTAGCAATTTAATAACTTGCATTTCAGGGAATTAGATTAGATGCCCTTGGAGTCCTTTTCAATTCTGTGATTTTATGATTCTACCCAATCTTATCTACCCAATCAAGTCAGAGCTGTATTGAAGGACCCCACAAATATATCTGTCTTATTATCTAAATGTGCAGACTAAAGAAATGGTTACTTTGATACCTTGCCACTTGCCCCAGAGAGCAAGGAAAATAAAGCATTTACCATTTTCAACAGAGATGGCCATAGACATATTAACACTAACTTAATCTACAGTATGTAATCCAAAGAAAAACCAGAATTCCCACATCCTCAAGAACAGTGAAATGGTTGGGAAATGTAAAACATCAGCATCAATATGAAAAATGCTTTGTTATTCCCTTTGACAACTGACTATTGGAAAGCTTTCACTCAATTACATTTCGAACAAATGGAATCCATGGTGCCGTTGGGGAGATTTCATGGGATCCCAATGCAACATCCTAGTGTCTGTGAGGCTTTGGTTCATTATATCTTTCAGTGTCAGTTGTATACTGATATTACAGAACATTATTTCGAGCTATTAAAGGGAATTAAACACTTGGATTTGAAAGAATCTGGGCTTCCTGCTATAAGCACATGATAGTATGTAACCTGGAGAGTTGCTTCATTCAGAGTAAGCCACTAAATGCAGGGGGAAGTTTTTGGATTCCATTTCTGTCAGCTGTCATAGTGATTTGAAGACATGAGAGTATAAAGCATATCTTGCTGTCATCAAATTTACCTGCTTACATGTTTATTTGTTTTATAAACAAATCTCTGCTTATCACAAGGAATTGCATACATATAATATATTAATTTTAACTGTAACTACTGCGCCTTTATGGAAGTTTTGGTATCATGCTTATTAGTGATCCAAGGGCCGATCCAATAAACAATCATTCATACTCACTTCATCTTGAGTATTCCCAAGGGAGGGCTTTACAACCTTGTTCTGCTTCAGCATTTAGTCCATTTAGCTACCATGACTAACAGCCAATGTTATTCATAGGTAAAAAGTAGAAGAATTACATTTCAGAAGTGAAAACAAGGCACAGAACTGACTCCATTCATGAAGTTTGTATTCCAGCGTGATATGAATAAAAGTTTCATTGGACAATCCAAATTCAAATATCATGGGAAGCAGAGAACAATTCATCTTCCCATATGTCATTACTTTATAAACCTATACCATCTCTCTGTTCCCCCATGTATTGCCTCTCCGGAAATCAAAAAATTCAAAACCCCTTGGTTATTTCAATTGTGCTTTTCTGCCTCTTTTTCAGTGCTGAAACTCCTTTTTAGGTGTGGTGACCAGAATGCATTCAAAATACAAAACTGCCATGCATTTATAATAAGGCATTATGATACTGCCAGTTTTCAGTTCCTCATCCTTAGCATGGAAAATTCCTTCTCACAGCTGCAATACACTAAGAAGTCCCACAGCTAAGTGCATATTATTATTATTATTATTATTATTATTATTATTCTGCCCTTCCCACAAGGGAGCCCAGGGCAGTGTACAACATAATTCATGAATACAAACATCTCAAAATATTAAAATATTAAAAATTATATACCTTATGATGGAAGCCTAATGCAAACATTTATAAGTATTGACACCCATGATCTGAAAATGATTAAATGAAGATTGTCTAACACCCCATCACTAGCTTTTTTAAAAAAGTATATTAATCATAGATTAATAAAGCAAACAAGAAATAAATTAGTTAATAAAGCAAGAAGGAAAGAAATAATAAGAGAGTACTGCAGTGCAATTCTCTGCATGTCTACTCAGATGTAAGGGCCCATTGAGTTCAATGGGAATTTTAACCTTGATCATGAAAAGCTAAATTATAATGATGCTCCCGGACCATCCATAATACTAAATGACTAATGATAAATACATTATACCTTTGCTTAATAAAATTTCTGGACGTCATTAATACTGTGTCAGTTTTGCAGGAAAGAGCAGCTACCATTTTTAAATTATTCCATTCTATTGGCTCCCAATAAAAACTCTGCAGAGCCCAAGTTTCCCTTTTCCTTTTACCCTCCTCAAAAGGCTGCCTTGGCGGCTTACAAATATCTCTTACAAAGACAGCCTTTCCCCTCCATTTTATAACCTAAAAGACACAACACAAAAGGTAGCATCTTTCACATATTAAACCTGAGGGCAGAGACTGTCTCATCAGTGACATTTGTAAGTCACTCTGGCAGTCTTTTTTAAACCCAAGAGCAGGATAGAAATGCTTTAAATATAATACAAATAAATCATTGGAAGGGCTTATGTTTCCACCTATCTTGCTACTGAGCATGTTATTATTGTTTTGACATTTCTGCTTAACTTTAGACAGCCAAGGCTTCAATATTATTACTATCCTATACTATTCTTTAACTACCTAGAAGGCCTTTTCTTTTAAAATTATTTTTAAAATATATTATTCAAACAATATGCAAGCGTCTCACTTAAAGCAACATTTGAACCAGTGACTTCCAGACCCACCCTATGGCTGGAAGGTGAGGCCTTCTTGGTGGTGGCTCCACCAGGTGTGTTGGGGCAAGGGCAGGGCCTTATCAATGGTGGCTCCCCCTTTGTTGGACACCTTCCTTCATTACTGAATCTCAGAAGAAATTTAGGAACACCTCTAATTGCTCAGGTGTTTGGTGGCTGGAAGATATACTGCTTCTGGCAACTCTGAGATCCCTAGTTGTGAATAGCTTCAAGTTGTGGGGTTTTTTTATCTAAAAAAACTGGTGTGAATGTTTTGGCTGTTTTTAAAATGCTTGTGAATTATTTTTAACGGCCGCTTTAAGTTGGTTTAAATGTTTGCTCTTGCTGTGTCTGCCATCTTGTGCTCCTTCGGCAGGAATAGGACCCGGATTAGTAATAACTCTTTTATTATGTTTCTTCATGGCCTACTTGATGCTGTTGTCTTTTTCAATTTAAAAGTTCCCCTTGCTTTGTATATGGATATTTATCGGTTATGGGAAAGGCGCTTGGTGACAAGAGGAGAACAGGAAGAGGCGCTGAAGGCGAAGAAAAGAGGCGCCAAACTCATCCCCTCAGAAACTCGGGTGCGACCGAGCCAAGAGAGAGTCAGGCGGCGAAGAAGGGCGTGTGGCGCAGGCATTGGCAGGCCCACCTGAACTCGGCCCCGCCCACTTCCGCCGATTCGCGCCGCCGCCACCAGCAGCGGCCCCGCCTTCCTCCTTCCTCTCTTAGGCGCTTGCTTGCTTGCTTGCTTGAGAGGCTCCCACCAGCCTCCGCTGCGCATTACGTCATCCCCGCGCGCCGATCGGCGAAGGCCCGACTCCTCGCGTCGCATCGCGTTCGCGTCTCAGCTCTCGCCGGAAGCTTCCCGCTGTCCTTTCGTGCGCGTGCGCGCCCCCGGCAGTGCCTGTGAGGGAACGAGGCAGACGATGGCGGCCGCCTCTCTGTGGAAAGGGCTGGTCGGCGTCGGACTCTTCGCCCTGGCGCACGCGGCCTTCTCCGCCGCGCAGCGTGAGTGGCTCCGGCCTCCGTCTGCGGCGGCAGCGCCCCGTCCCCTCACCCTACGCGCATGCGCACCCTGGCGGAGGGGGTGTCCTGGTGGGCTTCGGCGCCGCCCGGCCCGGCCCAGCCCCCCCTCCTGGGAAGGGGCGGGGGGCGCCGAGGGTTCCCAGGCGGGGCGGGGGCGCGAGCAGGACGTGTCTTCTGGAATGTGCCGCCTCCCTGGGGGGCGGCCCCGGCAGGGGGGGTCCCGAGGGCCGCTCGGGTTCCTGACTGGCCCGGGGCCGCCAGCGTTTCCCCGCCTCACCTACTGGGAGGGAGGGAATTCCGCCTGCCGCGTTTAGAGGAAAGGGAGGAGGTCCGTGTCGTAAATTGCGGGGGTAGAATTAACCAGTGCCGGATTTACGTATAAGCTCAACAAGCTCTACTCTTTTGGGGGGGCCCAAAAAAATTAAGGGGGGAAAACCTGGATGTACATTTCCAAAATATAAGTTCAACAATTACTTTGATAAAATACATTTTTTGTTATGTGCAAATGGCTTTAGATACCTATGAGGTCCATAAATTACCATATAGCATATACTCAACACAAAAAACAGCAACAATTTGTTGTGGACAAAGGACAGCTGGACATATCAAGGGCCCCATTACCTTCAGGAGCTTATAGCTTAGGGCCTCATCAAGCCTAAATCCGGCCCTGACCACCACGGAGAAGAACGTGGCTGTGCAGCATGGGAATTGTGGTGGAGTCGGAAGGGGATCCCGTGGGACATCCAGGGCAAATGCAGGAGCAGTTTGTAGGCACAATCCTGCTCTGGTTGACTGCGTTCAGTAGGGCTTGCTCTCAAGTAAGGGTGCATAGGGCTGTAGCCTTGCTGTGGGTGAAGCTTATGCTGATTGGAGCCCGCAGCTTTTTTCAGGTGTGTGAGACATCAGGAGATAGAATTTTATGAGACGCTAGTGAAATACCCATTATTACGTATGACAGCCATTGGAACCTGGGAGGGATGGATTGTTGCCTCCTCACATTCCCAGATACTGAGCATTGTACACATTCCCGGTACCATCTTGATTTCTGGTTTTTGTCCATGCTCGACTGTGGTGGGAAAATGTCAGACCTTATCTTAGGCTGTGTAGTTGTTGGATCCCAAGACCTTAAAAAGAACAGTCCACAAAAGGTTTCTCTGATCTCTGTAGCACTAAGATGGTGAATGGCACCTGGTGAAATTTTGCCTTTATGTTCGTCTCATAGAATTCTAAGCCTGGCAGTGAATAGAACAAAGACTTTTAATGGCTGTAAATGGAACTTGATGTGGAAAGACTATGGGGTGTAGTGGTTGGAATAGGAGTGCCATTAGAAGTCAAGGGGATCAGTTGGATTGGTGTGACACCAGCGTACACTGTGGGAGAGAGGTTGGGAGAACTAGGCTGGTGTTAGGATAAAGGCAGCTGGTGAGTAGCAGGTGCTTGACTAAGGCAATAGGGAATAGATGTACAGTGGTGCCTTGCAAGACGAAATTAATCCGTTCCGCGAGAGTCTTCGTCTAGCGGTTTTTTCGTCTTGCGAAGCAACCCTATTAGCGGCTTAACGGATTAGCGGTTTAGCGGCTATTAAAGGCTTATCGGCTTATCGGATTAGCTGCTTAAAGGCTATTAAAGGCTTAGTGGCTTAGATAAAGGGGGGGAAAGCGAAAAAAAAATCTCAAGACTCGCAAGACATTTTCGTCTTGCGAAGCAAGCCCATAGGGAAATTCGTCCTGCGAAGCAACTCAAAAACGGAAAACCCTTTCGTCTAGCGGGTTTTCCGTCTTGCGAGGCATTCGTCTTGCGGGGCACCACTGTATCAAGTATGATGTGGAGACAGTATGTTTTTGTCAGTTGTGTGAATGAAGGGAGTCTTAAGCTCAGCAGGTGGTGGTCATCTCAGCAGAAGTGCTGGATTAATCATGCAACTCCTGATGCAATGGGTTGCTTGATCTGGTCTCTACATCTGTAATCTATACGCCAGATGAGCTAACAGTAACCATGCAAATCCCTTCAGGGTTATGTGCGTCAGTATGAATCCCCCAGATACAGCAGTCAAGATTTTAATGGGAACAGCTTGTTGGGAACATATCTAACCAGTTTTGTAATACAGTGGTACCTCGGGTTACAGACGCTTCAGGTTACAGACTCCGCCCACCCAGAAATAGTACCTCGGGTTAAGAACTTTGCTTCAGGATGAGAACAGAAATCGTGCGGCGCCAGCGGGAGGCCCCATTAGCTAAAGTGGTATCTCTGGTTAAGAACAGTTTCATGTTAAGAACGGACCTCTGGAATGAATTAAGTTCTTAACCTGAGGTACCATTGTATCTGGATTGGTTACTGGTTTGCTTCGAAACTCTGTTCAAGTTGTTGGTTTTAACCTTGGAAACTCATAATTGCTTGAGACTCTGGTCCCTAAGGTTTGCCTTCTCCCACATCAGCCTTCAGTAAGATCTCCTACTGAGGCCCCTCTGAGCGCCACCACCATTAAAGATAATGTGGGCAATAATGAAGGAGAGGGTTTTCTCATATGTGGTAGGCCAGTTGTAGAGTATAATTTAAAGTAGTATTGGGGAATGCTGTTTTTTGGAAGATACTTCATGTTTTGCTACTTTAATTGCTATTTCACATATGCATTCTGCTGTGTTGACTACTTTTCATTATATATTATTTTATTTAAAAAATTGCATTGCATACCACTCTAGGATAAATATTAAGAAGAGTAGTATAGAAATACCAAAAATGGATGAGTAGCTGGGCTAGTAATTTCATGGGCCTCTCCTGGAACTGTCACACAATGGGTTTTGGTGACTGGACTGGTGGCATGCTGCCAGACCTTGGCCTAGTCCATAAAATACTTGGATTGAAGGCAGCCAATGTGACTTCCCCATTTGTATCTTTTTGCTCTAACATAGATTGTAATCTGTGGGGTAGGGACAGATTCTCTCTGATATGGGCACTTGGACACTGTTCAAGTAACCAGTTAAAATAGTATGGTAGCGGCTTGTCACCCCAACTCTATATGTGTCTACTGACACCCTGGCCAACAAACATGAGTGACTGCTGACATAGTACCAGTTGTAACATTTTCAGCTTAGTTGTGAAATTGCATTGTGAATTTGCACAAACTCCCATATTTCTGGATCAGGGCAGTCAGTTGAACAGGAGAAGCTAGATGGTGATTTGTTTCTGTTGCCGGCAGTGATTCCCTGTAATGACAAGTTTGGGAGAACAGTTTAATATGCATACTGAAGCAACATAGACTGGTTGCCTTTAGTTGAAATAGTGATTAGTGGTTGTCTAAATGAGCTTGAGGCCTTTCTGTAAGATACGTGAGGAGAAGGGTCATGGCATGCAGAAAGTCTGTGGTTCAGTCCCAGACATCTCCAGGTATGTATGGGCAAGACCTGACTGAAGCCCTGCAGAACTGTTGCCAATCCTTGTGGACAAGTGCGCTAAAGAACTGACTTGGAATAAGGCAGCAGAGAGCTACCAGTGATTCTCTTGCATTACTCAGTTACAGCTGTTGGACACATTTCTCTTGTGTGCACTATGGAGACTAGTTAATCCACCAAGGCAAGATTTGAAGATCTGATTAATAATCAGAAAGAGAAACTGAGGTGGAGGTGGCTTTTTACCTGTAGTGGAGTTGGTAGAAAACCCAGCTGTGTGGCCCCTTTTTTGCTCCGTGAGCATAGAAAGGAAATCAGATTAATTTACCAGCATGTCTTCATTTTGCAGATCGCTCCTACATGAGATTAACAGAAAAGGAAGATGAAACTTTGCCAATAGATGTAAGTTAAATGTTCTTTTTCTTTCAGTGATGCAAGTGCTGACTTGACTGTGATCTGTAAGATGACACATTTCCATTTAAACTAGTATGGTTGCAATGGAATAAGGTGGGGGGATGAAACATCCAGGAACAAATTAAACGTTTTCACTGGCTTGTGGACTTATATGGATAGTGTACTGTGTAACTTAATTCTGGCTTTTGTTTTTTACTTTGCCCTGTTTCTACAAACTGAATCTCAGCTCTTGTGTCACCATGCTTCTTCCCCTAATCTGCAGCCTGCATTGCAGTGTGACTGAGATTCATCTGAAATTTGGCATCTTCCTCTTCTCCCTTAGCAGCATTCCTTTAGGAATTGCCACTCTCTCCAGTCAGTTCTTTGAAAGCCTCTGCTTTACTCCCCATACTCTGCAGAACAAATAGCCTCTCCCTCTAGCATTTGGCAGGTATTTGTTTGCATGGAGCTGTTGTGTGGTATCTGCTATCCACTTTCCAGCCTAATGTAATCATCCTTCAAAAATTATTACGTATCAGTGTGAGGCATCCTACCCATTCCCACCCACCTCTGCCCCTCCTCCTTTCCACACTAGAGGACTAGATAAGGCTGAGAAGTAGTTGCCAGGCTCATGCCTATTCAGCCATGTAAATAACTTGAGGTGTCTCAAGTCCAAAATTAATCCTGCTGCATTGCACATTTCTGAAGCCGTGAGATTTCCCATCTTGAAAAGCACAGTGGTTGGATATTTAAGACCAAACACAAGGGGGAATTCTATTAGCAGTATTTTACTTAAGTCACTCAAGTGCTGTTTACTTTTTAATCTGTTACAGATAGTGCTTCAAACACTGTTGGCCTTTGCGGTTACCTGTTACGGCATAGTACATATTGCAGGGGAATTTAAAGACATGGATGCTACTTCAGAGCTGAAGAATAAGTATGTTTTTACCCATTTCTTTCTGCTGGCATTATTACTTTGCTCAGTGCTTTGCTTTTTATTCTTTCCCTCACCCTTTACATCAGGCAGTCTTCCAGGTCTGTTTAAAGAGGAGGGTTTCTCTCTCCTGATCAATTAGAAGACGTTTAGCAGTTGTTATTTCATCATTTGCACAATGCTGTAAGATTGAGAAACTACAGCTTGCTGTACTTCCCTCTCACACATGGTAAAGTTAAAAGAAACCTGTTCTATGCTGCATATCTATTAGTAATTGTTATTATTGGATTTATTAGTTACTTTTTCTTTGCTACTGCAACTCAAAGCAACTTACACACATTAAAACCAGGGGTGTGTGGGTGGGTGTCTCCCCACCCACTCTAAAAGACCAGATAGTTAAGAGCCAGATGCCTGGTTAAAAAGGAAAGTTTTTGCCATGTTGACTATGAAACCTACATGATTAGCAGGTATCCACCATCTGAATATCAGCAGAAAAATAGGAAGGCTGTAACCTTCATGCCCAATTCCTGTTGGACTCTTGTGGGAAGCAGGAGGAAGGAACAGATGGCTGCTTGATCCAGCAAGACTCTTCATGGGGTGATGGGAGCCAAAGGGAGATTGCGGTAGAGATAATTGAGAAAATGGTAGAACAAGCTCTTCAGTTTAGCGCATCCTGGACTTCTGCTGCTTTTTCTGCCTCCCATTATCCTACCAGGCTCTGGCCTTAACTCCATCTTATTGCCACATTTTTGGTAGCCATCTTTGGCCTGGCCCCAGTATCCTTCTCTGCCTTGATGCCCCAGTGTGGTTCCTGTGGTTTGTCACCCCTGCTGCTGCTGCTACTTTTAGCTAAGAACAGATCATATTTTTATCTTGGAGTTTGATTCTTATCTCTCTGCTTGCCTCCATTGCACTGTGTGTGTTTGCTGTTGCTGGTTTTTTCATGTGATTTTAATTTTTATAAGCTACCCTGAGCATTGCGTATTCGTTTGAAGGTGGAATAGAAATTCTTACTAGTATTGGGGCAGGAGGCCAAGTTTGAACTTTTTAATATGTCCAAGGAAGATCTGAAGGTAACCTTGGTTATGGCATTTTAACCAGAATAGGACTGTGAATTAACAGTTATGATTTGTTGCCAATTGCACTTCTCTCCTTTTTGTTCTGCTTTTTGTTTCAGGACATTTGACACATTAAGGAACCATCCATCCTTCTACATTTTTAATCACCGGGGCAGAGTATTATTCCAGTCCCCAGACACAGTCCATTCTTCCTCCAGCAGGGATGCTTTGTCGTCTAGTGCATCGCTGAAGTTGCGAAAATTCGAACCTCTTCGCCGTTAAAGATTTTTACAGATTATTCTAAAAATAGAACAGGACACTGAGCTGTAACATTGGAGTTGGGGGTGTAAACACTTTTATTTCATTTCTGGAGCAGTATTTAAATTGATCATCCAGACTTTATAAATATATATATATATAATTATTAAAAAGGACCTTCTTCAAACACTGTTAATGACAATGACTGAATTTTGAATTGGCAAAACAGTGTAAATTGTTGCTAGAATTATGCTGTGAAACATCACTTTACTTTTTGTCCATTAGCCCACCATCATGGTTGATTCGAATTTAGTGAAAGCAAATTCTTTATTTCCAAAAAGTAGGTGATTGTTTTAATGCCACAGATGAGCACAGAAGAAAGGGGTATTGGCTTATGCTGCTGTTCTGTTGAATGCTGAGGAAGGGGGCTGCTTTGTGTCTATCTCTTCCCTCCCATCCTTAACACAGAAGACAATGGTGATTGTGTTTCTTTCCTGTCTTCAGCACTTTGGCTGAAGTAATGTGGTCGCTGTTATGACCAGCATCAGAGACATTAAGACAGGCGGTTCTGAAGTGGGAGCTTTACCCAAACTGTTGCCAGGGACACAAAAGCTCCCTTCGTTTATTGCTCAGTGTTTTTGAGCTACCTTGAAATGCTCACAGGTTTTGAAGGGAAATGGATCATTTTTGAGAGCCATTGGAGATCTCACTGGGGGTTAGGCAGGAAGGATGCTTACATCCTTACTACACCATCTGTAGTCTCATCCACTTTACACCAAGCTCCTGCTAATTGTAGCAAGTGCTGGCTGTTGCCTAAGTTGGGAGCAAGGTGGATCGCAACAGCATTACTGCTGCAAAGCAGGAGGGCTGTACCTGAGGAAGGGCTGCAAGTCTGGGTGAGGATGGGACTGCTACATGAGTGAGTGGCTTATAACGTACAAGGATCTCAGGGACTGCTTAGGATGTCTGTCTTGAGATGCCACAAGGCTGTTCAGTTCTTGTAACGTGGACAAGTTGTTTCCTGACTTTCTGCTCAGAAGGGTGCATTTTAATCCAGCTCCCTCCATTTAGAAGTGTGCACTCTCACTGAAAACGTAGGACGAAGTTTGTCCAGAGGTGGGAGAGCCTCTGGTTTAAACAATTTACCCCGTTTGTCTTGTTTTTCCACTTTGCTGCATTACTCTTTTGCTAATGGCAATTTGTTTAAACAATTTACCCGTTTGTCTTGTTTTTCCACTTTGCTGCATTACTCTTTTGCTAATGGCATCTCCGAGTCACCTGCCTTGGAGCATGTGGGGTGTTCAAGCAGAGGGAATAGATTCCTGTCAATTCACTAAATTTAGTTTGTCCCCATGTTTGTTTGCCATAGATTTAAACTGGTTGGAGTGGGCTGCAGGAAAGCTGTTTGTCTCTCCATGGCTGCAATGGCGTGTTTACATTTTACTTTTTCTGCAGTGAAAGAAAGGTGCCCCATCCACTTGTGGCAGCACAGTATAGACGCATGGGCATCAACTGCTGGTGCACTTGTGATAGAATAAAACAATGCATTCCACCCAGTATGGTTTGCTCTTCTCTCTGCATGGTGGTTTCTGGTTCCACAAAAGGCACCCTAACCACAGGGGTCAGGATCATAGAATCATAGAGTTGGAAGAGACCACAAGGGCCATCGAGACCAACCCCCTGCCAAGCAGGAAACACCATCAGAGCACTCCTGACATATGGTTGTCAAGCCTCTGCTTAAAGACCTCCAAAGAAGGAGACTCCACCACACTCCTTGTGTGTGGTTGAGCTGTGAATGTAAAGAAGACATGGCCTTGTTTAAACTCAGATTGCTGCTTGTTCATGGAAGTTATTTTAGTGTTACAGTCCCCCCAAGTACACGCAGTGGCAAACTGAACATAAAGTCTGTTGTTATGTAATGGCCTTACTGTTCCGTACCATCCCTTGTCCTGGAGTGAAGACTCCTGCTCTGTAAAACCTGAAACAGTGCTTCAGAACTAAGCACGGAGAACAGCAGCTGGTGGGATCTCCTTTTCTTGACGAGAGAGGCTGCAGGTCTTATGCTTCACCTACTTGATGGTTCACTTTAATATTTCCTTTAAAGCCAGTGAGGGTCTCCCAGCACATTTTCAGAATTACAGCTGCTACTGTTGGGAGTTAAGAGCCAAGTTTTTCTTGACCCTGTATGGGTGATCTGGGCTGCATAAAAGGATCTTGTCCCTTGTGGTAACCCGGCTCCCTGTGGATCTCATTGCATAAAATTGAGGTGGGGTGAGAAAAGTACCCAATCCAATCTTGCAGCGCAGTCCTGAATGTTTGCTAGGAAAAGGTTGCACAGTGCAGTGGAGCTTGTGGCCTAGTGGCTGTGTCACAGGTGTCCTTCATTTTGAAGTCCCCTCCCCCTGTCTTAGTACCATGTATGAAAATCATTTTCAGCTAAACTCTCCTTATTAACCAGGTGCCTACAAACCTGGCAAGAACCTGCTTTGGGTTGCCAAAAAGGCTCCATCCCAGCAGGGCATCTCTGCATGAACGGAGTCCTCCCCACGTTTGTGTTTTAAGTTTGCAACCTTTTGAATGTCCTTTGGGCATTTAAACTTGCAAGGAGTAGCAGCTTGAACCTCCAGCATTGACATTAACTATCACGTGTGCAAAACTTGTTCTTTCATTTTTGATCTTGCATTGCCTAATAAAGAACCAACATCCTTAAAAAGCACATGGGGTATGAATTCTTTCTTCAAGGATTGAACTAAGAAAAATGCGACTTTTATAAAGCTGAAGGGTGGTTTTAAATACACCCATTATTTTCCCTTTTATTCGGAAAAGGCTTGTGTTTTACTGCACTTGCTGCTGTACTGGATTGAATTTGCCTTCTGGTTTGCATAGAGCAGTGGTGGTTGGCAACCTTTTTAAGCCCACAGGCACAGCAAAGGTAAAAGACTCCTGGATGGTTAAGTCCAGTCAAAGGTGACTGTGGGGTTGCGTCACTCATCTCGCTTTCAGGCCAAGGGAGCTGGTGTTTGTCCACAGACAGCTTTCTGGGTCCTGTGGCCAGCAGGACTAAACCGCTTCTGGCACAACGGAACACCATGATGGAAACACCGTTTACCTTCCCGCCACAGTGATACCTATTTATCTACCTGCACTGGTGTGCTTTCAAACTGCTAGTTTGGCAGAGGCTGGGACAGAGCAATGGGAGCTCACCCTGTCATGGGGATTCGAACCACCAACCTTCCAATTAGCAAGCCCAAGAGGCTCAGTGGTTTAGACCACAGCGCCACCCGCGTCCCTTCTACAGGCATAGTAGAAACTTACGGGCTACTATAGAACACTTTTCCCAGGCCTTATTTCAGGAGGAAGATATTGCCAGGAAAGCATGCAAGCAACTGAATCCTAGTGCTACTGTTAGAAGCCCATGACTTGAATTCTCTGTACAAAAAGCTTACCTGTTTTTTGAAAAGCTAGCATTACTTCCCACCATCTGAGTTGGCAACTTCTTTTGAATACGTAAGATTTTTTCAGTATAAGATTATTGAGGCAGGCAGAGCTCCAGCTTTAGCCTGAAGTAGCAGCATAGGAGCAGCTCCTCTATTTTAGAATTTTTTAAACAGCAGCTAAATTGGATAGCTGTGGCCGTGTCTGTTTACACCAGGGGTAGGCAACCTAAGGCCCGGGGGCCAGATGTGGCCCAATTGCCTTCTCAATCTGGCCCGTGGACGGTCTGGGAATCAGCATGTTTTTACATGAGTAGAATGTGTGCTTTTATTTAAAATGCCCCTCTGGGTTATTTGTGGGGCATATGAATTTGTTCACTCCCCCCCCAAATATAGTCTGGCCCACCACATGGTCTGAGGGACGGTGGACCGGCCTATGGCTGGAAAAGGTTGCTGACCCCTGGTTTACACCCACACAGGAAGTTCTAAGGAGCTGCTATTCTAAAGCTCGATTGCAATACACAAAATGCATTTTCCCGTCTCTTGGGATAAAAGTAGTGGTTGTGTTTTGATAGCAACACCAACCCTTTCTCTGCGACATGCCTCTCCCTTGTATTGGTACCACTGTTATGGCAAGCAGCCATGCAGAATACACCTAATTTGCCTAGCAAGTAAATTTTAACATAGTTGAAATTGCCTGCCTAGCCAGTAATTCCGATGAACTCTGCTTACTAAATTTAAAATCTGTTCCAACTCATTAGTTAGCATCATTAGCTAAGGAGCAATAACAGCCAGCATGCAAGTAGTTACTCCATACTCCACACAGAACTAGCAATCTGATAAATCAGGGATGTGGTACCTGCTTTTCTCTTGAGACTGCAATTTCCATCCGCCCCACCCAGCTTGGCCAGTGGTCAAGACCTCACCTGGTCAGACCTCACCTGGAGTACTGTGTCCAGTTCTGGGCACCACAGTTCAAGAAGGACACTGACAAACTGGAACGTGTCCAGAGGAGGGCAACCAAAATGGTCAAAGGTCTGGAAACGATGCCTTATGAGGAACAGCTAAGGGAGCTGGGCATGTTTAGCCTGGAGAAGAGGTGGTTAAGGGGTGATATGATAGCCATGTTCAAATATATAAAAGGATGTCACAAAGAGGAGGGAGAAAGGTTGTTTTCTGCTGCTCCAGAGAAGCGGACACGGAGCAATGGATCCAAACTACAAGAAAGAAGATTCCACCTAAACATTAGGAAGAACTTCCTGACAGTAAGAGCTGTTCGACAGTGGAATTTGCTGCCAAGGAGTGTGGTGGAGTCTCCTTCTTTGGAGGTCTTTAAGCAGAGTGCTCTGGTGGTGTTTCCTGCTTGGCAGGGGGTTGGACTCGATGGCCCTTGTGGTCTCTTCCAACTCTATGATTCTATGGTCAGGGAGGAGGGAACTCTTGTCCAGGAGCACGGGGACAGCCATATGCTGTTCCTCAGTAGAAAGTTTTCATGGAAGCCTTTTGAAGACGGGTGTAAGCTGCAGTTTTTCAATCTAAACCAGACTTCTTATTTGCTCCAAAGTTGCTTTAAACAAGTTTGTCTACAGGTAAAAAATGGGCAATCAAGTATTCCTCATGTAAACATTTTCTCAAAGATAATGCATGGTGGTGGCGGCTGTAAAAATAAGACCTGCACACATGAATGATTTGAATTTGGACTCACAGCTAGTTGGGTATGTACTGCAAATCTTGAAATATTTTGTCACCAATTTACTTAAGCAGAGGTGTACTCTGCAGTACCCAAATTTGTGTTTTGCCACAGGACCTCCTTGCTCCCATCACACTTAGTAGAAGTGAGGTCCCAATTTCTTCTGGTCTGAGGCCTTTAGCATGGAGGCTGTCAGCTTTCACATGCCAGCATGGTTAATAGGATGCCTCTCCAAAGTTTAAGAAGTTAGGAATTTTTAAAGCTAAACAGAGCAGGCAGACGCACCTGTGCATGAGGCAACATCAAAATGCAGATGTGCATTAGACAGTCTACTTCAAAATAAAAGAACCCCTGCAACTGGTCATCTACAGAGGTGACATCTTTATTACTTGTCTCAACTCCCATTGTCTACCGCCTGCTGAATCTCCCCTTCCCTCCCTAGAGATGTTTAGGGCAAAGCAGAGCAGCTGAAGATTACTTCAGTGCAGGAAAATGAGACAAACTACACAATTAGGGTTTTATTTTTAGCACTCACATGGGTATGTGTTTTGTGCATGTGTCTTCTACCATGATTCCAGGGAGAGCCCTGCCTTGTTTTGCCAATACCAGCCTGCAGAACTGGCAAATTGTGTTCACACAAGATGAGCCACCAAAAGGACCTAGCTTCAGAGAAATTATGTCCACAACCAGAATCTGTCAGCCAAGGTTATCCTTAGCCAAAAGCACACATGGCCAATGGCCAAGAAATGGGAGAGCAGCTCAAGTCTTTAGAAGGTTCTGCTCATGATTAGACCAAATTGGGAATGGGCTTCTGCTAGAGAAACACACACCAGCTTGTTCACACATAGGGTTCTGGAAGATAAATCAAGCAAGTATGAAAATGTACTTCAGTAGTGTTGCCTCAAGTCACTACAACAGGGGCCCCGGTCTTCATTTGCTTTCCCTTTATCTCCTCACCATTCCTTGCCCTTCTCCAGCCTTTGTTTAAGACTACAACTCCCATCAGTCCATGTACAATATGGTTGTGTGCTGGCTGGAGTTGATGGGGGTCATCAGTAGTAAAAGGCTGCGCTCTCCCACTGCAAAAGGGCGGGGGGGAATCATGAAGAATCCATGTCAGAAGAACAAATTTGAGAAGTGACTTATGAAGACTGCTGTGTAGCTGTCCTGGAATCAGCATACCAGATGAGTAATGTCAAGTCTTTTGTCATCGAAGTGGCTTATCTTTTGCCTTTGGGTTTTTCCTTTATCCAATTTTGGCTCAGCCAGCAATTACAAAGCAGCAAGTCAGTGTCACGGAGTGCAGCTTAAAAGATTACTCAAAGCATGGCTTCAAACACTCTCTGCATTAAGTCTTTCCAACAGAGAGCTGGCAGGTTGGGACAGTAGGGGGTTTATGGCAGCACCAGAGTCAGGCCATAGTGCATCCAAGTACCGACACAAAGTGTTAAGAATGGCAGAAAGGTCAGTTATCAGACACCATTCCTGCTGAAATGCAAGTTGTGCAGGCCCAAAACCCAGGTCATGGTCTGCACCCCCATGCTATAATGGCAGCTGGAAGGGAAACGTGCTTGGGCCACCCTTGCCAGAACTAGGTCAGAGCTCCTTCTGCTCCTGTTTGTAGTTAGCCTTTTCTCCTCTGTGTAGGAGAGGCAGCCCCTATTCCCAACTGGAAAGAGGATGCTCTTCGGATCTGGGATGCTTCCACCTGGGAGTTGCAAGTCTTCTTGATGGGGGCATACAGTAGAAGCTTCCCTCATCAAGGGTTAGATAAAATGTGAGCCAAACTAGTGCTGTGGCAGCTGCTCAAATTCAAAACTGAAGCTCTGTTGCTTCAAAGCAGGGAAGACTGGGCCTAATGTAAGGAGCTTCGTATCCCATTGAAGGGCCCAAACAAAAAGTCATTAGCATCCAAGGCAAGGAGAAGAAGGAGTCACCACACTCCTGGCACCACCATGGAATGCAAAGGGACAATCTGCCAGTGACTGAAGAACATAATGTGGAAAGTCAGGTGGCAACTATAGTCAAAGCAAACCATGTGAACCAGCTCCTCCTGCAAAGAAGAAATGTGCATTCCAAGAGTCAAAGTGGTCTTTTGGAGGAAGGAGGGAAGACAACAGCAGGGGTCTTCTGTGTTTGGGGTCTTTTGTTCTTTTGTTTCTTGTGCTTGCAGGCAACTGGGATTACCAGAGATTCCTCATCAGCACCTCATTCAGATTAGGCATTTCTTAGGAAACCATAAAATGATTTTTATTATTTACAAGTGCTAAAAAAATTCATCTCTCATACACACACACACATACACACACTCTGTTTGATATATCAAATTAAGGATCTGGTAAACAACACTGTCCAAAATAATCTCTTTTCATATGAACATTTAAAAAGTAAAACACACACACACATAATATTTGGGGGACAGGGATTGTTTTTGTTTGTTTGTTTTTTAAAAACCCCAAAGTGTCCTTCTAAGCGCTTCCAAGGCCAAGTCCACGTGAAGAGTCTCCGTCCTCCTCACAAGATGAAAGAGAACTGAAGTCAGGACCTGGGGAGCCTCAGGCACGCGCTTTCATAAAGTCTGCAGACAAAAGAGAAGAGAGGCTGAGGTAGGTTGCTTAGCGGCTACCAGGAGCAGCAGTCACAGGCCTCTTGACCACTTTTCCTCAACCCAGTTTCAGCAGCTGCTTTACTCTCAAATTCAATGTTACCCTGAAAACTCATGCCTGGGTCGGCTGCCAGTTCTCAGGAACTTTTGCCTTCGTGTCTGTAGCAGCAACATGCACTACCATCACGAAGGGATTTCTCTCTCTCCTCTTTTTTTCCTTTTTGAACATAGGCTCTCTCCAACACAAGCGCAGATAAAACGTATGCATTTTTGTTTTACCAGATTCGACCTGCTGCCTAAAGCAGCTCTTTAAAAAGTGTCTTAGAACAAAGGTTCAAATGAGTAAATTCTCATCACCTGCGGCAGAGGGCAGCACTGAGTGTTTTTCTTCAGCCCATTGAGCAGATCAGGCCCTTCAATGTGAGGTGGGGAGGGAGGACGCCAGACCCCCTGCAGCAAATCCATCAAGGTCACAGCTCAGTTTCCATTGAGAGAGGCTTGCAAGCATAAAAACTCCACCCTTCTTCTCAGACTTCAACAGAAAAGCCGCCTGACTGCCAGGGGCAGCTGCTGCCACGTCCTCTTCCATTCCTCTGCAACACAGCAAACTTGTTCTCCCTGGCCCATGCACTCGTCTTGCTGGGGCATTATTATCTACTGTTGACATGATTAACTCTGTTGTGCAGGCTGTTGAACTCTATTTCCTCTAGTATTCTCTCTAAGTGCTGAATCAACACCCGTTTTTTAAACCTAAGAGAAAGGGGGGGGGGGAAGGGGAGCAATTTAATGTGGGTTTTGCACTTCTGTTCCAAGTTCCCCCTCTGAAACAAACAACTGCCTCTGCATTACTCTGCAGAACATATGCAGGGCCTAGGCTCACACACCCTCCTGTGCTTGGAATGTTAAGTCCTCCCATCAACCTACAAGCAAAAGAGGTTCCTCCCACCATCAAAGGCGGTGGTTTCAAAGAACATCATGCAGCACAACAGGCAAGAAGCAAACAGGCCACTATCAGAACACATGCACATATCTGCTCAAGATTTGAACATGTCATCTGGATACAAACCTTGCTGCTTCCTTGATAGCAAATTCAATGAAATATTTTTGAATTTCAACAGGGCCTTGAACTTCTTCAAGTAGAGAGAAAATCTTTTCGAAATCTACAATTAAAAAACAAAACAAAACAAAACGTGAGATCATGGTAGCATTGGTAAGACCATCAGAATCCTGCCCTCAACCCTGCCCTGTGCTTCCAAGCAGTGGCTGCTATCTCAAACTCTCCCATGGTGGAATCTTTGCCCTTTTCAGACCCTCAGTGTCCTCCTAAAGGCCACTCCTCTTCTCTCCTGGGGCATAGCTGTTTGTGCAGGATCGCATGGGACAAGCCTGGAGATAAATGAGTCAGTCTGCTGCCTGGACTTGACCCTCCTCATTGGAGAAAAGACATTTTCTCCTGCTAGCACCGATTTCCTCCTCTTCCCTTTGTAACAGCACCCCACACCAAACTGACAAATCACTTTCTCTCGTGGTCACGTTCCACAGGTTTCTAAATGTGAATTCCACTATGATAGGCAGCTACTGCCATTTACAGACGAACTCTACAATTACATTTCTGCCAACTCTAAAAAAAAAGGGGATCCTCACAAATTCCAAAAGGTGCCAAGCGAGACTGGCACCATAGCAAACGCCCCCCCGCCCTCCCGGGAACTGAAGTGTCCCTGCAATAAATGATAGCGGCGGAGACTGAAATACCACGAGCTTCATCAGAGCCGCCTCCCATTTCACAACTGTGAAAAGTCGAGAGACGGCTTTTGGCTGCCCTGGCGCTCTTTCTGGGTTGGTGGGAGCAACGCAGGACCACCCTTCGGACAACCCAGCCCCCTCTCAAACACTCACTTCTCCCGGGCTTCCGGACCTCCTTCATCACTTTGATTTTGATCACTTCGTTGCTCCCTTCGAACATGCTGGGCGTGATTTTCACCGAATGGGGTGTGGTCCCGGGTGCGGATCCTGGCAGGAGTTTTGGGTCCCCTGAAGACACACTGTAGCTGACAGGTCTGCGAAGCAGGGAACTGGCGACAGGCCTGAGGTCCAATCCGTCTTCCCCGAGGCAATTCAGCTCACCAGACAGGGAGTCCACCTCGTTGGGCAGGTCATCATCCATCAGGGCTGCTGGGGGCGGGGGGATCAAGGCCATCATGGGCACAGGCAGCCCGTCTCCCTGCTTGTCCAGGGACTGGAAGTGTTCAGCTTTCTTCTCACCGTTGCCATCCGGGACCATATTGCTATTTGCATCTGCCAGAAGAAAGAGCTCTCTTAGGGAAATTTCCTAATGCTCAGCGCCGTATCACAGGCACGCCCAACCAGCAGATCAGTGGATGTCTGTGGTAGATCACCGGCTCCCTCCCCAAAAGTCAACAGCTTCGACCTGAACCCCCCAAAAGGGACTTCCTGTTCCTTAAGAAAAGCTCAGGAACTTTGACCTGAATGCCCCAAAAAGGGCCTCCCCGAACCCCTTAGGGATCTCCTTCTCCCTAAAAAAAGCTCAACAACTTAGACCCCCCAAAAGGTGGTAGATCACTGCCAGTCTTCAACTCCGTGAGTGGATGGCAGTCTCTTGGGAGTTGGCCACCCCTGATTGTGTTTTTAATATTTGGTTGGGAGCCGCCTAGAAAGAAAGATAGATAAACTTCATGCGCATTAGCCAATGACCATAGGAACATAAAACAAACAATATATATAATTAAAAAGACAACAACGGGTAAAAAGGGCCGCCTACAGTGGCTGGGAAAACCCAGTAGGATGGGCTGGGGTAGAAATAATAAATTATTAGTATTAGTAGTAGCTAAACACACAGCAGAAGGCACCTCCTAGGCGGCTCAAGATCCAGCGTCTAGCAATGGGAGCACCACAGCAGAAAGCAAAAAATAGGACCTTGAAAGGATGTGGGGAAAGTAATTTGATAGTTAATTACACAGTTAATCAGTCAAGAAACAAAACTAGCTAGGCTGCATTTAAACAACTCTTTCGGCAATGGTAAGGTGTAGCATGAATTAATTTTGATGGCAATCAACAGGAATGGCACCTGTGCTTTAAAAAACAACAACCAACCTTTTGAGCCCTAATGGCCCTAAGATCAAGGTCTCTAAAGGACCCACCCCAGGTCTCTTTGCTCCCAGGCAAACCAGGCCTGTTTCCTTACAGTGGTGGCCAAACTTGGCCCTCCAGCTGTTTTGGGACAATTCCCATCATCCCTGGCCACTGGTCCTGGGAGCTTGGGATGATGGGAGATGCAGTCCCAAAACAGCTGGAGGACCAAGTTGGGCCACGCCTGATCTAGAGCAGTGTTCCCTGTTTAAGGAAGCTTTTAATGTTTAATAGGTTATTGTATTTTAATATTCTGTTGGGAGCCGCCCAGAGTGGCTGGGGAAACCTGGCCAGATGGGCGGGGTATAAATAATAAATTATTATTTTATATATATATATATATATATATATATATATATATATATATATATATATAAAATTATTATTATTATTACTACTACTACTCCCATCATCCTTAGCTACTGGTCCTGTTAGCTAGGGATGATGGGAGTTGTACTCCCAAAAGAGCTGGAGGGCCAAGTTGGGCCACTACTGCTTTACAAGCTCAGCTCTGGAATTCCATCAAGGTGGAAACAGGCTCCCCTTTTGTGGGCTCATCAGTGGCAACCCTTTAAAAAATTAGTTTCTATTTTTTTATATAGTTTGTATTTGGTTCTTAAGGGGAGAGGGTCAGGGTTGCCAGGGAGTGTGCCCAGCCAACAGAATGGCTGGGGCACGTTCCATGGGGGGGGTGTCTCTGGGACGCCCAATCTCAGTGCTCACGGACAGGAGGAGGAGTTACACTAAGACCAGACCCCATCATGACTGGATGGATAGTGGAATCAGCAAGGGAGACCCACACGACCTGTGCAATGCCAGGTCAATGATTCACAAGACTTGAGCGTGGCTGAAGGACTTGACCTGGCCATGTGTGATGGACACTTGGTTGGATGAAGCAGACAGACCTGTCCTTGCCGCTGCTTGTGCACCAGGTTTCTTGTACACACAGCAACCTGGGTCATGTGGGCGGGGGGGGGTGTCGCAGTGGTTTTTAGGGAGTCACTGGTTTGCACTGGGCACCCTATTGGGAAGACCTACTTCTCTGTGTGTTCCAGAAGCTAGGCAATAGGGGCAATGCAGGATGCCTTTCCTCCCCGCTGCGCCAAGGATTCCCTGCCTGAGCTGCTTCAGGTCGTGGTGGATGTTCTCCTGGAGACACCTAGTTTGGTTGGCCTAGGGGATTTTAACATCCACGCCAACACGACCTTACAAGGGGCGCTTGGGACTTCGTGGAAAGCATGGCCTCCATGGGGCAGTCCCTGAACAAGTTTGGCCCAACTCATAGTCATGGACATGCCTTAGACCTGGTGTTCACCTCTAGTGACGTGGGTGATCTGACACTAAGTAAAAGTGAAACGAAAGAAGTGCTGTGGCCAGATCACTTGGACTTCTCTGCAACCCTTCCCCTCTGCAAGGAGGCGCGACTGATTCGGATGGGCCACCCCCGCCACTTAATGGATCCAAATGGTTTCCAGAGAGTGGTAGGGGGTGCTTTATGCCATGCTGATGGCCTTTCAGCTGATTCCCTGGGGGGCCACTGAAATGCGGAGTTAACCAGAGTTATCAACCGCCTGGCTCTGAAGCGCCCTTTCCGATTGCATGGAGCCCAGACAGCCCCGTGGTCTCCCACAGAGCTGAGTGTGATGAAACAATCGCTGAGACGGCTAGAGCGCCAGTGGCGGAAACTCATTCTGAATCGGACCAGACACAGGTAGTGGCGATAGCGACAGCAAAGAGGACTTTCTTTGCCGCCTCTATTGCATCTGCAGAAAACAGCAGCAGGTGGTTTCTTTCAGGTGGTTCACAATTTCACGGAACCACCTTTGCCACCGGGGCCTGGGAAAGACCCCAAGATCTCCTGCAACGATTTTGGAAAGTTTTTTGCAGATAAAATCGCTCAGATTCAGAAAGGGATAGACTCCACTGTGGGATCAGGGATGGGGCGGGAGAGAGCTAAGAGTTGTATAGTCGAGTTGTATGGAATCAATTCCAATCTGTTCCACTCGCTTGGACGAGTGAAACCAACCACCTGTCTCCTTGATCCTTGCCCATCCTGGCTCATAAAAGCGAGCCAGGAAGGGCTGGGCAATGGGATCCACTGGGTGGCAAATGCTTCCCTCTGTGAGGACCACTGAAAGAGGCAGTCATTAAATTGCTTCTTAAAAAACGTATTTGGACCCGGCCAATATACCCAACTATCGCCCAGTCTCAAATCTTCCATTCTTGGGCAAGGTGATTGAGTGGGTGGTTGCAGAACAACTCCAGGCACGCCTGGAGGATGCAGACCATTTGGATCCCTTCCAATCAGGATCCAGGCCTCATCATGGGACTGAAACTGCCTTGGTCGCGCCTGTTGAGGATCTCCAGTGGGCTAGGGACAAAGGTGAGAGCTGTTTCCTAGTTCTGCTGAATCTCTCAGCGGCTTTTGATACCATCGACCATAACATCCTTCTGGACCGTCTAGAGGGGCTGGGAGCTGGGAGCACTGTTATACAGTGGTTCCACTCCATTCTCCTGGGCCGTGTCCAGAAAGTGGTGTTGGGGGATGAGTGTTCAGACCCCTGCGCTCTCACTTGTGGGGTGCCTCTGCCCCTATGCTTTTTAACATCTACATGAAGCCTCTGGGAGAGATCATCAGGGGGTATGGGCTGGGCATTCATCAGTATGCGGATGATACCCAGCTCTGCCCCTCTTTCAAACTGGAACTAGTGAAGATGGTTAAGGTCCTGGAGGCGGTTGGAGGTTGGATGGTGGCTAACGGATTGAGGTTGAATCCTGACAAGACAGAAGTCCTGTTCTTTGGGGGCAGGGGAGAGGCTGGTATGGAGGACTTCCTGGTCCTGAATGGGGTAACTGTCCCTGAAGGACCAGGTGCGCAGCCTGGGAGTCATTTTGGACTCACAGCTGTCCATGGAGGTGCAGGTCAAATCTGTGTCCAGGGCAGCTCCATCTAGTACACAGGATGAGACCCTCCCTGCCCACAGACTGTCTTGCCAGAGTGGTGCATGCTCTAGTTATCTCCTGCTTGGACTATTGCCATGCACTTTACGTGGGGCTCCCTTTGAAGGTGACTTGGAAACTGCAATTAATCCAGAATGCGGCAGCCAGACTGGGGACTGGGAGCGGCTGCCAAGACCACGTAACACCGGTCTTGAAAGACCTACATTGGCTCCCAGTACCTTTCTGGGCCCAATTCAAAGTGCTGGTGCTGACCTTGAAAGCCCTAAATGGTCTCGGCCCAATAGACCTGAAGGAGCGTCTCCACCCTCATCATTTGGCCTGGACACTGAGGTCCAGTGCTGAGGGCCTTCTAGCAGTTCCCTTCCTGCGAGAAGCGAGGTTACAAGGAACCAGGCAGAGGGCCTTCTTGGTGATGGCACCCTCCCGTCAGATGTCAAGGAAATAAACAACCACCTGATATTTAGAAGACATCTGAAGGCAGCCCTGTTTGGGCAAGTTGTTAATGACTGATCTTTTAATGTACTTTTAATCTTTTGTTGGAAGCTGCCCGGAGCATGCTTGGGGGAGGAGTTTTGTTTCAGTAAGTTAGCTTGCTTATTTATTATAGTGCTTCTGGGTATGTTTTATTACAATAGCGTCAAACAGTTCAATTCCTCTGCTTATAAAAATGATTCCAGAAGACAAAACCTCAGTGCACACAAGACCAAAATAAAAAAATTATAAAAAATGCATGTTTCACCGAAGTACACACATTGTCAAAAGCACATGAAGAGGCAGACGGCAATCGCTCAGGGAGCCTTTAGGAGGCTAAGCACAAATTACCATTGAAAGCTGGCATGGCTTTGAGGGTGGTGTTGGCTGGTGCCCCTGAAGCAGAAGGGGGGCCCTTCCCACTGACATGGTTGGCTATCGCTGGTGGAGACTGGGGCCGCCTTAGCATCGGGGACATGCTGCGCCTCCTTTTCAGAGAAGCTGGCGTGTTGGGCTCTCCTGGGCGCTTGATTTTGTTCTGAGGACCAGCGACAAACTCGTCTGCTTCATCAATCATCATGCCCTGGAAGACACATCATCACCCGTTAAGAACAATCCGCGGTGTTCTTCTTCTTCTTCTTTTGTAAGAAAGGGGCAACTCCACTCACTCACGGGCCGTGAGAAATTGCTGGGGGGGAAGGGGACCCCGTGAAATCGGCCTACCTTCTTATCCTGCTTGAAAGGGTTCCCAAAAGTATGGAGTCTTTTGGGCTGGTCTGGGTCAATTTCTCGTAGAGGAGCGGGCATCATCTTGAGATATTCCTGGTAGTTCCCCATCTGAGCCACAGGAACACTATGAAGACAGTCTGCAGCAGAAACAGAAAGGACACCACACTTCATTTCCAGAAGACTGAAACTTCCCTAAAGGCTCATTCCACATCATGTCAATGCGGTCATGTCACCCACCATCTTGGGATTTGGATGAAACTTGGTGTACACACCCTTCCCTTATGGTTGAAAGAAATCGCCTTAAATTTTCCCCCTCTATCTCAAACGGTTTAAATTTTATAGCACTTCAAAATTTCAAAAAAATAATAATTATAGTACTTCAAAATTTCAAAAACCTCGAGACCCTCAGCACATGTACATTTTATTTTATTTTTCTCCATAAAAAGGCATTTATAAAATATTTTGAGTACTGGTGTATTTTTTCCTGAAATCCTCATCCTCTTATTGACCTCTGTGTAAAATTTCAAAGAGATCTGATCATTGGTTATGAAGGAAAAAACCTTGGAGCTTGCTGGGAGATGTAGTCCAGGGGGGGAATTGCAAAAAAAAGCACCCGAAAACAAAATGGGGGGGGGGGGGAATGGTGATCACGCCGATCCAAGCGGTGATTGCAGAACCATACATGGGCCGGATCCAGAGGGCGATTGGGCTGGATCTGGCCCGTGGACTTTGGTTTAACAGCCCTTGACCTAAAGGAACCAAACGTCAACCTCAATTCAGTGCCACACCAACACAGCACCCACCTTCGTCTTGGCCAAGAATGAGCTTGTGTGTTTTCAGCAGGTTCGTCCTCATGCGGGTCAGCTGGTCTAAAAGGCTGTGGCGAGGAATATCGTAAGCGTTCCTGTAAGCCTGTGGCTTCAGATCCTGTTTGTTGTCAAAACAAAACAGATCATTTGCAAAGATGGAAGCTGCAAAGCAAGCAGTTTGTTGCCCCTTGGCACCATGTCACACCCACCTTGCTTATTTTTTAATATATATAATAATTTTTATTTGTTTTTGCAAATATTTTCAAAGTAACATTCAATTGCTATATAATATAGAAAACCTTTGGCAGCAACAGCCTGAGACTTCCCTCCTCCTCGACTCATGGTTTCCCCACTTACTATCTAATACTGCATTTTGGAATTATAATTATTACTATTAAATCCTAACTGTCAATCAACCATTTTTAAATTATAAAAGTGGTGTCTTGGTTTGCATAAGTTTTAGATTACAAACACGTCAAACCCTGAAATGCGGTTCCCAGTTTGCAACCGTTTTTTGGATGACAACCCTTTTTTTAGGATTACAAACAAATTTTGGGGGGAGGCCCCATCGACGAAAGCATGCCTTGGGTTACAACCTGTTTTGGTTTAGAAACGGACCTCCGGAACGGATTGTGGTTGTAAACCAAGGTACCACTGTAATTGATAGTCCACCTTACAAAACTTCTTGCAACCCTACCACCACTGGGCTAATAATATCCTTGCTGCAGTTCTTGCAGATAAAAAGGCTTTTATCTTGCTTATGAATTTCATTACCTACAATGCTTAATAAGAAGGCTTCTGGTGTGTTTTTTAAACAAATGTTTATTTTCAACATTTTGTAAAGTTTATAATAAATCATTTCCCATAAAGCCTTCGCCTCCTTACAGACCCACTACATAAAGTTAAAAACAGGCATGTCCAAAGTCCGTTGCGGGGGCCCAATCCAGCCCGCTGGCTGGTTTAACCTGGCCCCTGTGGCAGTTTATTTCCTGAGATAAAATCCAAAAAAAAGCTCAACTTCAATCCTAAAAGCAGCTCAACAACTCCAACCCTAAAAAAACCTCAAGAACTTCAATCCTAAAAAAAGCTCAACTTTGGGGTAAAATCCTAAAAGCAGCTCAACGCCTTGAATCATCAAAGAAGCTCAACAACTCCAGCCCTTCAAAAAGCTCAACAACTTCAATCGTAGAAGAAGCTCAACCACTTCAATCTTAAAAAAACCTAAACTACTTCAATCCTAAACAATGCTCAAGAACTTTGGTCGGCCCCCACGGCCCTTCACTCCATCCAATCTGGCCCTCTTTGGAAAAAGCTTGGACACAACTGGTTAAAATCACCTTCCTTTCCATTTTTTCTTCCCCTCCATTCCCCCCTTTTTTCTTTTCTTTCCAATCCTGACAATGACTCCGTTTCATATGCTTGAGCGAATGCCGCCGCACACCCACCTTGTTGAAGAGCCCTATGTGGAAGCCGGCAAATTCCTTCGCGCTTGTTTCGGACAGCCTGAGCGGAGATTCCCCCGAGATCCCTCGAAGAAGCTGTTTGAAATCCCGGTTCTGGATCGGGGAGAGGCCGCTGGAGTGGTTCTTCACTTTAATGCCAGTCTCCTGCGGGGCTTTCTTGCCCACCGACCCTATGATCCGCTCCGACTCGATTTTCGTCTATGACAAAAGCACACGGCATGTTAAGCAAACAGCAGTGCAGACGACTCTAGCGTAAAGCAAATTCTGGCCGCGTCAAAAGGCAACCCAAGCCTGCTGTCTACATGCTGAAAGAGTTGCAGGGGTCAGCAAGCTTTTTCAGCAGGGGGCTGGTCCACTGTCCCTCGGACCTTGCGGTGGCCGGACTAGATTTTGGAGGGGGGGGGATGAACGGATTCCTATGCCCCACAAATAACCCAGAGATTATTTTCAATAAAAGCACACATTCTACTCATGTCAAAACACCAGGCAGGCCGCACAAATCACCCAGAGGTGCATTTTAAATAAAAGGACACATACTACTCATGTCAAAACAAGCCAGGGGTGATGGGAATTGTAGTCCCCAAACAGCTGGAGGGCCAAATAGGCCACCAGTGGACTTGATTTTCACTGGACAATAAGGCCCTTGCATGAGTATTTCAAGATGCTTCGCCTGGAGGGGAAGGCCGATTTTCTAGAACTGCAGGCATGATACTCAAGTGATGTTTCCAAGCTCTCCAAAATCAGCAAAATCCACCCTTGTTGTGTGTGAGCTGAATCCTTCCATCCTCCTTGTCCGTAGGAAGGTAGAAAGCTTTAGCCGGCATTTACCACACTTTTCCATCTATAGGACGCCCCCATGTATAAGACTTTTGGGGGCCTCAAAATTTAGAAAATAGGGGGGATTGAGCTTTGGGGCGAGGACTATGTGGGGGGAATGCCGAAAATCACTCACCTACCATAAGGCAGTGCACAACCGCTCACGTCACAGAAACCACCTATCAGCTGTCCGGCTTGCTGCCAATCATGCTCCTGCTTGCGGTGACAAGGGCAGCTGTCTATTGGCTACAGCAACAGGATTGGGAGGGCTAACAGCGGCAACCAGGCAGCTGCGACACAAGTGGCTATGTGCCACATTCCGGCAGGTGAGCAGTTTCCGGCATCCCCTCCCCCAACAATCAAGCAGCAAATGCCAAAATCGCCCACCCACCGGAACGAAGCAGAAGCCTGAGATTTTCAGCGGCGATTTGCCTCTTCATTGTTTGGGGGGGGGAGTGGATGCCGAAAATTGCGAGCGACGCATGTGGTTGTGCGCTGCGTTCTGGCGGGTGAGCCATTTTCAGTATCCGCCCCCCACAAATGACCAAGCAGCCAATCGCCGCTTACAAGCTCGCGCCAAAAAACCATTTGCCTGCTCAGCACTACTCGTGTATAAGACGACCCTAAATTTTGAACCCAATTTTTGGGTCAAAAAAAACCTCATCTTATACACAGAAAAATTTGGTAACAACTGGTTACTCTATTTAATGTTAGGCAAAACCAGAACAGGAAGAAGCACTGGTCGCGTTTCTTAAATACCACAGGGAAAGGGCGAATTTGAGCAAGGGAAAGAATAGCACAGGCTTCTTCAACCTCAGCCCTCCAGATGTTTTGAGACTACAATTCCCATCGCACCTGACCACTGGTCCTGCTAGCTAGGGATCATGGGAGTTGTAGGCCCCAAACAGCTGGAGGACTGAGGTTGAGGAAGCCTGGAATAGCCTATGGGTAGGCAAACTAAGGCCCGGGGGCTGGATCCAGCCCAATCGCCTTCTCAATCCGGCCCGCGGACAGTCCAGGAATCAGTGTGTTTTGAAATGAGTAGAACGTGCCCTTTTGTTTTAAATCCACCTCTGGGTTATTTGTGGGGCATAGGAATTCATTCATCCCCCCCCAAAAAAATCTAGGCCAGGCCCTCACGAGTTCTGAGGGACAGGGAACCGGCCCCCTGTTGAAAAAGTTTGCTGACACCTGGAATAGCACTTCTTTGATGTTACAGATTTAGGTAGCCCTTATGAAAACTGGGTTCAGGAAGACAGGAGGCCTTTGGCCACCAGCCACATAAGATTGGACAGCTGCCACTCTTTCAAATCATCCGCAATGTTGACTGCAATGCTCATTAGCAGCAAACAACTAAGAACACGCGACAAGTAAGCTGAATTGTTGTCTTCCTCTTCTTCAGTAACTTCTTCCAGCAGCCCCCACCACTTACATCAGCCTTCCTCAACCTCGGCCCTCCTGCTGTTTTGAGACTATAATTCCCATCATCCCTGATCACTGGTCCTGCTAGCTCAGGATCGTGGGAGTTGGGAGGTCAAAAACATCTGGAGGGCCAAGGTTGAGGAAGCCTGACTTACATGAAAACGGAAATGCAGGCCAGTCTTTACCCATCTCAAAAAACGGGGGGGGGGGGGACCTTCCTTAAGCAATGCATTTATACAACCAGAGCAAAACACACTAAAAATAAAACAAATCATCATCATAGTCATCATCATCAATGTACTTCTGATTGCAAAGGTTTTGTCGATACTACCTGTTGGCTGAGTTTTTTAAGGTAAGAGATAACACTGTAACTAAGTCCACAATCTAAATTATCTGATATCAGATTTGGAGCTCCCATCATCCTTAGGGCTTTCTTTAACGGCTATAAGGAAAACAAAACAAAAAAGAGTAAGAAGAGGGTCAAAAATATTCTTTTTTCTTTTAAAAAAAAGTTTTTCCGTTGTTTTTTTAAAGTTCCTCGCAGATCAGTGTTACGTCAAGCTAAGGCAGGCAAAGGCGACCTCGGCCCTCCAGATGCTTTGAGACTACAATTCCCATCATCCCTGACCACTGGTCCTGCTAGCTAGGGATCATGAGAGTTGTAGAACAAAAAAACATCTGGAGGGCCGAGGTTGAGGAAGCTTGGCATTGACGCTTTGGGAAGCGAGGTGGGTTTCAGCTGGCTCGCCGGCGGGCATCGGGCTACACTGCGAGCGTGGTGCTTTGCAGTGCAGCACCACCAGCTGATTCCACACAGAGGCGAGAGTCCCTGATTGCTGGGATATGGCAAGTCCACACAGCGGCGTCTTGCCCAAGCGATGAGGGAGGTTTCTGCCGCTTCCACCGCACCCCCCAGCTTCCTCCCCAGCCCAGCCCTTTGTTAAATGAGATTTATCCGGGGGCAGAGGAGGGCTTCACTAGGAGCTTTTCCACACTGCCAGTCGCAGCAAAGAAGTATTCCCAAGGGGAGGAGGGAGAGCCGAAAGAATAAATGCTGGACTTGCGCTCGATAGCAATCCAAGGACGAGGGGCCAGTAAGTCGTGCTAAGCTGCAAAGCATTTTTGGTTTTTGAACCCTGGCCTGTGGGCTGTTTGGTTTCCAGCAGAAGACACGTAAAAACCGCTCTGCCAAGGACAGCCAGCCACCAATTCATTTATTTAGGGCCACTGAGTTCGCAAGAGGTACGTACCAGCAAGTAGTAGGGAGGCATGGTTTTTAAGTAGTTGTCCAAAGATTGCCGCCACTTTGGATTGGGCTTCAGCTTGTGAACCTTAAAAAAGTCATCTGCACGGAGGAGAAACAAGACCAGTCACCCGCATGCCCCATGTTCCAGTCATAGTATCCGAGCAGAGTCATGCTCCGCGGGAACATCCCTTGAGAACAACAATCTGGAGAGTTTTTATGCTTCCATGGGCTTTTCTCTCTCTTTAGCCTCTCTCCTCCTTATATATCCAGTTTTGACACAGGCAGTGGAAGGGATCCACAGAGCCAAAAATTAAGCTGTACCTTAGCAGAGTAACAATCACAGCTTTGAATGAAGGGAACCAGCAGTGCTCAGTCTGAAGACCTCTGAAGTCCTAAACAACTTAAGATTTTCCTCGTTTTAGATGCCAACACATTCCGTATATTCCCCTTACAATCCCATGCAAAGGGGAGAGCCCATACTTTGAACTATTAATTCTGTGGTACTGTTGAAAGTGAAATGTTTTAAGTGTGTATTTACCGTATTTTTCCATGTATCATATGACCCCTATTTGGGGGGCACAAATTTATGGAAATGGGGGGAGATGATGACCCCCGGTTTTTTAACATTCTTTTAGGCAGTGGTTTCCAAACTTTTTTCAAAGAGGGCCAGATTTTATGAAGTGAAGGGCTGTGGAGGCCGACCAAAGGGCCAACCAAAGTTGTCGACCTTTTGAAGTTGTTGAGCTTTCTTTAGGGTTTTACCCCAAAATCAATTAACCCCCCTCCCCACACTCACAATTTAAAGGCCTTAGATTGGGGTGCCCAAACTTTTTTCAAAGAGGGCCAGATTTGATGATGTGAACATGCATGAGGGCCAACCAAAGTTGTTGAGCTTCTTTTAGGGTTGATGTTAAGGTTTCTTTAGTATTTTACCCCAGGAAATAAACTGCCACAGGGGCCAGATTAAACTGACCGGGGGGCCAGATTAGGCCCCCGGAACGGATTTTTGGAGAAGCCTGTTTTAGAGTAAAAAATAACCTAGTCTTTGCCACAAAAAAAGTATGGTAAATTATGATACTAAGTATCTGAGAAACTATTCCCAACAGAAGCTTGACCCAAAACAAGGTACCCTACATGTGCCATTATTGAGACTGGCAAAATTCCTTGTAGCTTAATTCCTGGAAGAATCCAAGGGTTATTTGACAGAAGGGGTACCACTCAGAAGAGTGGCCACACATCCAACAAATAGCACCTATTGAACAAGGAAGGCTGATGCAGACAAAAATAGAGTCCTCTGATGTAAGATTCTTTCTACATGAATGTTGGGGAAAGAATTTTTTAACGGGTTGCAGTCAGGAGGAACCTCACAGTTGTGCTTTTTGGGGGGCAGAGAAACAAGAGGAGATCGCTTCAGGACACCATGAGCTGCACCAAAGCAATTCAAAGCCTCTGGAAAGCCCCAGGCGATTCATGAAGCCTGCCTGAGCATTTCCCCAAAACCTTCTATTAAAGAGTTGCGGGGAAGGGGGCACGGAAGAGCAGGTTCAGCAGAGCTTGTGTTTTTAAAATGCAGCCACCATAAATATATGCCTCCAAGAAGCAAATGGGATTAGAACCTTTCAAGAAGTGATCCAGGAAACAAGAACAACTCCGTATGGGTGTGCGAGTGTGTTCTTCCAGAGAGGCAAGAAATAGCTCAAGGCGCATGCACTTCTATATTATGGTTACCAGACAATCCCGTTTCCCGGGGACAGTCCCTGGATTTACAAATCTGTCCCCAGACGATATCCGGCAATGGCGCGTCAAGGTCGGGGCTTGCCTCTTTTTTCTCCTTCCTCCTCCTCTCCTCCTCCCTGCGTTGGCTCTGGGGTTTTCCTGGCCCTGGAGCGCCACTGGGCAGTCAGCTGGATGCTCTCACCCCCGGCTCGATTTGGGTTGCAGGGGGCAGGTTAGTGGTTCCCCCAGTTGATGCGTCGGGCGTCATTTGCTCCTTGGCAGTAGAGGCAGCCTCAGTAGCCTGGTAGTGCAATTGGCTCCAGTGGCTTCTGGAGCTGCTCACTGCTGTGGCACCTGCCATTTTGCCTCACCTTAAGTCCCTGTGTGATGTGTCTTCTGCCATTGAACCAATCACGCAATGTTCATTTCCTACTAATAAATCTACAACGCTTAAAATATAAATCCGGGGACATGAAATGAAATCCAGGGATGGATGTTGTCCAGGGACAGGTTTGTAAATCCGGCGACTTTCCCCGGGAAACGGGGCCGCCTGGTAACCATATTTCTTGCCTCTCTGGAAGAACACACAGCCCCATACGGAGTTGTTCTTGTTTCCTGGACCACTTCTTGAAAGGTTCTAATCCCATTTGCTTCTTGGAGGCATATATTTGTGGTCCCAGGAACATCTGGTAACCATATTCTAGTCCTCTCTGGGATGCCTTCTTCCCCGTGTGCCCCCTTTGGAAATGTGCGCCCCCAGCTCACAAAGCCCAATGAAAAACGGGCAACACAACGCTGCTGCAAAAGACTATGCAGGCACCAACGTCCTGAAAGAGGGGAAAAGAACGGAGGTTGAACCTTACTCCAATTAAGGAAGGAGCTACGAGTCGAGGAGGTGAGCAGCGTCAAACATGCCCACGAAGCAGGCGGCTCTCCTCCTCTGCTGCAGAGAGAAAAAGGGAGAGGGCGGGTGTAAAAATCCCTCTCCTTCCAATGGAGCCGCCTGCAACCCTCGAGGCGCTCCGGCCTCCCGTCCCACCTAAGAAAACGGCTGGCAAGTAAACACCGCGGGCAGACAGGCTCCCTTTCCTGCTCGGCTGCGCCGAGACACTCTGCACCACACTCACCTAGCAGAGGGAGAAGGACAGGGTAGTTGTACGGCATGACAAAGAGATTGACGCACGTCAGAGTGGTGCTGGCTTTCAGGTATCCAAAGGGGTGGCCCAGTTCACTGTACTTGCCGCTGGTGCTCACAAACACCTGGAGAACGACAAAGGAAGAGACAAAAGTTCAGCACATGCAAGGGGCTGCTGGCCTTCGGAGGAATTCAAAACATCCTGGCGTTTTCACAGACGTGGCGTGGCGTGTGTTTTTTGCAATAGTCACAGCGCAATTGTTTTCCCCCTTCTCTCAGAGGCTCAGGGGAGGAATCCTGGGCAGTTTACTTGGTTTTTGCCCATTTACGGTCCTGCAAGACACAGAAAAGGAAGTTTCTTGGCTGAACAGAGCTACCAACGCACAAAGCTTTCTACCAAGAGTCAAACCAGGCGTCCAATAATTACACTATCTATAATAAAATCACTCTTATTCCTTTATGGACAGCTGTTACCTCAGGACAGTACCACCAGTTAATATGATCATGAGAAAAGCAGCTGGTCTGCATGACATTCTGATTCAAGCTGACGGGGGGAAAACCCACAAAAGCTGACTGAACTTCTTGTAAATTCACTTTGTTTGATCGGTGGGTTTTATGTATTTGCTATACTATGCTGTGATCTGCCCTGTAATTATGATTGGAAGAAAGAAAATGTTATGAATGTTATGTGGCCAACTCCTGAGAGACTGAAATCTACTCATAAACTGGCAGTAATGGTGATCTACCCCCTATTTTGGGGTTCAGGTCAAAGCTGTTGAACTTCTTTTAGGGAGGAGGAAAGCCCCGTTTTTCGGGGTTGAAGGGCAAAAATGTTGAGCTTTTATAGGGGAACCAGTGATCTACTGGTAGATCACGATCTACCAGTTGGATGTGCCTGTTATAAGTGAATTGCTGAATATATTCAAGCAGTAATATTCCTATTGTTTTTGTAACACATTTATCAATCAGCAGGCAAGCCTATGATGGCTCTGAGGCGGCTCCACATTAATTGACATCAGTCTCACTACAAACCCAATTCCAGTCCACAGAACAATATGTAGGGGAACCCTTCGGATGTTGCTGAACGGCTGGAAGGCTGAAGGTTCACCACCCCTGGACTAGAGAGTGCATCAAAGCTTCTAATCACCTAAAATTTAAAGTGCTTAGATAGGCCCTTTTACAGTGGGTCCTCCAGATAGGGCGCTTCTACACTTCCGGGTTTGCTGCATTCGCAACTGGAAAGTTACGTTACCTTCAGGGTCCACTGTATTATTCCTTGATGTTGGGGTACAGCTATTAAGGAACTACTGCACTTTTCAAATGATATTTATTGAAAATTTTTAGAATTACAAAAGAGAACAAAGCAGAAAAAGAGAAAGAAAAAACAAAGAAAAAACAAACCACATCAAACAATACAAATTCAAAAAAACAAAAGTACACCACAAACACTCAAAAACAAATCCATCATTCTCAAATCCTCAACTGTCATTGCCTTCTTTCTTTGACCTCCTCCTCCTCCCTTTTTTTGTATCCTAGTTGTTAATTGTCGCAGCAAATCCTTTCCATATTTCATAATATTCTGTCATTACATTACCTTAATCTATTTTAATCTTCTCTTATTATAAAGAACCTTAAAGCTTAAAACTTAAATCTTATTTTTACCAACTTCTCGTAACCATAATATTCTTACATAATTCTTTAAACATTTTTGCTAAAGCCAAGTAATTTCGTTCCAACATTTTTCTAACATTCATCAATTTATAAAACAATCCTAGTAGTAAAAAAAAGAAATAAAAACAATCCAATCTTCATCCAGCGTCCCTTCCTCCTGGTCCCGGGTTTTGTCAGTCCTTATTATCCCATCGATCTAGCGCATTAACCTGGTAACCTTGTATCCGAGGCCCTTAAGTCTCTTCCATGTCCCTTCCGCGGCTCTTCTTCATATTTCTAACTGTATTTTCCTTTGTCTCCTGCTTCTTTCACTCGTGGGAACTCCAGCTTAACAATGTTTTTGACCCTTCTCGACAAATCAGCCCCTTTTCCATAGTCCACACTAAACTCCATGTGGTATTTAAGAACATGTTTCAAAATCCCTCCAAAATTAAGAGCCCCCACAACCCCAAACATCTCACGGCCCATTGCCAGACTTGAAAAGTCCAAACATCCCTGCATAGGGGGGTCTATCCAACCCCCCATTTCCAAACCAAACCAAACTTTATCTTTCCAAATCTGACTTTTTCCAAGTTCATTTGTCAAATCCAAAAGCTCATGTTCCTGCTGGGCCACAGCTTCCTTCATCTCTGGCGCCCAAGATTCAGCAACATCCTCTTCCCTCATCTGTTCTGTCAGGGCACACTCCTGATTTAATTCCTGGGTGGGCTCCATATAATTTCCCACTGCCTGTTCAAAATTTCTGATCGCATCAGTCATCAAGTCCATCTTCTCATGTAGCTGTTCCAGTAGGGCATTTGTTTTACAGAAAGCACACAACAGAGCTTCTGAATACATTGTCCTGCAAGGTCAGAAGTCTATTCCCACGATTGTAATCTGTAACAGCTGCAAGCTCCCCGGAGTTGGTTACAGTTTCACAGTCTCCCTCTAGGGGGAAAACTTCTATTTCATCTTTCTTTTAAAGACAAGTCTAACAACAAAGTTTCCTTTTTCAGATATTTTGTCAATATTTGTTCCTTTAAAATGCGAAGGGCAACAATGGAATCAATGTTTCTCTTCTTATAGCTATCTGTCAAAAACGTTTGTCTCTGGTCAATGAGCTTCAATAAACGTCAGTCCTGACACCCCGCTCCAGGATCAGGACGGTGGAAAATTACTTTACTTTACACTCACTTCTGCAGGTTTAAACAGTCCGAAAAAATCCCCCCTCTTCTGCTTCCGAAGGGGGTTCAACAATTTTAAATGATGAAAGTTAATCTTTTACAAGCGATTTTCTGAGCTCTAGTTTGCCATGTCTTTGCTTTAATCTATCTACAAAGAAACGGAAGGCTGACTTCCTGTTTAGACCTTCCCGTTTCAGTGCCAAATTGAGGTAAACTTTTAAGTCCAATTTTCCTTTCTGCTCGCAAGTCCTTATTTAAAGTCCAATTGTCCGAAATTTAAGTACTCACGGGCGATTATTTTAGAAGCCAAATTGTCCCAGGAAAAAGGCAGCTCTCTCCGGCAATGGCTGTGCGGCTTCGCTCCACGGAAGGAGCAGCTGACTCTCAGCACCGCGCCACTTCCCCCGCTTTGCTCCGGAGCCCGTTAGTGGGTTCCTTTGCGGGTTGGGGGGGCGCTAAAGGTGTCCGCCGAGTCCCATGGTCACAGGCTTCATCCGCCTGTGATTTTTGAAAGGGTCCCCGCTTCGCCATAGCGGAAAAGACCCATTTCGCGTGGAGCTAGTCCCTCCAGATCAGAGGGAGTCCGCCATTGCCGATGGTGCCACCCCGGAAGTCTAGAACTACTGTACTTTTCAGTGGTATTGGCCCCACTTGTCCAGATGGTGGGCTATTATTAAAATCAGATCTTCACTGCCTGAAGCACAACTACGGCCCCTGCCTCCCCTCTCTCGGCCCTCGGAGAGTGAAAGGGTGCGTTGTTCTGGATGGGAGACAACAGGGTGCCTCAGGGCTCCATCCCCCCCCCCCCCGGCTTTTTAACGTTGACATGAAGCCGCTGGGAGAGATCATCATGGGGTTTGGGCTAGAGGTTCATCCATATGTGGATGACACCCAGCTCTACCTCTCTTTTAAATCAGAACCAGTGAGGGCAGTGAAGGTCCTGTGTGAGTGTCTGGAGGCGGATGGAGGATGGATGGCGGCTAACAGATTGAAGTTGAATCCTGACAAGACAGAAGTACTGTTATGCGTGAGCAGCTGGGGAGGGGACTCCCTGGTCCTGAATGGGGCAACTGTGTCCCTGAAGGACCAGCTGCGCAGCCTGGGGGTCATTTTGGGCTCACCTCTGTCCATGGAGGTGCAGGTCAATTCTGTGTCCAGGACAGCTGTCTACCAGCTCCATCTGGTATGCAGGATGAGACCCTACCTGCCTGCAGACTGTCTCACCAGAGTGGTGCATGCTCTAGTTATCTCCCGCTTGGACTACTGCAATGGGCTCTACGTGGGGCTCCCATTGAAGGTGACTCAGAAACTGCAATTAATCCAGAATGCGGCAGCCAGACTGGGGACTGGGAGCAACCGCCGAGACCACATAACACCAGTCTTGAAAGACCTGCACTGGCTCCCGGGACGTTTCCAAGCACAATTCAAAGGCCCTGAACAGCCTTGGCCCAGTAGACCTGAAGAAGCGTCTCCATCCCAGATGCCGGGGTTCCTTTCCCAAGGGCCTTCTGGCAGTTCCCTCCCTGCGAGAAGCAAGGTTACAGGGATCCAGGCCAAGGGCCTTCTCGGCGGGCCTTCCCTCCCATCAGATGTCAAAGAAATAAACAACTATCGGACTCTTAGAAGACATCTGAAGGCAGCCCTGTTTAGAGAAGTTTTGAATGTTTGAAGTTTTATTCTGTTTTTAGTGTTCTGTTGGAAGCCACCCAGAGTGGCTGGGGAATAAATAATAAATTAATAATTATTAATAATAACAGACCACTCCACTGCCAGCCCTTGGGAGGTCAAACCAAACAGCCACAGGTTCTTGTTAAGAACTGGTGGGTTTGGGAGGAAGAGGAGAAGACACACTATATTCGAGAACAACCCCAGGTGTTGGAGGCTGTAGAAGCAGCCCCAATTTCATTGCATTTGGATTTTTTTTTAGATCTTATGGGGCTCTGGAGATCTTTCCAGGTTCAAATCTGGGGTGAAATAAAACAGCACCACCAATTCACAGACCGAAGAAACATACATGGCTAGAACCAGCTCTGCAGAGCTACACTTCTAGGAAGGACATTGTGGGTTTGAAGCCCAACCACAGCCGCAGCGAGATTATTACTTGCAAAGAATTGGAACGGAAATATCCCCACAAAGGAAGATTGGAGATGTAAATTAAATGAATTTAAAGAATTAGTAAATTTAACAGCAGCCATAAGGTATCAGACATGCCAGAAATTAAGGACAGAATGGCAAAGTTTTGAATTTACATGAAAAAACACTGCTCTAAGGGTAATATGTTGATATGTATAGATTAAGCTTGCAAAGTGAAACTAGAAAAAAGTTATATATTGGGAGTATTGGGGGTGAGATACCAAAGATGCAATGTTAATTAAGAACTTAAAGAAAGAATCCCCAACTTGCAGCCCTCCAGATGTTTTGGCCTACAACTCCCATGATCCCTAGCTAACAGGACCCCAGTGGTCAGGGATGATGGGAATTGTAGTCCAAAACACCTGGAGGGCCAAAGATTGGGGATGCCTGACTTAAAGGTTAAGAGATGACGGGTATTGGAGGAGAAAAGTCACATGGGTGTATTATTTGTTTTCTACGTGTGGTTATTGTTTTGTATTTTTCATTTCTAACAGATTAGTGTACATGGGGGGGGGGGGAGGAGAGGAAAAAGGAAACCCAACCATGTTCTTAGAACCCAAATGCAAGAAAACTCATCACCAGCCCTTGCTCAAAAGGCGGTCTCACACTGTCAACACCCAGCAGACTTATCTTTTAAAACGAAATCTCCATTCCTCCACAGGGTAATTGGAGCTTTTTTGGCTACTCAAACAGATCACTCAAATAATCAACTTAAAATTGGTACACGGGACTAAGAATAATAGAGATAGTGTTGCCCACTTGATTGACAATTGTTTAAGCAATTAGGAAAATGCTCTGGATCTGATCAACTTCCCACTCAAGTCAGTTGCAAATGATTGGGTATATAATTGTTCAAGGGCTGCAGAGTCCATTTTTTTTAAAAAAAAAACCTTTTAAATTAAAAGTATCAGAAGGCAATGTCTTTTATTTATTAAATATCTATACCCCCCTTTCATCCGAGGATCAAAACGCAGTCTACGGTGTAAAGACACAAAAATGAATAGTATAGTAGCAAATCAAAACAATAACTCCCCACACTCACAGTTTAAGACCAGAGATCGGGGTGCCCAAACCTTTTCCAAAGAGGGCCAGATTTGATGAAGTGAAAATGCGTGAGGGCCGACCAAAGTTGTTGAGATTCTTTTGGGATTGAAGCTGTTGAGCTTTTTTTAGGATTTACCCCCAAATTGAGGTTTCTTTAGAGCTGAAGTTTTTGAACTTGGGGGGGGGGTTGAAGCTGTTGAGCTTCTTTTAGGATTTTACCCCAAAGTTGAGCTTTTTTTAGGATTGAAGTTGTTGAGGGTTTTTTTTTTGGACTTTACCCCAGGAAATAAACCGGATTAAACCAACCAGCGTGCCAGACTGGGCCCCCGAAACGGACCTTGGACATGCCTGCTTTAGAACAACCAAATGAAATTTCTTCATCACATAGATCTTGGCGCAAATTGAGCTTTGACTTCCTCCCGTCCCCCTCCCTGACTTCCAGATGAGGCCCCTGGAACGCACTTTGGACATACCTGGTTTATGGGGAGGCATTGCTTCTGCAAAGCAAAGATTCCTTCTCCCCCTCCCCCTTATCAAACCAAGATATAGTGGTACAGTGGTACCTCGGGTTACATATGCTTCAGGTTACAGACTCTGCTAACCCAGAAATAGCGCTTCAGGTTAAGAACTTTGCTTCAAGATGAGAACAGAAATTGTGCTCCGGCAGCGCGGCAGCAGCGGGAGGCCCCATTAGCTAAAGTGGTGCTTCAGGTTAAGAACAGTTTCAGGTTAAGAACGGACCTCCGCAACGAATTAAGTACTTAACCCGAGGTGCCACTGTACCTCCGGTTGCCAATGGGCTCGACTCCGATCAGATCCCAAGGTTTCCGCAACCGGACGTGCCTGTTCTGCACAGGTACATGGCACGGTAGATGGTTTTGTTAGCCAATGGCCTGGGAGAAAAAGAATGCTTTTGCTTGGGCTCCTTAAATGAAGATAAGGCTAGGCTTGAATAAAATGTGATCCATTTTGATAATTCTTGTATTGTTATTATAAATATGAGCTTCTCAAAACGTTGCAGAAAGGGACACGGGTGGCGCTGTGGTCTAAACAACTGAGCCGAGGCCTTTCCGATTGGAAGGTCGGCGCTTCGAATCTCCGTGACAGGGTGAGCTCCCGTTGCTCGGTCCCTGCTCCTGCCAACCTAGCAGTTCAAAAGCACGTCAAAGTGCAAGTAGATAAATAGGTACCGCTCCGGCGGGAAGGTAAACGGCGTTTCCGTGTGCTACTCTGGTTTCGCCAGAAGCGGCTTAGTCATGCTGGCCACATGACCCGGAAAAACTGTCTGCGGACAACACTGGCTCCCTTGGCCAGTAAAGTTAGATGAGAGCCGCAACCCGTCGTCCGCGACTGGACTTAACGGTCCCGGGTCCCTTTACCTTTTTTTTTTTCTTTTAAAAAAAGTTGCAACTTCTCTGAACTTTTATCTAAAAAGCGTGGCATATAGCGGCACTAAAGGGCTGTAAGGGATTAGCAATTCTGCAATGGCGCATGGGCAGATGTCGAAAACCAATGTTTCAACTGGGAACAGTCCTCAGGAAGAGAAAGTTCTTCTCCAGCTCTGCTAAGCTGGATTGCAAATGCTGAGGTCCCAAGCTACGGTCTTCAACATGCGACGACCTGGCTGCTATTGGGGGGGCGGGGGGAGAGAGAGAGACTAATACAGGGCATTCTCTCTACTTTCACCTGCAAAGTTTATCCCGGACTGGCTTGGGAACCCTGGAATGGGTATATCGCAAATACCTGCCAGCACACAATAGGCGACTTCCGCTCCAAGATGTACTGAGTTAGAGGTGATGGTTCGAGCTCGTACTTGTCAAAGGGAAGCTTGTCGATCACCATGGGCTCGCAATCCGTGCAGGAGAACCTCACCACTGGGTGGGCTGTGCGGGGAGGCTAGGAAGTGGGGGGGAAGGAAGAACGGGAATAAGAACCATTTGGAGGAAAAGGGAAATAACAACAACAACAATAATAATAATTCATTATTTATACCCTACCCATCTGGTTGTGTTTCCCCAGCCACTCTGGGCGGTCTCCAACAGAACATTAAAATACAATAGTCCGTCAAACATTAAAAGCTTCCCTAAATAGGGCTTCCTTCAGATGTCTTCTAAAAGTCTGGTAGTTGTTTTTCTCTTTGACATCTGGTGGGAGGGCGTTCCACAGGGCGGGTGCCACTACCGAGCTTACAGGGCGTCATCCCAAGAGCCAATTGGCCAGCTAGGTTAATTTATTCCTTTTTTCATAATACTCCACAAAACATCGCAAAGAATGGCTAGCTCAATAGCTACCCAGCACCAAGTGTTCAAAATGTAGAATACATTAGTCACAATGTTCCAGAAGGTTGGTCTGTAACAGGGGTCGGCGAACTTTTTCAGCAGGGGGTCGGTCCACTGTCCCTCAGACCTTGTGGGGGGCCGGACTAGATTTTGGGGGGGAAGGGGGGGATGAACGAATTCCTATGCCCCACAAATAACCCAGAGATGCATTTTAAATAAAAGGGCACATTCTACTTGTGTCAAAACACACTGATTCCCAGACCACCCAGGGGCCGGATAAGAATGTGATTGGGCCGGATCTGGCCCAATCGCCTTCTAAATCTGGCCCGCAGATGGTCCGGGAATCAGTGTGTTTTTACATGAGTAGAATGCGTGCTTTTATTTAAAATGCATCTCTGGGTGATTTATAGGGCATAGGAATTCGTTCATATATTTTTTTCCAAGTATAGTCTGGCCCCCCACAAGGTCTGAGGGACAGTGGACCAGCCCCCTGCTGAAAAAGTTTGCTGACCTCTGGCCTACATGATCCCCACAGTGGGAGAATTAAGAGGTTGCAAGGGGGGATATTAGGGTAGGGGTCAGCAAACATTTTTAGGAGAACGGTTCATTGCCCCTCAGACCTTGTGGCGGGCCGGACTGCGCACGTGCAGCAGAAGGGGGCTTCTCTCTCTCCCCCAGCCCCTCCCCCCCTGCTTTCCTACCTCCTCCGCCGCTCTGCCTGCGGTTGGGAGCCGCCGCCGCCTCTGCTTTCCGGGCCAGCTTTCCAGGGCGCCAGGCACAGGGCCCACAGACGCACCCAGCTCCAGCCAAAGCCCCGCGACGCAGCCGTCACGATGCCCACAGCGCAGCCATGGGTGGAGAGGCCAGAGGGCAGATGGTGAGCCTGGGCCACACCTTGGCGCGTGGGCGACGAGGCTTTGGATTGGCTGGCACCAATCAAAGCCCAGCTCCCTTCCTTCGCAGGATGGGGAGAAGCCGGGAGGGAGGAGGCAGTGTGGGGGAAGGCACCTAAAAAAAAATGCAAAAAAATGGCGCAACCCCGAACAATCACGCCGATCCAAGCGGCGATTCCAGGACTGCCCGTGGGCAATTGGGCCTGATCCAACCCGTGGACCTTAGTTTGCTGACCCATGTATTAGGGCTACCCAGTGTTACTTGAGATTGGATGCGATCTGAAAACAGAGAATCAGAGCTGGAAGGGAAAGCAAGGATCATTTGCTTTCCCTGCAACCCCCTGCAACGCAGGAACCCTTTTTGCCCAAGGTGGGACTCAAATCCACGATCCTGAGATTATGAGTCTCATGCTCTATCGACTAAGCTGTCCAGCTACTTTCCACCACATTACCAATGGTCACCAAAAGACATTTGCGTTGACCGTATCTGCAAAGAAGCTTGAAAGCCCTGCGACATACCAGTGTTGGTGAATTTTGATCGGGCCAAAAGGATTCTGGAATTGGCCAATGCCCAACAGGAACGCCTGTTTTAGGATTAGGCCTCACATAGATGAGCTTATGACAGCTGTGCCATGGCTGAGAACCAAAAGAATTGATAGGTCTGGTGACATCAACAAGTCCATCTAAAATCCAAAAGGAGAACAATAATAAGTTAGTACAGCACATTAGGTCTCAAGCATTACTTTTCCAATCACTACTTAGATGTGTTTTCTCAAAGCCACGCGCGAACAGATTAGCTGTAAAACTGATATTTTGAGTTGGAAAAACAAAGAAGTCTGTGTAGTGGTTGCACATCTAAGACTGTTTTGGGAAAAGTAGGTCTATTGACTGGTTTTGTGCCTAAGATAATTTGGGGGAGGGGAGATTAAAAAGTCTGCGTGGTGGTTTTGTGTTTAAGATAAAGATTAGTTTTGCATCCAAGAATGAAAACATGCAGCAGGAGAATCATTTCCGGAGCAAGAAATGAACCAGTTTAAGCATTCAAAGAACTGAAGATAATTGTTCAACAGAAATGTCAGAAGCAAAGTTATAATACAATATTGTGTACAGAATCTACTCTGGTTTTGCAATATCGTCCTTTTTTTTACCAAAGACGTTTACACATTTGCAAACCTTAAGAGTTTACAATGGTCATAAAGCGTTTACCATACCTTCCCCAATGTAGGGTGGATCGGGTCCAGATTTCTCAAAGTTTATGACAACACCACTCTGAACTTTCTGAGCAAGAGATTCTAAACACTGGTTCAGCATCCTCTGAGTCCGAACACAATAGGAACGTCCTATAATGGAAAGCGAAGAGATAAGGAGATTCTGAAGGCAACATGACTTGTGAATATGGCAAAAGGCTACTATTGAAACAGACCAGGGGTCAGCAAACTTTTTCAGCATGGGGTCAGTCCACTGTCCCTCAGACCTTGTGGGGGGCTGGACTATATTTCAAAATATAAAATAAAAAATGAACGAATTCCTATGCCCCACAAATAACTCAGAGATGCATTTTAAATAAAAGGATACATTCTACTAGTGTCAAAACACACTGATTCCCAGACTGTCCGCGGGCCAGATTTAGAAGGCGGTTGGGCCTTAGTTTGCCTACCCATGAAGTAGACTTTCCATCATACCAGCTTATGGGAAAAAAGAAGACATCAGTATTGTTGTATGTGAGGTACAAGCGCCCCCTGCCATTGTCTTCCCTATGGCACCAATGCCTGGCCTGATTAAAGCGGAGGATATTTAACTTTGCACACAAGCTGCTGAATCTTGTTTATCCCCTTTGTAAAGAAGCGCCACTGAACAGAATACACGGGTTTCGGTCTTATCATACCTCAGATAAGGCATCCCCAACCTTTGGCCCGCCAGATGTTTTGGACTACAATTCCCATCATCCCTGACCACTGGGGTCCTGTTAGGTAGGGATCATGGGAGTTGCAGGCCAAAACATCTGGAGGACCACAGGTTGGGGATTCCTGCCTCAGAACAAAACTATGGCACAGATTCCATGTTTTCAAACAGCCAGTGCAAGGGCTGTTGTGCTAGCGTAAGGGTGAGAATAGCTGCACAATAGCAACGCCAATGGGTTTACTTTGAGACTGGATGGGCAACAAGACGGATCGGGGCTACAGCAATCTGTTGTGCAACCAGCCATGAGAAACACTGTGACTTCCTGTAGCCTTCTCTCATGCAAGCCATTCTGCTAGCTCATGAGGTACACCGCCAAGGAAGTTGAACCTGGCGCTAGGTTGAATGCCTACCTGACTTCCAGGTTTAGCAGGAAATAAAAGCTTTATCTCAGGGGTCAGTTCATGGTCCCACAGATGCTGTGGTGGGCTGGAGTGTGCACGCGCATGCACAAATGCTATTAACGACACTGCTTCCGGTGCGGAGGAGGCACGAGCAGTTTCCCATTGGCTGCAGGAGCTTCCTGCAGCCAACAGGAAGCCGACCAGCACAGGAGAAGGTGGTCCTCGCTCTGCTCTCAAGACCAGTGTTATGTGGTCTCAGCAGCCGCTCCCAGTCACTAGTCTAGCTGTCGCATTCTGGATTAATTGTAGTTTCCGGGTCACCTTCACGGGTCACCACGTAGAGTGCATTGCAGTAGTCCAAGTGGGAGATAACCGGAGTGTGCACCGCTCTGGCAAGAAAGCCTGCAGGCAGGGAGGGTCTCATCCTGCGTACCAGATGGAGCTGCCCTGGACACAGAATGGACCTGCGCCTCCATGGATCCAAAATGAAGCCCAGGCTGCGCACCTGGTCCTTCAGGGGCACAGTTACCCCATTCAGGACCTTTTTGCAGACATAGGCATATACACATAAATGTAAAATGTATTTTTCTGTCTAATGTATTCCTCAGACGAGTGACATGAAATAATCTTCTAAGTGTCTAATGATAGGGTTGGCAGACAAAAGAACCTGGCACTGGGAGATGCTGGCACAGGCAGACAATGATCTGAGTCTAGGTTCCCTATCTTCATCTGTTCCACTCTAGCTAGAAAAACTAGAAGTACAGTGGTACCTCAGGTTACATACGCTTCAGGTTACAGACTCTGCTAACCCAGCAATAGTACCTTGGGCTAAGGGCTTTGCTTCAGGATGAGAACAGAAATCGTGCTCTGGCAGCGCAGCGGCAGCAGGAGGCCCCATTAGCTAAAGTGGTGCTTCAGGTTAAGAACAGTTTCAGGTTAAGAACGGACCTCCAGAACGAATTAAGTTCTTAACCCGAGGTACCAGTGTATCATAATCTGCAGGAGTGGTCAAGGTTTGTTGATTAGTAGGTCTCTTGGACTTTTTTTCAACCTGTCCAGTGGGGGTAAGCCATAAATAAACTCCATCTGTTGAATAGTCATTATGATCTCTACTTAATTTCTTCCTTTTCAAATTAGTGAGTTCATTAGAGAAGTTCTTCATGTATTCTTCTGTCGTTTGTATGAGTTTGTCATAATCAAGTTTGTTTAGCTTGGCTTCACCACATTCTTTCGCCTCCTCTATATCCTTATTAATCTGGTCTAAACTGGCTACGAATTGTTCTATTATTAACAACATTAAATCACTGGAACATTTGTTGAGAATTTGTTCACACCCATTTTTCCACAAATCTGTTATCCTCTTTGAATTGAGTAGGTGCCTTTGGGATGCGTAACCCTCTAGGAATCAAATTATTCTTAACATACTCAGCAAGTGAGGCTCCATGCCTCTCTAAACGTCCTTTTTGCTTAGATACAGACTCAAAGTTCATGTCACCATTAAGCACCTGGTCACCTTCACTCTGAAAGAAGGTAAACATGTTTAATAACTTGTCTTTTTCTACATGAGTGTACCCATTTATTTATTTTTAGTATAAACAGCCACAAAAAAACGCAAAACCAAAACAACCAGAAAACCTAAACTACTTAAAGTAGCTTTTCAGTTGATCACTAAGTTCAGTATGCCTGCCAACCCTATCATCTTCATTAGACACTTAGAAGAGTATTTCATATCACTCGTCTAAGGAATATATCAGACAGGAAAATACAAGAGAAAATAGAGAAATTAGATCAGTACTATGGCACTGACAAAACAGGATTTGTATTTTGTACATACTGGACCTGGTGATCAACTGAAAAGCTATCTTTTAATGTATTATGTCACGAAGTAAGTAGTTTCTAGTAAAGAACTTTGCAATTGTTACACTATGGCCTATTACGTGTGTGTTTTTTTAACTGGATTTGTGTAATACAGGCCTTCTGGTGGTTTTGGTTTGACACAGGCATCTAGGCACATATAGACACGAATGAGAAGCTTAGCCAGATGTTACGTGTCAATGCACTAATGCTCGTCATGATTTCAAAGTAGATGGATTGAGGTTGGCAAACCAAGAAAAAGGCGCAAAAAGGCTACCTCCTGTGACTTCACACATCTGTGTAATGGCAGACTCATCTGTCGGGACACTTCCTAGCTGTTCGGGCTCCACTGAAGAGGCTCCAGGTAAGCGCAGCACGAGGGCAAACAGCCTCTGATCCCAGCGAAACGGTTCTTTGGTTAACTCGCTTCCAGGAAGGGGAGAATTCAGAGGAAGATGAAGCTAAAAAGGAAGGCAAGACACCTAGAGACTTCGCTAGAACAGTAAGCTCATTTGATTCCTTCTGAAAAGGAACCACAGAATCACAAATCACAGAGCTGGAAGGGACCGCAGGGAACATCTAATCCAGGGGTCAGCAACCTTTTCCAGCCATTGGCCAGTCCACCGTCCCTCAGACCATGTGGTAGGCTAGACTATACAGTGGTACCTCGCAAGACGGAAAACTCGCAAAACGAAAGCGTTTTTGGTTTTTTGAGTTGCTTCGCAAGACGATTTTCCCTATGGGCTTGCTTCGCAAGACGGAAACGTCTTGCAAGTTTGTTTCCTTTTTCTTAAAACCGTTAATACAGTTGTGACTTGACTTTGAGGAGCAACTCATAGCACGCGGTGTGGTAGCCTTTTTTGAGGTTTTTGAAGACTTTGGTGATTTTTGAAGCTTTTCCAAAGCTTTTCCGACACCGTGCTTCGCAAGACGAAGAAACCACAAGACGAAAAAACTCGCGGAACGAATTAATTTCGTCTTGCGAGGCACCACTGTATTTTGAAGGAAAAAAAGAATGAATTCCTATGCCCCACAAATAACCCAGAGATGCATTTTAAATAAAAGGACACATTCTACTCATGTCAAAACACGCTGATTCCCGGACCGTCCATGGGCCGGACTGAGAAGGCGATTGGGCCACATCCAGCCCCCAGGCCTTAGGTTACCTACCCCTGATCTAGTCCATGGACAGGCAAACTAAGGCCCGGGGGCCGGATCCACCCCAATCGCTTTCTAAACAACAACAACACAACAAAATTTGGGGTCGCTGGGCGGATCTTTGCACCCTGGCGGCGCATGTGCTCAAGACGGCCCTGGTTCTGCTTCTGATTTGAGTGCCACACTTCCGCTTTGAGTGTTACGCTGAGGTCTGTTTTGTGGTCTCCAAAAGAGGTTGAAAGATCTCAAAGCAAATCTTTAAAAAATGTAGTACAAACATCGGCAACTGGGAAGCACTGGCCTGCGAGCGCTCCAATGGGAGAACAGCCTTGACCAAAGGTGTCGTGGGCTTTGAAGACACTCAAACTCGGGACGCAAGGGAGAAACGGGCGAAGAGGAAGGAAGACTCGCTGGGATCAACTCCCGCCCAGAAACCAATGTCCCCACAGTGGAAGGATGTGTGAATCCAGAATTGGCCTCCACAGTCACTTACAGGCTCACTGTTAAAATCCATATTTATGGAAGAAAATCTTACTCGGCTACAAGGGATGCCGGAGGAGAAGCACTTGCCCTATTGCAGGTGGGAAAGCAAAGTGTCTTGACTCTGATTTTTAATTCTGGAAAAGTACGGCATTGCTACCAGGAAGAGAACTGGCTTTTTCATGCTTACTAGAAGAAAAACGAAAAGACGTGAAGTGCTTCGCGTGCTCTCGTCCATGGGGTCATGAAGAGTCGAGCACAACTAATCAACTCAACAAGGACAACATATTCAGGCAAGGCTGGGCACGCCCCCTGTTTGAAACCCTGAACAGCCACGGCTAGGCAGGGAATCCTGAGCTAGAAGGACCAGCAACCTGACTCTGTATGAGCATTTACTGTTCCCAGCTCTAATCCTGCAGAAAGCCATCTAATTATGATTATAATTTGTTCCTGACTTGTTTTGAGGAGGTAATTGAATTATTGTTTGATTTTATACCAATGTTATATATTTGATGTCACAGTAATAATAATAAATTATTATTTATACCCTGCCCATCTGGCTGAGTTTCCCCAGCTACTCCAGGTGGCTCCCAATCGAGGACTAAAAACAATACAGCATTAAATATTAAAAACTTCCCTAAACAGGGCTGCCTTCAGATGTCTTTTAAAAATAAATAATAATAATAGCCACCCTGAGCCTGGTTTCGGCCAGGGAGGGCGGGATAGAAATAAAAATTTATTATTATTATTTAAAACAGTTTCCCATGTTTGCATCTTCTTCCAGCCTGATCTCCCTCTGAGCAAGACAGGAAGAACGGGATAGAAACATAACTAATAATTCCACATGCAATGGTTATCAAGCAGCTCTAACACTGCAGGGAATATCAGACAGGAGTGCTTTTTAAACTCCTGGCAGGAGAACACATTCAGTGCAGCCATATTCCAGTTGAAAGCTTACCTCCTCCTGCACACCTGCCATATTTGTCAACTTGTTTCCATCCGTGATAGTAATTAAAATCGAGGGCTCTAAAAAGAATGGGTTCCTTCCCTACAGAGAGGAGGGAAAATATATCTGTGTTAACGTTTGAAACACAAAGGATCCATTAAAGACAGGGAAGTTCAACAAAGTCGATCGCGATCTACTGGTAGATCCTAGCGAGGTTTTGGTAGATCGTGGTCAATCTCTGGCTCCCTTTCCTTAGCATCGCTAAAACTGACTCCTGCCATGCCCTTTTTGTGAGTGATTTAACCCTTTTTTCTGCCTTTAACCTCCCCAAAAACATTTTTTAAAACGGGGATTTTCTCCCTAAAAAAGGCCCCCAAAACAGACCTTCCTTAAAAAAAGCTCAACAGCTTTCATAGAATCAGAGTTGGAAGAGACCACAAGGGCCATCGAGTCCAACCCCCTGCCAAGCTTTGACCTGAACCCCGCCAAAAATGGGCTTTCCTCCTTCCCCAAAACAGGGCTTTCCTTCCAAAAAAAATAAAAAGCTAAACACTTTCACCCTGAACCCCTAAAAAAAATGGGCCTTCCTGTTCCTAAAAAAAACCTCAACAATCTTGACACCTGAACCCCCCCAAAAGGGTAGCCGTGTTGGTCTGCCGTAGTCAAAATGAAATAAAAAAAATCCTTCCAGTAGCACCTTAACGAGACCAGCTAAGTTTGTGATTGGTATGAGCTTTTGTGTGCATGCACACTTCTTCAGATAAACTGAAACAGAAAAGTGGTTAGATCACCACAAGTTTTTAACTCTGAGTAGATCCCTTGGGAGTTGGCCACCCCTGCATTAGAGGATCACAGCCATCAACATGCAAATGAGATCTATATATCTACATAGATCTGCTCTGGCCCCTGGCAGAAAGTATTTCGGCTCACCATACAAGGTACTAAATAGGCAATTTTCTCAGGCTCTGGTAGTTGGAGGAGCAAGTAGCAGTGAGTTCCCCAAGTGGCCCGTTTGCTTTATTTTAAACGCGCCAGCAAATATTCACATCCTAAAGATTAGATGCTAAGGTTTTTCAGGCAAGGCAGTGAGGAAATTAAATTAAATTAAATCCATTACCTGTCCATAGTTGTCTATTCCAGACACCAATCTGTTGAGGTTGAGCAAATCAAACGAGGATCGAAGGGCCTGTCCAAGGGTGGTCAGTCCTGACGCTTGCAGATTCTTCAGTTCATTCATAAAAGTGGCATGGTTCTCCTTCCATCCAGCCTGCAATATAACATTATTCCACACTTTGTGACAGCCCTACTTTTAAAAAAATGTCTCCAAGACATATATAATTACTCTACATTTTCCCCATTCTTTGACATTTTTTGCTTGGAGTGACCCCCAATTGTCTCTGTTAAGTCTGGCCAGTTCAATATAATCAAATAATTTATTTATTCTTTTTTTACCGGGGGGGGGGGGGGGGTTAATTTCTTTTTTTCCAATTTTTGAAAATGAGTGTTCTCGCAGTCCCTGCAGCATAAAGGAAGATTTTCTTGTTTCCTTTGGCTATATCTGTGTCCATTATCCCCAAGAGAAAGGCTTCTGTTTTCTTTGCAAAAAAATTTGTAAACGTTTTCTTTAGTTCTTCATCACCGTGTCCCAGAAACTTTTGATTTTTTGGCAAAACCACCACATATGTATGAGTGTCCCTTCCACTTTGTTACACCTCCAACACAGATCTAATTTTACATACATTTTACATATTTTGGCAAAAAGCAGTGTCCCCAAATCAATACAGTGGTACCTCGGGTTAAGAACTTAATTCATTCTGGAGGTCCATTTTATAGCAGTCTATAACCTGAATCATCTGTAACCCGAGGTACCACTGTACTTGGACTTGTTTCAATTAACCTCCACAGGATGATTTGTGCTACATAGGTTATAAATGGTTAAAAAGGGGGTTATAACAAAGTATGAAAGAGAATTTACTAGAAGTGAAAAAGAAAACAGTGCAAAGCATGAAGGAAGTCAAACAGTAGGAAAGAAGAATGGAAATATGGTGAGGGTGTGGGTGGGTGTATATCAGTATTCTTTTGTTCGTTCTTTTTTCCCCCTTTCGTTTTATTCTCTTTTTTTGAGGGGGTTTTTTGTTTGTTTTTGTTGCTTTTTTTGTTTTGTGTTTATGTTAATAATACAGTGGTACCTCGGGTTACATACGCTTCAGGTTACACACTCTGCTAACCCAGAAATAGTGCTTCAGATTAAGAACTTTGCTTCAGGATGAGAACAGAAATTGTGCTCTGGCAGCGCGAGGCCCCATTAGCTAACGTGGTGCTTCAGGTTAAGAACAGTTTCAGGTTAAGAACGGACCTCCAGAACGAATTAAGTACTTAACCCGAGGTAAAAGGTAAAGGAAAAGGTACCCCTGACCATTAGGTCCAGTTGTGACCGACTCTGGGGTTGCGGCACTCATCTCGCTCTATGGGCCGAGGGAGCCGGCGTTTGTCCGCAGACAGCTTCCGGGTCATGTGGCCAGCATGACTAAGCCACTTCTGGCGAATCAGAGCTGCGCATGAAAACACCGTTTACCTTCCTGCCGGAGCGGTACCTATTTATCTACTTGCACTTTGACGTGCTTTCGAACTGCTAGGTTGGCAGGAGCTGGGACCGAGCAATGGGAGCTCACCCCGTCGCGAGGATTCGAACTGCCGATCTTCTGATCGGCAAGTCCTAGGCTCTGTGGTTTAACCAACAGCGCCACCCGCATCCCTTTAACCCGAGGTACCACTGTATTCCAACAAAGATTAAAAATACATTAAAATGTCACACATTCAAAACTTCCCTAAACAGGACTGCCTTCAGATGTTGTAAATAAACTCAATAAAAATAAAAAATATTTTAAAATATATGGAATTACTCTTTTGCTCAATACATTCGAGGTGAGTATGAAAGACGGCCTGGAGCTCCTAAGACAGGTAGGTTTTGAGCAAAACCACCAGCCAGAAGCATTTCCAACTTAAGGATCCACCCCCCGCCCAACAAAACACAAATTTTCACTTAGAAACTCAGATATATAAGCTAGGCTCTAAATACCTCCTTAAAACTACTCTAGTCAGCTCATAAAAATAGGTGAACCTGGTGAGTAACTACAGTTCCCAACCCCTATAGTGATAATTTGCTGGTTGCCTTCTGATCTTATTCGATTTTAATCCAATTTTAAGCTGTATTTCAGTCGATTGCTGAATTTTATGTTTTAATGCAGGCATAGGCAACCTTGGCTCTCCAGATGTTTTCAGAGTACAATTCCCATCATCCCTGACTACTGGTCCTGCTAGCTAGGGATCATGGTAGTTGTAGGTCCAAAACATCTGGAGGGCCGAGGTTGCCTATGCCTGTTATAATGTATTTGTATTTTGATGTTAGCCACCCTGAGCCTGGTTATGGCTGGGGAGGGTGGGATAGAAATAAAAATAATAATAAAAATAATAATAATAATAATAATAATTATTACAGTTGCCAAATCAGAATGCCTAGTTGCCATTTGGGGGCTAGGTGGCTCAAAAGTTGCATTTTTCAATAGGACCTTTGGGCTCCGCTCCTGAAATTTATTCCAGTTGTTCAGATGAAATATAACAGAGAGAATTATACAGGGTGGGGTGTTAGTGTGTGAAAACAGCCAGGATCCAAGGAGAATTTTCACGCAATTTAGGCTCATGCAATTAGAAAAAAACCTCCTGTTTCGCTTATTGTATTTTAATATTGGACTATTGTTCTTTAATATTTTGAGTGGCTGGGGAAACTCAGCCAGATGGGCGGGGTATAAATAATAAATTGTTGTTGTTGTTCAACCAACTGGGCTTATTTTGGGATTAAGATAAAGCTAATTGTGGTCTCTTTCCAAATAAGGTATAAAAATGGCGAGAAGCGCCAGAGAAAAGGGTCACCAACCATTCAATGTGAATTTTTCTCATTTTATTCCCGGTGGATTCGATAAGCCATATGGCGCAAACCACAACTAACACGTGTATCATCCTTTTTTTGTAGAATGGGCTAGTGGTTATAAAATAAATTGCTATTAAATGAAATTTTTTACAAAAAAATAATAATTGCTTTTTTGTACAGGTTTAAGGTCTCTTTGAGCCTGAAATAACTCACGCATTCGTGAGAATAGTTAAAATTGTACCATCTTATGTTACAATGTTATCTGAAGTTATTTCACCTACAGTAACCCTCTGATTTCTTCTCGCTCGCTATCATATATAGCAGCAGGGTTTCTCAGTTCTCCAAGTGATTGACTTAAGCTGCACAACCAGGGTGGATAAAAATCAATGACTTTTATGATCTAAATTGGATTTTTAAAATAAAATGCTTTTGGAGGAAAAAATCTTCCTAAAGATAGTTTTCTATTTAAGTGACATTCTAATCTAAAGGCTATTCTTCAGGAAATAAGGATTTGTTTAAAGTTTTTCATGTGTGCTAAAACTCAGTCTAAGGGGTTTTTTAAAAAATAAAAAAGTTTAACCACATCAGTAAACAAACATGGATACATATGCTATAATGTTATTTCTGTAGTTAAATAAATTGTTTAAATTGTCATGAAGGAAATGATTATTTTTCTTCTTCCAATCGAATACAGGGGTACCTCGGGTTACAGACGCTTCAGGTTATGCGTTTTCAGGTTGCGCACTGCACCGAAACACCAAATTGCACTTTGTGCATAAGCGCCGGATCATGACCTGCGCGTGCACAGATGCGGCACTGGGAGTTGCAAATGTGCTTCCCACACGGATCATGTTCGCAACCCAAGGTTCCACTGTACAGCAGAAAAGTTGTCCAAATAGAAACGATAATTCCATAATGAACGGTCTATGTCTTTCTGATAGTAGAACCAAATCGGTCATTTTTGATGTAACTGTAAAAACTACTCTGAAAATTTATGACTCCAAAAATGAAACCTTCTTCTGGTTCTTGATATGAAGAGGATGCCAGCAAGGTTGAACCTTTATGTAAAAAAATGATTTCAATCCAGCCTTACTGACTAGTGATTTACCCGAGGTACTATTTCTGAGTGAGCGGAGTCTGTAACCTGAAGCGTCTGTAACCTGAAGCGTCTGTAACCCGAGGTACCACTGCAGTTTTTGCTGTTATATAAAAAAATGACTGATGCGGTTATGCCAGCCACATCCAACAGGTAGATCGTGATCTACAAGCAGATCACTGAACATCTGGTAGATCACCCCAAAGTAGCTCAACAACTTTGGCTCTCCTTAAAAAAGCTCAACATTATTGCCCTGCACCCCCCCCCCAAAATGGGGCTTTCCTCCTCCCAAAAAAGCTCAGCAACGACCTGAACCCCAAAATAGGGGGTATATCACCGCCAGTTTTTAACTCCGTGAGTAGATCGGAGTCTCTTGGGAGTTAGCCACCCCTACATTAGAGGATCACAGCCATCACCATACAAATGATATACTGTATAGATATAAAGAAAAGCACCAGGGTCTGCTCTGACCCCTGGCAGAAAATATATCGGTGCACAATACAAGGTACTAAATAGGCAATTTTCTCAGGCTCTGGTAGTTGGAGGAGCAAGTAGCAGTGAGTTCCCCAAGTGGCCTGTTTGCTTTATTTTAAACGCGCCAGCAAATATTCACATCCTAAAGATTAGATGCTAAGGTTTTTCAGGCAAGGCAGTGAGGAAATTAAATTAAATTAAATCCATTACCTGTCCATAGTTGTGTATTCCAGACACCAATCTGTTGAGGTTGAGCAAATCAAATGATGATCCAAGGACCACCCCCCTAAAAAAAGCTCAACAACTGACCTAGATCCCTGGCTACCCCTGTATAATAATAATAATAATAATAATAATAAATTTTATTTATATCCCGCCCTCCCCAGCCAAAGCCGGGCTCAGGGCGGCTAACAACAATAAAACAGTATAAAAGTATAGCATAAACAACACTCTAAAATCATTCATTATAAAATTAATTAATAGACCAACTAAGTTTGTTCTGGTACAGGTTTCCTCACCCTCAGCCCTCCCGATGTTTTTGGCCTACAACTCCCATGATCCCTAGCTAGCAGGACCAGTGGTCAGGGATGGTGGAAGTTGTAGTCCCAAAACATCTGGAGGGCCGAGTTTGCCGATGCCTGTTCTAGTGATTGCTAGAACACTACAACAGAAACCAAAAAAAATTGGGTGCTTTTTTTTAACCCCTGAGACTACAATTCTCATAATCCCTGACCACTGGTCCTACTAGATAGGGATTATGGGAGTTGTAGGCCAAAAACATCTGGAGGGCGAAGGTTGAGGAAGCCTGCTTTAAAGCTACTATTAACTCCTTGTTGCAATAAACCAGATTTCCATGACACAGTTGACATGCCTGCTCTACCATCTAATCCAGAACATTTAAATTCGGCCTTCCAGCTGTTTGGGGACTACAGCACCCATCATCCCTAGCTCACAGGACCAGTGGGTCAGGGATTATGGGAACTGTATTTCCCAAACAGATGGAGGGCCAAATTGGGTCATGCCTGCTCTAGTTCAGCTGGTATCCCAGGAAATGGGGCATTGCATCAGGATGAACATCTGCTGAACTTCTTTTGACAAAGGAGCACCTAGCTCAGGCATGGCCCAACTTGCCCCTCCAGCTGTTTTGGAATTACAATGCCCATCATCCCTAGCTAACAGGACCAGTGGTCAGGGATGATGGGAATTGTAGACTAGGACAGTAGAAGGAGGACACCGCTGCAGTTCTCTCTCACTGCTGATTTCAGCATGGCCCAACTTGGCCCCTCCAGCTGTTTTGGGACTACAACTCCCGTCATCCCTAGCTCACAGGACCAGTGGTCAGGGATGATGGGAATTGTAGTCCCAAAACAGCTGGAGGGCCAAGTTTGGCCATGCCTGCCTGGAGGCACGGGGGTGCAAGGTGGGGATGCTTTACAGATAATAATAAGAATAATAAAAAATACATTTATATTCTGCCCTCCCCAGCCATAACCAGGCTCAGGGTGGCTGACATCAAAATACAAATACATCTTAAAATGGGATTAAAATCCAATAAGATCAGAAGGCAACTGGCAAATTATGATTATAGGGTTTGGGAACCTTAGGTACTCACCAGGCTTACATATATATATATATATATATATATATATATATATGAGCTGGTGAGAGGAGTTAGAGAGGCCTCTTATACATAGGATCTTGTAGGAGGAGAGGGGTCAGACTTGGCCCCAAGCAAAGGCCTGCTGGAATGATATAAATGCATAGCATGCATGCAATACACGTATTTACACACACACAAACACACAGTGGTGACAGACAAGCATTCACACGCGGGGGGAGGGTGCACCTTCATCTTTGGATGTGCCTGCAAACGGTGATTCATTTTATCTTAAGTTCAAACAGCCCCCCCCCCCACACACAAAAAGGAGGCCGCTTCCTGGACCCCCCAACTCCTCGCCACCACCATCTTTTGGCCTCTTGGGCAGGCATGGCCATACTTGGCCCTCCAGCTGTTTTCGGACTACGATTCCCATCATCCCTGACCACTGGTCCTGCGAGCTAGGGATGATGGGAGTTGTAGTCCCGAAACAGCTGGAGGGCCCAGTTTGCCTATGTCTGATTTAACCTTTGGCCATTGCTAATTGGAATCCTCCTACCTGCATTCCAGAAGCTGAGCTATATCAACAATTTATTTACACCCCACCCATCTGGCTGGGTTTCCTGCTCTTGGGAGAGGGGGGGGGCTTGTGGGAGGGAAGCCCACTCACCTGTCCCCAAACTCCCCCACTCCTTCCAGGCAAAGGCAAACTCGGCCCTCCAGGTGCTTTGGGACTACAATTCCCACCATCCCTGACCACTGGTCCTTTAAGCTAGGGACCATAGGAGTTTGAGGAAGCATGGCATAGTCCATCACGGGCCTTGGCAAACTCGGCCCTCCAGCTCCTTTGAGACTACAACTCCCACCCTCCCTGACCACCGGTCCCGCGAGCTAAGGATGCTGGGAGTTGTAGTCCCCAAACGGCTCGCCCGCCAGGCGCTCCGCCTCCCCGCTGCCTTCCTCGGGGCGGGAGGTGCCGCGTGGTGTCGGCGGGGCCTTCTTCTTCTCCTCCGCCTTCCTCTTCTTCCTCCTCCCTCGCTCCCTCCTCCTCCTCCATCTAATCAGCGCCCTCAGCCTCCATACAAAAGCAAAATGTCCGCCATCTTCGCCCGCGGCGCGCCCGGCGGGGGGAGGCGGGCGGCTTACCTTGATGCAATAGGGCGCCTCGTCGAAGGTGACCAGCATGTACCTGTCGCCGCGGCTGGCCGGGTCTCGGGCGCGCAGCTGAAGGGGAGAAAACGGGAGAAAGGAGCGCGTTAAAGGCGCGTCTGAGGGGGAGCGGGGCGGGGGGGACTCTCGACACGCGTCTTCCGAACGTGCGAGCGGGCGCTCGCGCTCGGGAGCGCGGTCTCTGAGGGTGTGTGCGCGCGCGCGGACTCGGACGGCCACGTCAGGCGACGGGGCGGGGGGAGGGCGCGCGCGCACCTTCATGAAGAGCTCGACGGCGCCCTTGGCCACGTCCAGGTAGCTGGTGCCCAGGTAGGCCCGCTGGTTCATGGAGGCGGACGTGTCGATGAGGAAGAGCAGGATCGGCATGGTCCTCCGAGGGAGGCCCGGCCGGGGGGCAAGACGACGAAGGGAGGCCGCAGCCCACTCGCCCGCGCCGGGGCGCTGCTGCTGCTGCTGCTGCTGCTGCCGCCGCTGAGCGTACGACCGCCTCCCTCGAGCCGCGCGGACGGACTGACAGGCTCTCGGCTCCTCCCGGCCGAGCCGCCGCTCGGGGGCGGCTCGTGACCCGAACGCCGGAGCGCCATTGGCCGCCGACGAGGCCGTCGTCTGCATATGCATGAGGGGCGGGGACTGCGGCCGCCTCGGCCCTAGCTCCCCTCTCTCCACCCTCGCCACTTCTCTCGGGATGCGATTGGCTTATGCGTTGCGGGCAGGCATCAGGGGGCGGAGCTGGGAGGGATGATTGATGGGCGAAGGCGGAGGAGGCGGCAGCATTAGGGCCAACATGGTCCAACTCGACCCTCCAGCTCTTTTGGGACTACAACGCCCATCAGCCCTAGCTAACAGGACCAGTGGTCAGGGATGATGGGAGCTGTAGTCCCAAAACAGCTGGAGGGCCGAGTTTGGCCCACAACTCGGGTAGGGCGTTGGGTTTCCAGGTAAGAGCAGGACATGGGATCCCAGACCTAGAAGGTGCCAATGCCCTTGAGTAATCGTGCATGGGCAGTACCAGATTGACATGTAAGCTCAACAAGCTCTAGCATAGGCTCTCTTGGGGGTCTCAAAAAAAAAATAAAGGGGAAAAAACTGGATATACATTTCCAAAATATAAGATAAAAAAACAAATAAAATAAAACTGACATACATCAACCATGTTTTGTGTTGTGTAGGCTCCTATTTTGTTATGTGCAAATTGCTTTAGATACCTATTAGGTCCATCAATGACCATATAGCATATACTCAACACAAAGAAATAGCAACAATTGGTTGCTGAGGGCCTCTTCAAACCTAAATCCAGGCCTCTGTCTATCTATCTTAAATCTATTATCTATCTATCTATCTATCTATCTATCTATCATCTATCTAATCCAAACTTTTTTTTCAAAGAGGGTCATATTTGATGAAGTGAAAGGCCGTGAGGGCCCACCAAAGTTGTTAATCTTTTTTTAGGATTGAAGTTGTTGAGGGTTTTTTTAGTATTTTACCCCAGGAAAAATAAACTGCCACAGGGGTTGGATTAAACTGACCAGCAGGCCAGATAACAATAACAATAATAAATTTTATTTATACCCCGCCCTCCCCAGCCAAGGACGGGCTCAGGGCAGCTAACAACCAATAATAAAAACAAGTTGATTGAATACAACTTAAAAACAAGATTAAAATACAACATTAAAACATTAGGATGCAGCCTCTTCACAGGAGGACAAAGTAAAAAAGAAAGACGGAGAGGGAATAAAACTGATTCTAAGCCAAAGGCCAGATGGAACAACTCTGTCTTACAGGCCCTGTGGAAAGAAATCAGATCCTGCAGGGCCCTGGTCTCATAAGGAAGAGCGTTACACCAGCCGGGCCAGTGTTGAAAAGGCCCTGGCTCTGGTTGAGGCTAATCTGACTTCCTTAGGGCCCGGGACCTCTAGGCTGTTGCTGTATATGGACATTAGGGTCCTCCGTGGGGCATACCGGGAGAGGCGGTCCCGTAGGTACGAGGGTCCTAGGCCATGAAGGGCTTTAAAGGTCAAAAGCAGCACCTTGAACCTGACCCTGTACTCCACCGGGAGCCAGTGCAGCTGGAAAAGCACTGGGTGAATATGCTCCCATGGCAGAGACCCCGTGAGGAGCCTTGCTGCAGCATTCTGCACCCACTGGAGTTTCTGAGACAGCTTCAAGGGCAGCCCCGCGTAGAGCAAATTACAGTAGTCAAGCCTGGAGATGACCGTCGCATGGATCACTGTGGCCAGGTCTGGGCAGGAAAGGTAAGGGACCAACTGCTTGATGCGGCGAAGGTGGAAAAATGTCGCCTTGGCTGTTGCTGTAACCTGCACCTCCATGGAAAGGAAGGCGTCAAGGATTACACCCAAACTCTTAACGGAAGGCAATGGCACTAATTGAGCCCCCACAAGAGAAGGGAGTTGCCCCCCCCAAAACCCATGTCGTCCCAATCCAGCCAGAGGACCTCTGTCTTCGAAGGATTTAGTTTTAATCAGCTCCCATGAAACCATCCAGCCACAGCTTCCAAGCGTCTGGTCAGTGTGTCTGGGGCCGAGTCGATGTGGCCATCCATCAGCAGATAGAGCTGAGTGTCATCAGCACATTGGTGACAACCCAGCCCAAAGCTCCGGATAATCTGGGCAAGGGGGCACATAAAGATGTTAAAAAGCATCGGGGAGAGGATTGCGCCCTGCGGCAGTCCACACACCAAGGAGTGGCACGACGACATCTCCTTCCCTATTAGATTAGGCCCCCGAAACAGACATCGGACATGCCTGATCTATCAATCATCTGTCTATTTATCTAATCTATCATCCATCTATCTAATCTATCTCTCAATCAATCAATCAATCATCTATCTATCTATTCTCTATCTATCATCTATCTATCACCTGTCTATCTTATATCTATCTCTATCTATCTATCTATCTATCTATCTATCTATCATCTATCTATCTATCATCTATCCATCTATCAATCATCTATCTATCTATCTATCTATCTATCTATCTATCTATCATCTATCTATCTATCATCTATCCATCTATCAATCATCTATCTATCTATCTATCTATCTATCTATCTATCTATCTATCTATCTATCATCTATCTATCTATCATCTATCCATCTATCAATCATCTATCTATCTATCTATCTATCTATCTATCTATCTATTTATCTATCTATCTACCTTATATCTATCAATCTGTCCATAAGGATCAGGCAATGCCCATGTCTGAGCTGCTGCTGCTGCCGCCACTGCTGCCGCCCAGCTGCTTTTTGGTGTCCGCCGCCGCCAGGCCAGGCCAGGCACGCTCCCAGGGCCAGATTGATGTATGGCTAATTAGGCTGAAACCTAGGGCCTCTAAATCTAGGGGGCCTTGCTAGTCTGCCTGCTCCCCAACGCCGCAGTCTCCCCTCTCCCCAAATTGCAAACCCAAGACTTCAGGCAAGGGCAAGGGCGACTTGGGCCCAGCAACTATAGGACTCAGGGCTAGCCAGTGGGGCACAATTTGAAGCTCTGAGGCCCAGGTGGAATCTTAGAGATACAAATAAAATCCATCTAGATTGCCCTGGTGTGGGGGCCTCCTTCGGAGCAGCCCACGGGGCCCAATTTGGCCCCACTGCCATAAGGCAGTGGGGGCGATAGTAGCGGAGCTTCACGCTCCGGCACGGGGGTGTGGAGAGCATGCAGGTGGGGGCTGGTGCACGTCCCAGAGGTATGGTGCGGCACCTGTGGGAGTGTGGCACCCCACCGGAATCGCGCTGCCAAGGATGGTGCGCACCCCTGCACTCCTCTTCCTCCGCCAGTGGGTGGCAAACCTATGGCATGCACACCATTGACCCATCTGAGTGGAGGAGGCAGCAGCCGAGGAAGAGACCCCCGCCCCGCGCCCTCCACCAGTGTTTTCCGCTGGCGGGGCCGCTCCTCCACCAGCCATCTTTACTGTGGGGCCCTCAGACCTTATGGGGGGCCAGATTTTGAAAAATAAAAATAAAAATGAACAAATTTCTATGCCCCACAAATCACCCAGAGATGCATTTCCAATAGAAGTACACATTCTACTCATGTCAAAACCGTCCACGGGCCAGATTGAGAAGGTGATGGGGCCACATCCGGCCCCAGGGCCTTAGTTTGCCTACCCATGCACTAGGTCATTTTCACACATTCAGCAATATTAAGTTGTGGGTGGACATAGCAGATGACACAGCAATTTCTTCAAAGCAGCTCTTGTTTATTCACAGGCCAGAACAGAACTGAACAGCAAACAGCTCAGCCGGCCTGCTTTTATAGGCAGCCAGCTGTCAACACTGTAACAACAACAGCCCAGGGTTTCCCGCCTAAATTAACTGACGTGGACCTGAGTGAAAACTATATACACGATACTCCTGGTGGCCAGGGGGAGAACTTCAGTACATAACAAGCAAAGCCCTTGAGAAACCAGTTCTAAGGTTTCTCGGGCTTTAGTTTGCCTACCCATGCGTAAGCTGCAGTAGGAGGATTCGGGTGGCGACATTGTCTCAACCCCTGAGCCTCTTGGGCAGGCTTCCTCAACCTCGGCCCTCCAGATGTTTTGGCCTACAACTCCCACGATCCATAGCTAGCAGGACCAGCGGTCAGGAATGATGGGAACTGTAGTCTCAAAATATCTGGAAGGACAAGGTTGAGGAAGCCTGCTCTTGGGCTTGCTGATCGGAAGGCTGGCGGTTCAAATCCCCGTGACGGGGTGAGCTCCCGTTGTTTGGTCCCTGCTCCTGCCAACCTAGCAGTTTGAAAGTACATCGAAGTGCAAGTAGATAAATAGGAACCGCTCCGGCAGGAAGGTAAACGGCGTTTTCGTGCGCTGCTCTGGTTTCCATCACAGTGTCCCGTTGTGCCTGACGCAGTTTAGTCCTGCAGGCCACATGACGCAGAAAACCGTCTGTGGACAAATGCTGGCTCCCTTGGGCAGGGCTGGATTTCGAGGAAGAGCAGTCCTTGGCCCCGCCACTTGGGAGGCCCCTCCCAGCTCCCCACCCTCACAAGCAAAATTGAGTGACGCCAAGGGTGACGGTGATGGGTCTTTAAAATTCTGCAACTCTCAATTTCTCCTCTAAAGGACATACGGTGTCATTGTTAAAAACTATGGTGATTTTTTTAAAAAGCATAAAAATAATACAGAGAAAGTTTTGCGGTAACTGAACTTTGTAAACCTTTTGCAGAATCAGCATTCATGTTAATGTTGTACAGTGGTACCTCTGGTTATGTACTTAATTCGTTCTGGAGGTCTGTTCTTAACCTGAAACTGTTCTTAACCTGAAGCACCACTTTAGCTAATGGGGTCTCCTGCTGCTGCTTCGCCGCCAGAGCCCGATTTCTGTTCTCATCCTGAAGCAAAGTTCTTAACCTGAAGCACTATTTCTGGGTTAGCGGAGTCTGTAACTTGAAGTGTATGTAACCCGAGGTACCACTGTAATGTTATTCTTTAAAAAAACAACCATGAGTTTACAAATTATATTGTGGCCCTTAATTCATTCTTCTGAGTCTTGAAAAATTCCTCTCTCCTGAGCAGTTAGTAACCACAAGGCTAAAAAATAGCTGCAATATTGCTTCCACATTAGAAAGGGCCATCTGATTTCCCCCCTTGTA